ATCATGTTATACGATATATATTTTTGGCTCACCCGTATCGGTATTGGCTCTTGACCGCCTTGACAGTTTTGACTGCTGGGCGAATTGCGCGATTCTGCTTGTAGATATCCTCAATAGCTGCTGTTTGGTCCCCCTAGTTAACTGTCTCCAGCGGGGCACTCTTAACCAGTACAATGAAGAGAGACTGTTTTATCCAGGCCTTATTCTCTCCATTGCTGAAGCCGTGGTAAGAATAAGATCCCCCACTGGGAAGGGCCCTAGCTGCCACAATATTTCCCTCTGTATGGTTTATAATAGCCTCGTTGGCCCTGCTTCACGATAGCCGCAGGAGTCACGTCGGTCGGGGGGAAGGCTGGACAGTCACGCCGGGACACCATGATTTCTCGCAGGGAGCCGTGTGGGTTAGCTGCTCGACTGCGGGTGCTGCATGAGCTGCAACTGCAGCCCAGGAGACATCTTTGCGCCTTTCATTCTTTTCAATTCGCGAGGGTGCTGCAGTCACTTGGTCAAGCTTTGTGAGTTGCAAATATCACAACAGCCCTGCCTTCAATTTAGTTAGTCAGCACGGTTGGCAGCTCTATTAACTTAGTTAATTTATATCTTTGCTTTTCCATCACAAGAACAATGCCCAACTCCTTCATCAGTACTGCAGAATTTTCATCAGGTGCGCGTCCAGCGTCGCGCGCACCGCGAATAGCCTTACCAGCAACCCTCTGACATCGCGAAAATTGGTTAGAAAAGGCGCTCGTCTCTCTCCTAACGTTGAAAGTAACTAGTCTTTCCGCTGAGAAATGCCTCAAATCATGTAGGGTGTTTTCGGCTTTCCTGAGAAAATATATGATCCTCAACAGCCTTTTTTTTTTATTATTTTTGCTATATACTAAAAGAAGATAGAGAAAGAGAGAGAAAAAAAAAAAAAAAGAAAAAAAGAAAAGGGTGGTGTTAATGACCGTGGCGACCCTCAATCAAATTCTTCGCAGCAACTTTTCTGCATTCGTCCAACACCCTCAATTGTCTGGCGACCTCGCCCAGTCTGCTAATGACTTCCTTGTTCCCCTGCGTAAAACCAAATATTACGTACGGAATTCCGACGTCGTCGCAGAACTCCTTCACGTACTTCTGCGCCCGGCGCAAGTTATGTCTCGGGAGACGAGGGAACAAATGGTGCACGACTTGGAATTGGAGACCGCCATGCACAAAGTCCAACCAGGGCGGGCAATCGACATCCATCGTCGTCCGCACCATCTTCTGAGCAAACGACTCGTGGATGCCCACATCGGCGCTTGACATGGCGAAGTGGCTGAGCGTGAGTTGTACGTGCAACGGGGCGGTGACCATATGCGAGATGAGCAGAAACGCGATGCGGGACGACCACGTCGGGATCGAGAGGTATAGCGTCCGGTAGCCGAACCAGTACCAGAAAAACACCTGGCCGGTCATTTCAAGATAGCGATGCCACCATGCTGAGCCTTTGCGGGGTGCTTGCGCCGGATCTAGTAGGTATGACCATGCTAGGCGGTACAGGTTGAAACGACCCATTAAAAGTATGGGATAGTAGAGGTAATGCTGGTGCTTAACAAAAAACCGTGCTATAGCATCGAATTTCATATCGCGGTCGTAGTAGCTCGAGCGCAGAGAAGAAAAGAATCGAGAAGAGATGGCGAAAAATGGCACGTGCTGGATGTCCGGATCGTGCTCGGGCGAGTTGGTTGCTATGTGATGCACGTTGTGATTCCGCTTCCACCAACCGACTGAAAGACCACCAAGGAAATCTGCAACGAAGATCCCGATGCAGCTGTCCGTGTGGAATCCATGGGTTATGCTTAAATGACCGGCGTCGTGAACGGTGAATGCAAGCAGGTGCCAGAGTAACCCGAGGAAAACGGCCGAAAGAGTGTAATAGGAATAGTGAAGAAATGTCAAGAAGAGAACGAAAAGAATCGAGTATCGGACAAATTCGACAGCGTAGGAGCCATATGGGCACTGGTAGAGTCCTTCGGATCGCAATTTTTCATCGAGCTGGCGGTACTTTGAGACGACCTCGTCTTGTGACCGTTTATCAAGACGAGGATATTTTGAAAGATCTGATGATATCGCGTGGGCTGTTGATGCTTCCGCAGATCTGAGTGGCCCCAGCTCCGGCTCCGATGAGGATATGGATGAAGCTCGAGAGATAGGCGTATCACTGCCTGCACGTCTCAGGTAAACTTCTTTCCCTGTCTCTTCAGTATCGAAGACCGGTGATGGTGGTGTCGATTCTCCAGATGAACTGGCATCATCTTCAGCATATAGCGCTTCGTCGTCGACGTGCTTCGATACCAGCGTTCTGAATGTTCCTCCCTGTATCGGAGGCAAGAAATTTTCCCATCTTCCGTGTACTCTTCCTATCACATACTTCTGCATATGTGCCTGTGCTTCATCTGAGTGCAATGCTGTTATTTCGTCCGTCGCATCCCGGCCGACCATGTGCAATATTGATTTATTCCCGCCTGGGTGATATGGTATCCACGCGTCGGCCTTCAGTACCTGATCGCCAAATATGATTATCTTTCTCCCATCTGCTATCAATCCCTCGATTTCTCTCCGAGACCACACACGATTTTTGCATGACACAGCCGACGCCATAGCTCAATGGTAGCTGCAGCGGAGCAGCTGAAGATTGACTTCAAATCCCGGACAGATGATGATGATGATGATGATGATGATGATGATGGATGCTCAGCATCAGACGGAAAGAATGAGGTACGGAGAACTCGCACGTAGTGTCGTATGTCGCTGTTGTTTGTTCGTCCCTCAGCATCAGGAGACTGGGTATCTTTCTGGGAGTGAAATTTGGGAGCACCTGTCAACAGGTATTTAAGATTGGCTTCAATGTTGGTGCGACCAATTGAAGTCCAGTTTAGCGGTGTGCGGCTTGATGTTTCGGCGGCTCCGAGTCTAGCCAAGTGAGCCACAGCGTCGATGGTGCTGCATGTTTTGCGAGGTCAACGAGGACAATGGGCGAGTATGATAAAAACTGGCGTGTTGTTTGCGGGCCTGTGGATCTGCTCGGGGCGACAGGGGGTCCAAACACCCGCAAGGTGGCGGAGGTCCTGTCCCTGTCTGTGCCCCGCAGTGAGAGGGAACAACAAAGCTCTCCAATCAAAAGGATTGTCTCAGGTCGATGTCCAGGGCAGAAATTTGGAGAGATGGCGTGGGTGATACACCCGACCAATGCGAGGGTACATTGCTGCACGTTTGCACATGCTCATCTGTACGGAGTACTTCTTTTCTCCTGTCCTCCGTCTGACCTCTCGGATGATGCAAGGTTCACTTAATTATGTACGCAAGAATCCGGTGTGGATAAGTAGTCATTTTGAGAGTGGTACATATACGGCGTTAGTAGTAGGAGCAGGAGGAGAGCGGATTTGCGTGTTACCAAAGCTCGAATTTCTTGACGAAAATATGCGGCCACCGGGTAAAAGGACCCATCCTCAGGGTATACAAGAAGCAGCCATCGTGTTTTTTTTCCATATTCCGTGACATCCCGTTGGGACCGCTTTGATGTGCAAGCCACCGGAGACGGCGCGAGGAAGTGCCGACATGTGCTCTATTTCTTTGCGTCATGTCGGCTCCATCCATTGATGCTGGAAGCTCCAGACCGGTGATCGCATCCCCAACACCCATAAATACGTCGTCTCTGGAGAGGCAGACACAACCCAAGCCTGAAGCGGGAAAGTTCACGACATTGATCACGCTCCACGTCCGTGGCAATCCCCTTACTGAATCCTACGATGTGTGTGGCGCGCCTTGCATGCAGAAGTCGCTAGAAACGAGTCAACTGGTTACAAAAGTGGTGTAGTTATGGGCTATCAACAGGATGAGATTATCAATGCAAAATGTGGAGCGAATATGATCGAGAGAGAGAGAAGAGAGAGAGAGAAAAGTGAGACAATGTTGCCTGTCAACAATTTAACCTGTCAATACCGTGTCTCAAACATGTAACTAACTACTCCGTACTTATGTAACAATAGTCACCACCAACCATCCTTGGAATTTCCTCCCCTGAGCCAAGGATAAGGACGATTGATGAGAATGTGTGTCTGTATGCGCATCAAAGGAGCTCTTTTCTACAGCTGGGTCGAATAATGTGTAAGGGCTGGGAGACGCTGCCACAGAAATCCATGTAATATTACCCACCATGGGGTATACGGAGTACGGAGGATTGAAGCTTGCGTTGTCGGAGTCGACGGGCGAGCATGGGAATGTCGGAACTAAGTAACGGAGCAGGCCGGTTTTACGTACGTTGGCAGCTGTAAGTAATTACTTATGTGTTGGGACACTGGTCTCTATGTAGTTAGTTAACTAGCCTCCAGCTTCTTGGCTCGGATCTTCTTTGATCTCTTTCCCAGCTGCAAGGCTTCGAGTTGCAACTAGCATTTCAGTAACTAAGTTAAGCTCTAAGTTAGACTTTAGCTTCAACCTTTGATCCAATCTCCAGAAACACAAGTCCAGCATAGGCTATGGCCCAGTACCAACTCCAATTCAGGAGTAGAATCAGACTTAGGTGTAGTAAAGTTAAGCTTATTTTAAAGTTGCAGATGTATAGTGATATTTCAGGAATTTAAAAATCTTGTATGACGAAGTAGAATGGCTGTCTCGGCCATCTCAGATCTGATCTCCCCGGCCCATGTTGCATCAAGCTTAAATGGGTAAATAAGGTATGAGAATCTATCAATACAGATTGCAGCACACCACAGAAAGAGCAAGAAGAGAAGAGAGAGATGATGAAGGAGTAAACAGAAAGAAAAAAAATTAAAATGAAAAGCAGAGTCAGATATTCTCTTCTGTACCAGAGCCAGTCATCTAGAGAGGGTGCAAGATAACACAGCCCATCGTGTAAACTTGACACAGCAGGAGGGCAAAGGGTGACTGGTGGAGCATAGAGATGAAGGGTGAAGATAAAGCAGCGGGCGCGAGGTGCTAGTTAATCCAGAAACTTCATGATCCAGAGCTTCCAGTAAGTACATACAAGTTGCCTTGACACCGCACACACAGATTTGGGAAAAACCGCAATCAAAAAGTCAGCAGCCCCAAGCTAGCTCCCAAATCCAAAACCCTTATTTCAGTTTTCCTCCATTAGACAATATCCCGGAAACCCGTTTTCATGCACTAACTACTCTGTACAGAATTTTTTAACGGAACCAAGAGAAAACACTTAGTCAGTCAACCACAGTCAGCATATCAAATGCTTTGTTCCCAATTGCCTTCATCATGAGTGAATACGGAGTCATCATCTTCTTCTCTTTCTTCACTACATCCCAATCTTCATCCTCCTTAGCCTCTTCTTGAATAATCTGCTCTTTTACCCCCTCTTCTTCCTCTTGGCCATCCATTGAACCAGTCTCCAAGAATACTTTCAGCATTGCCTGACTATTCCCGCTCACAAGAGCAGTACCAGGCATGTCTTTTGTGACAGGAACATTGCGAATATCAGAACCATTCAGATTCCAATAAACCAGCTCCGGTGGCTCATATCCGGCGGCAGCGAAGTCCTTTGTAATAATTTCATGGTGAGTATCCCAATTGTCAGATGTATATCTGGCAGCGTCAAACTGCATGTCGCTGAAAACAAAAAGCCTCTTGACCATATCTTCTGACTTGACCTTACTCGACACGGCGATGTCCAGAATGAGTTTGAACACCTTGAGGAAATCGGTATTGAATCCCCACTCAGAGCGTTGTAAGGCAGTGACTTGCTCTGAAAATGTGCGCGAATCATTTGCGCCCCCGATATTCAATACCTGAGGGTCTCTAGAAAAGGTTATCACCTTCCCGCCGAAAGGGGGCTCTGTGGTCTCTGAAACGATGAGGCCCAGGCCAATTGCGGTATCCATCAGAGTGCATTTCCCGTCGTCGGTCTTTTGCAACATTGATCCGCTCACATCGGAAACTGCGATGGAGTGAGTCAATGAACCACAGTCCTTGATACGTTGGACTAAGGTCCTCCACTGCAAGTCAACCACACTTTGCTTGATGGAATCTCCAGCGGAAGAATATTTTTTAGCCTGTAATACCAAAGAACCCGGCGCAAGAATTGCTCCTGATATTTTCGCCTTTCCCTCCGCTACTTTGACAAGATATTGTCCGAATCGCTCGCCGTCTTTCTTAATGAAAAGTTTCTTGTACTGGTCCATGGCGAGAGATGGAACGCGACCGTAATTGATATTTGAGAGCGTGTTTGCAGAGATATCGCACTCGACACACTGTAGAGCCTTGCGCAACTTGGACGTGGTCCAGAAGCGGTACTGCTCGCGCGCCCGTTTCAGGTACATTTCTCGACTGTCGTCCGGATGGGCAACCTTGTCCCGCGGAAACAAAATCTCCGCAATCGTTGTCGCTATGCGGGTGTGCTTGTCGTGAAACTTTTGCAATGACGGAGCCCATTTCCCGCAGAGGGAAAGTTCCTTTTGCTGTTCTTTTGTTCCAGTTCGAAGCAGTTCTATATCCTTCTGGAGCTTTTCGGAAAATAGGCGTGCTACGGTCATGTGCAGTGCCCGGTGGAACGGGTCGTTTGACAGCCGTTCCATAATTCGCTGGTGGCGCTCGTTCTCTCCAGCGTGCCGGCGCTCTTTTGCTTCTCTGCTGACACTCTGATCTCGTTCTAAGGATCTCTTGATCTTTTCTTCCGACGACAATTCCTGCCATCCACTCGGTTTCTCCTTCTGCACCTTTCGCTTCCGCAGACGATATCCAACGCAGAACCTAGTTTGAAGCAGCTTGCGAGGATCAGTCATGTCCAGGCGTCCACTGGCGGAGAGAGCAAGGAGGTTCAAGAGGTCCTTCCAGTAACCATGAGACACGCCGCGGACAACGTCGTAGTCGTCGAGTGTGGAGCCGACTTTTCCCACTGTCACTGTCTCCCTATCTGTGGAGGGCCTGGCGTCCTTTTCGATGACGGGACGGAACAGCCATTGTAGATTGGCCAGGAGGGTTCGTGGGTGGTTCTCCTTAGCCAGCCCATAGCGATGTAGAAGACGTGTCGATTGCCTTTTCCAAGATGGATACTGCGGGCATTCCAGATAATTTTCAGACATGCCAGCGAATCTTCCTTCCACGAAGAATCCAATAGAGACTCGAGTTCCTTTTGTTTAGTTTCTGTCCACTCTCCATCCAGGCTATGGAACAGATCAACCAAAGACGACTCCGTCGAAGCAAAAGTTACGCCAAAGTTGTCTGTGAGGGCGCGGTTATTTGGGGCGAGTTCCGCCGAATCGATCCGTTTATGTCGAGCTATTGTCTTGTCCAGCGCATCGATGAATGTATCTCCGCTGGTATCGGCGTCATTCTGCGTGGTTGGTTTCGTAGGGTGATGCTGGTTGACCTCTGGAGTCTCCGTTGCTTCCTGCTGGGAATCGGCTCTAGTTGGGCCTGGAAGGAGCTTGGAGATGTACTGTTCAAACTGCTCTGGGCTCATGTAGAGACATGGATCCTCATGCAGAAACGCAGGAAAACTGGTGTCCATAGGGCTGCCATCTTTAGAGTGGCTTCGAGTAGTTTCCATCCTCAATGTTGAAAAAAAAAAAAAAGAGCAAATAACAAGAGGGAGGAGGGGGTCAATCGGTTAGATGAATCCTGAAAAGCACCTTTGCTTGAGAGGAGTGGTTGTGTTCCTTGAGGATGGATGAACAGCAGCAGCAGCTGTGCCCAAATCCATACTCTTGTTGCAGCTTGAAGGCGCTCATCTTCAAGGAGAGTGCAGGCCTCTTATAGCCAACCGGACGACTGAGGGAACCAGGAGAAATGAGGTCGGAGGCGAGATGTCGCCATTCCCAAAGCAGTCCCCGATCCTCAACGAATGACTCAACTTGGCGCAATTGCCATCTATAACTAGTTAAGGCAACAAAATGAATTCAAAGTGCCGTCAAGCGTTGCGTGACGGTCATCTGGAGCTTGTAGCTGCAAGACCAGACAAGCTCGTCAGCCTGTTATTATGTCGTCCATCAGTCGTTTAGTTAGTTAATTCTGTGAGGATGGTTAAGTACGGAGTTAACTACTTATCCGGAGTTAGCGCGCTTTCAAAGGATGCCTTCGCCTGTGTCTCTGAAGCCAACATCATGATTTGATGCTGCGGTGTGAGCATTTCGCATCCACCACAGAAAGAAATCGTATGCCATGAATCTCGAGTGGTTGCTTGAAACCCTATCCACCGGAGACCGCGCTCTTGATGATTCGATCTGCTCCCCCCGCCATTGCAGGTGTGTCGTGGCCGCAGTGAGTCAACCGTCCGACAGCCAAGAGCGCATCCCAGCACGTTTCGTTTCAGGCACTGAAAGTTTGAACTCTCTGACGACGAACCAGGGGTCTGGGCCACAGTTGGAAATAGCAGCGGTTTGTCACGCCGCCCAACTGACTCAATATATGTATGTTCGGCGATGGTTGTGGGATGGACAAAAAGGCCCTGGATCGCGACCCCAACGACCGCCGACCATGGCTGAGACGGTGCTCACAAACGGTTCACCTTGACTGCGCAGCAACAGCAGCAATCACGGCGGACGCCCCACGCCTTGAAAAGGTCCTGGAAATCCCTGATTGCCAGGGCGGTGTGCTTATCACTGTTGCTATTAGCATGGCCGCAACGTGGAAGCGCCAGTTTGCCTCTTTTCTCCCGCCCGATTGGTGGGCTTGACACCTTTTTTTCCGCACTCTAAATTCTTAATTTATTTGAGGGCGAAAGAGCAGATCTGAAAATGCCGCCCTATTAATACTCTCTCGTCTCTCTCTTTCTCTTCTTCCCGCCGGTCGATCTCTCTACAAGCCTGTTCTTTGTAAATTCCGCGAATTTACGTCCGCTCCTTTGATAGGGGATTTCACTGCTGTGGTCATTCGTTTCGTTCCTGAAGCCATCGATCCTTATAACAGCCTACTTTCTTTCACGATGTTGTTCAAGCCCGCTCTTCTCCTGACCGGCCTGGTCGCTGCCTCCCGCGCGCTGGAATTTGGCGCCGCGTCCCACCAGCAAAACAACCCCCTGACGCGACGCACCACCCAGTGCAAGGAGGTCGAGGAGCCAGACTGCGAGAAGTCCTGCGGCCCGGGGTACAAGACCTGCGTGAAACCCAACATGTGCTTTAACCCCAGCGCGGGAGAAACTTGCTGCGAGAATGGAAGTGAGTATTATCGTCTTGATCCGCGCCCACAACCACCTAGAGGCCTGAAGGACCCAGTCGGCTGACTTCGACCAGCTTTCTGCCCTGCGGGATCCTACTGCTCTGATGCCGGCTGCTGCCCAAACAACATGAAGCTCGCAGATTGCATGTCCGCCGTGACTCGCACCCTCATCCACCAGGAGCAATCCTCCACCGAAGAGCCCACCACCACCAGCACGACCAGCACCACATCCACATCCACGACCACAAATACCGTCACTTCCTATGTCCCGCCCCAGCCAACCGAAGCGCCCGAGCCGACAACGCCTTCGACCACCCCACGCGTCACCAACCCCACCAGCGCAACCGGATCCGGCTCCTGGCCCAGCTCGACAGCAGGAAACAATGCAACCGTCACCACACCCTCCGAGCCCCCGCAGCAGACGGATAATGCTGCCGTACGTGTGGAAGGCGCTTCTTTAGCTCTCGGACTAGGTCTCGTTGCCGTCTTGGCTGCTCTCATTTAATAAGCGCATCTCCAAACCGTATCACAGAGATGCATCGCTGAGCAGTGCTCTTTGTCTTCAGGGATGAACAGATACAGAGTTTTGTAAATAGATGAGACCTTTTCTTCCTTTTTTTTTTGTTTCTTTTTTTTTTCTTTTTTTTTTTTTTTTTTTCGAAACAAAAAACTTCTAAGCTTGCCTGTTGGCAAGCTTTGTGTTACATTCTACTATATTTTCGAAAGGAGTGGGAGGTTTCTACTTGGCGGCTTTCCTGACATGTATCTAAGGTTTGAGCAGGTACTCACAGAATCCGTCAATCATGAGCGATCTACACATCGTTGTGCCATATTTTACAGGCTTTAAATTGACTGGAGCCTAAAGCCCCAGTAGAGCAACTTTCAAAGTTACACCAGAACACAGTTATCCATTGAAGACATTTCACATGAAAATCAGAATGCCTAGGAGAGCAAACAAGCTGAATCGCCAAAAAAAAATAGGCAACTGATACCTGAGATATTGCGCAAAAGTCAATTTACTTGCCCGTCAACGCCTCCGTGAGCGATCCCAGCCCCAGGCCTTGTAAGACGTTTTTGAGACCCAGGCTACCGAGAAGGCCGTCGACCAGCCCGCCCAGACCAAGGGCATTGAGCTGCAAGAATAATCAGCTAACAAGATCTTAAAAAAGAAACAAAGAAGGGGAAAAAAAAAAAAAAAAACTCAATCAGACAGGACACCGGAAACAACTTACCAATCGTCCAACAAGCCCCAAAACACCGCTAAGCAGCAGTCCAACAGCAGCGAGAATCTGCCCCAATGGCTCTAATTCGAAAGGAGATCCCAAATTAGCACCTTTCCGGCCCAACTATCTGATAATACCGCACAATGTCTATTTACAGCATCACTCACCGGCCAACAGCCCCCACAATGGATTCAACTCCTCCTTTGCATGCGGCATACCAGCAACCTTCTTTTTCGCCCCGTCAATCGTCTGGCTAACATGACTTGTCAACTCCTTCAGTAACTCTGCCAACCGGTGCTCCTCCGGCGATGCCTCTCGTGCTGCAGTCTTGTGTTTCGCGTTAGCTGCAATCCGTCCGTCAGGGTCAAGAGCGCGGATGGCGCCGTTGGCTTCTTGGAGGATCTGTCCGCCCTGCTCGAGGAGAGGCTTGATGGTGTCGACGAGCTTCTCCTCGTTGCGCTCTGGTTCGGGCTTTCGTTCTTCGGTTTCGATGGCCTATAAGGGTGGGAATTGCACGTTTTAACAATCTAGTCTAGAAGCCAGAATAACTTGTGGTCCGGTGAGGAGCGAGAACGCACGCCTGTGATCATATTCAAGATAGGCTGGATTTTGTCGAGCGATTGTTGGATGCAATCGGCCATCCTACCCGCGAGTTTCTTGTCATTCTCAGCCTGTTGCTGCTTTTCAGCTTCTTGCTCTGGCTTCTGTCCCGTTTTCTGCTCCGGTGCGGTCTGCTTGGTGGTCTCGAGTTCGGCCATGTTTGAATAAGCACTGAGGAAAACTAATGTCGACAAAAAGTTATTCGGGAGTTAATTGGGTCAATTGTTCCTATGACTTCAATCGCTCATATCAGAGGCACAGTTTCGTCAAAACCGTCTATTTATCCAGACCGTCCACCCAGGTTTATGCATGGTCAACCGCATACGCCGGACTGACATCCTGCTGCTCGCCTGATACCTGATTCCCGGACTTTGACGTCACGTCCAAGACGTGAGGCGGGATCGCCCACATGTTGAACCGTGGATATCATGAAATTGTGATGGTGGGACGGGGGCTAATATCAGGATTTAAGGCTGAAATTGGGTTTCCTTAACTCTATGTGCATCCCTCGCATTGCGTCATATTGAAAGTACCGGTACATTCCCTGAGTAGTTATACTGTATCTACTCCGTACTAGCTTGAAGCTATAACTTGATGGCTATGGTGGCTTGGGGATGGAAGCGAAATACATACCTGTGATTATTGGACATTGGAACGTTGTACTCTGTAGACACTCAGTAGATGCCATGGATTTATAAGTGATGATAACTGACTACCAAATCATGGGAGAGAAGATGAAAATAGAATTAGAAATGCGCGTTATCGTCTCTGAAGCATCCCTCTTGCTTTGATTTTAACTCGATCAGATACTAGTATAATTATTCTCAAGAGAAAAGAGAAATATTTTCACTATTTATGCCGACCAAACAACGCTCCAACAAACCCATACAATTTTTCGAGAGTGATCCTGACTCCGAGCACCGTAAAAAATCAAAGAGGAAAAGCAGAAAATCCATTTGCATATAAGGGCATGTCGCTTCGTTTTCATCCTTAAAATCATACATCACGCACTCCGGAGCGCATCAGGTCATGATCCGTGCGGGCATCCAACTCATTGCCTAGCTTGCTGCTCAGTAGTACTCTCACAATATCAAACTAGAATTGAAGCATGCAAGTATCGTGTTTGCTTCAAAAGATTGGCGTACAAAGCAACGACTAGGAAATGGTAAAAAGACACAAGGGCGTCTTACAAGAACGTAATCATAATCTCTCCCTTAATCTTCGTCCGTAACAGCACCTCTATCTCGAGGTTTAGATCAAGCTTTATGCGCACTTCTCTCTCACTCGATGACGGTTCTTGCGTGGCAGGATTCTCTTCGTCCTCGTCTTCGACCTCGGCTGTTTCAGTCGGCAACGCCTCGCCCTCAGCTCCGGTGGCTTGCTGCTTAGCCTTCTTTTTCTCCTTTTTCTTCTCCTTCTTGGCCTTCTTTTTGACGGTTGGAACGCTCTCGGGCGCACCACCAACAGTCTTGATACTGATAGGTTTATGATCCTTGGATGAGGACGCTTTGCGAATACTGAATGCCTTCAACCCGGTTTCAAACGGTTTTTTTTCTTTGGATATCGACGGCCGCTGTTGCTTTCTTTCATCCTCCTCCTCCTGCTGCTGCTCCTCCTCTTCTTCTTCCTTTTCGTCCATCGGAAATTCCCGTCGACTCTCCACACCTCCAGCAACAACAACCCCATTCGTCTGATCCATCTCCTGCTCCTGGTCTTCGAACGCATCCTTGCCAAACAAATCCTCACTCAAATCCCTCTGCACCACCCCCTCACCCTCACCATCACCGTCACCACCCTCCTGCTCGTTCCCAAGCCTCCTCTTCCCGCTACCTTTTACAGACGGCTGCTCTCCGCGCTCTTGCCTGTCCATTTCCTCCGCCCATCCTTCATCCTGCACCATGAGCGCTTTACTCCGCCGTTTTCGCCCCCCGCGCGGCTTCCGCCGTCGACGGCCTGTGGAATCAGCAGATTCAAAGGAAGCATTCGATCGAGTCGTCGGAGAGGGGACTCTATTCCCGTGCACGGACTCGGACGGGAGCGAGGCAGGAACAGAAGCCGGGGCGGGAGTAGATGTATAGGCAGGCGGTGCGGTAGACGGCGTATCGGGAGGCGGAACGGTCGTAGGTTCGGGGCTCTGGTCTTTTACATCGGTGGCGTAGTACTGTGTGGCATCGCAAGGCGCGGAATCTTGGGGAGGTTTGTTTTGCTTGTTCTTCTTGCGATTTCTGGGCTTGCGATTCGGTTTTGTGCTCTCTGCTGGGGGAGCGGGCTGGTCTATATGGCTCTCCATTGATGCTATCTTGAGGTGTGTACTGGTATTCAAAAGAAAAACCTGGATCGGTCAATTGTTTTGTCTTGTGGGAAATTTTTCATGCGCAGAGAGATTTTACCGTTGCACACTGGTTTCATCCCATGTCAAAGTCTCGGGCACAAGCTTTTTCGGTGGTAAACGGGATCCATGGTACAGAGCAACAGGCGCTAACAACCGCTGTTGCTGGTTGGCTAACGTGCTAGTTGGTTGACTACATACTTACCTTCAGACGCTGGGCGTTTTGGCTTTGATCGCCAAGCTCAACTCGCCAACGTTCGCCCTGAATTGAGCCCAGAGCCATTCGAGTCCGTGCTGTGGAAATAAATGGATCGAGGACGGATGCCGGGCGACAGAACATTTTCCTTGCAAAGGATTAATTATTGTTATTCAATTATGTGTTGAAGTAATGTTTAACAACGAAGGCGAGAAATAAACAGCCACGAGCAATCCGAATACCAGACTCGATCGCGTCCCAGCAGGACCACAAAAAGGAGTGAAAACCGAAGGAGAAAAAAAAAAAAAAAAAAAAAAAAAAAAAAGAAGAAGTCTATGGTACAAATCCAAGCCCAAACCAAGCATTTTGTCCGGTCCGCTGCGATCGATCCCAAATCTACGGAGTAATGCTTCCCATTATTTATTGGCCGATGCCGTTGTTAGCGAGCTTGCTGGTGGATCCATTGCCAGGGTTGCGGACAGAGTTGCTGGCGAGCTGCTTGATGCGGTCGCAGACCTGGCTTGGCTGGAGGTTCTCGGTGCTCATGAGGTAGGCGCCCAAGCCGGCGATGTGAGGAGCAGCCATAGAGGTGCCCGACATCATCTGAGTGCCGCCACCGGGCATGGTGGATTCGACGTCAACACCAGGGGCGAAGATGTCAACTGGTTCAAAACGCAATCAGTATTTGCATGGTGTTATATCAGCACGGTGGGTGATGCCATGACTTACGGACTGAGCCAAAGTTGGAGAAAGTTGCCCGGACATCCATTCTGTCGGTAGCTCCAACGGTGCAGACATTAGGGGCGGAAGCGGGAGAGTAGTTAGAGGCGTCTTGCTGTTAATACGCAATTCTTGTCAGCTTCCGCCCAATTTTCGCGCATGCACAAAAAGGTGCTAAAGCAGCCATGGTTTCCAATCACTCACGTTGTCATTGCCGGCGGCGACAGCAAGGAAAACACCTGCGCGAACAGCTCTCTCGGCAGCATCGTTGACTGCCTGGGAAAAGCTACCTCCCAAGCTCAAGTTCATCACAGCACGGCCAAGGGCGTTGTTCTTCCTGGCGTGGTCGACAGACCAGCTGATGCCCTCCATGATAGCAGAGTTGCTGCCAGATCCCTGAGCATCGAGAACCTTGACACCGACAATGGTGGCCTTCTTTGCAACACCGAATCTAGCTCCGGCAAAGGTTCCAGCAGTGTGAGTTCCATGGCCATTGCCATCCGTGTTATCTTGGTCAATGGTGTTGATACCCCACGTCGCACGACCCTCGAAGTCAGGGTGGTTAACGTCAATACCAGTATCGACTCCGTAAATAATCACTCCCTCGCCGGCTCTGTCATCGTAGACATAGTCACTGCCTCCGGGTCGACTGGAGGAAAGTCGTGCCAGACCCCAAGGAGCACCGCGCTGCGTTTGCGTTCCTTGGATCCTCATGATCCGGTTAGGCTCGACGAATTTAACCTATGCTTACTGATAAGCTCCCCTAGCCCCCCAAGTCCCAGCGGGATCGGGCTTCCTCACCTTGTCGTCCGCGAGGATCTCGTCGAGAGTGTCATGGTCGAAGGCGCCGAGATAGCCCCTGAACCCGCTGATGTCGAAGGTCGTTTTCAAGCCGGTGAGGGTCCCGTTTCGTCGAACGTGCCCGCTATGGTGGTGGTTGCGTACCCAGGTGACGTGGGCTTCGAGATCGGATGTGGCTACCTCATCTTTCATGACGACGATGTAGGAGTCTGGGATGACATCTTGGGTATTTGGGACGCTGAGGATCTCTGCAGCGTTGGCAGCGGTAATCGCTGCAAAGACGGTGGACAAAAACTTCATGGAAACCATTTTTGCTTAATTAGGGCTGTGGTGTTGAATACGAATGGGATGATGGTCCTATCTCCAGAGGGAGAACGTCTCCCTTTTATGCCTTTCGTTTCAACACAGTCATTTTACTTCCAAACGAAAGCGTTGCTGCTAGGGCTCGACATGTTGCTTGACTCGAGATGGGGAATGGGACGGATCAGAGCTTCGAACCCACAAATATTTCCACTCCCGGATGAAACCATTTGATAGGATTTAATTGCCGAAGGATTCGTATCCTGCTTTTCAAGAGAAGGCGTGAGGAGAACCGTGAGAGAGCACAGTCTGAGTGGGTGCGGTATATTCGGTAAATTGCCAGGCATTTCAAGGAGCCTTGGGGCCTTGGCCAGGGCAGCCCCTGGAACGCAGCATTTATGGCTTTGAGATTTGGTTTGCTCATGTTTATTGTCGATCTTTGAAGGAGCAAGTCCCTGGTCAAAACACTGGAGAGCCACCCTGATCTCCCATCCTCCATCGATACGATGCTTATCTGCACTCTGTTTGATGTAAACTCCTTCCCACCAAGGTCACCGCGGCTTGGCAGCCTCGAATGGCGCGACCCTCAGTGGGTATGGGCCTAACACGCTACCAGCAATGGCAAGCATTGCCCGCACGAGTACGGAGGAAACGGGAAACGCATAAAGTGAGGAGACCCCGCTTCGTCACAGACAAGCTTTTGTGAAACGGCAAGGCGCAATGTTCGAGTCTTGCAAAAACATCAGCCCACAAAAGCTGACGCTTGGCCCTGAGCGCGTCCAAACCATTCGTCACCCAACGTAGTATCACTCGTACACTCTAGAACTGGGGTGGTCAATCGAATTAGAATAGACCCGCTACAGAGAAAGTCTAAGGATGAGTAAGCTTTCAGCAAACAGGGACTTTCGGAGATATAACTATGGGAGGAAGAGGAATGCTGGAGAGCAGCCAAAGCCTCTTCGTAGGGGGGATTTTTGAGCAGACCTTTCAGAGAGGACGAGCAGGTCAATCCATGGATCGGACCAGGTTCAGCATGGGGCTAACTCCAAGGATCAGGATTTCTCCCCACATCAGTTGGAGAGTCTATGACCTGAAACTTCCGTGAACGTTCGAGAAAGCTGGCCTGGTGAAGCTTCCTTGCCGCCGCGGCTAGCGGTATGTATGTACACATCAGCGAAGTCTGGGGTTAAATGAAATCGGCCCATAGCAATTTGCACGGAGCAAGACACTCATGATTATCACTGCATGGCATGATGGCAGAGTGATCTTCAAATGTTCTCCGATCAGCGGCTTCTGGAGATTGTTTTAGTCAAACCCAGGACTGAGGAAGAATCGTGCGTTTGAGTCCGAGACGAGATGATCGGAGTGGGTGGAGAGTTACCTAGCTAGCCTTGGCTTCGACTGGTGGTATTGGCAGGGGCCCGTGAACAGAAGAGCCAGCATACCCTTGAAAGTGTGAATAGCTCCGAAGGAGAAGGCCCATAACAGGACGAGGATGGCCAAAGGTTAACCGCCGGAGTTCTTCGAGTTTCAGCCAGAAACATCCTCAGCGGACCGCAACACATCAAACCACCAAAGCCTAGGTTGACCCATGTTCACATGTTGCTCCTTCGAACAGCTAGCTCGAAGTGGGAGATAATGTGGCAAGGTCAGTGCCCCAGCGAGTAACTCGTTAGCTAGCTTCCTCATCATCCAAACATCCCAGAGAGAAGAAGTCTCGAGGGGTTTTCGTTTTCCTTTTGGCCAGCAGCCAATAAATGGTGAAGGTGCATCAAACAACCGCGTACATATTTGCGGGTCAACCGCCATTGCCTGGTCAAAAGCCCAGCAGGCACTCAAAGGAATTAGCTACTCTGCAGTTTATCCAGCACCTTGTTTTCTCGATATCATTCAAGCAAGGAGCACGCTCAGGAGAATGTGGAATCTTCAAAGAGCTGCGACAACAGAGCAGGGCAGTTTTGTGATACTCTTAGCGAGAGGAGGTGCGTCAGGGGCAAGCAATCAAGCACATCCATCCATCCATCCATCCATCCATCCATCCGGCCACGTTTTAGCATTTTACGGCGAATGCGATGCCAAAGTCGATCCGGACGTTCACCAAGCGCCGCTCTCTCTGCGATGTCTCGACGCTCCAAGGGGCAGAGCATTGGAAGGCTCCCGCTGAGGCTCCGGGTCTTTCATTTTTCCGGGTGGTTTTTCCGGCGGCCAAGACGCCAAGCACTGGGGGTTGACGTCACAGGGGCAACCCGGCTCCACGAAGTCTCTTCCTCCCTCTCTCTCAACGCCCACGGATGAACGTCGGCTCCGCGCAGAGCATCAAGAAAACATCGTATGTACTGTACCTGATCCCGCGTTGAGCCGTCATCCTTCGACACCAACCCCACTCCTCGGGACCGTGGATCGTGACGACGCGCAAACTGACGAGCTGCAACCAATTCCTGCTTTTCCACCAGTTTGTGGCGGCTCCGTCACTCCTCATTGGAGGCCACCCTGAGTCGTGCCTCTGTCTGTGCGGGGGAATGTTCACACAAACTCTCCCACTCCTACTTAGCTTGCATCACCTTGGGAGTATCCCAGATGTGGCGCCAGGCGAATCCGGTTAACCATGTGGCGGGTTTGATCTCACAATCCAGGACATGGACGGGTATTCATGACGCATCCTGCTTTTGGACAGGTCTACGGACTACCCTCTGGGTAGTTATATAAACCGCAGTTCAATTCGTCCAACTATCGGATCCTTGCTCTATTAGTCCCATTAACGATTCCCCAGAAGCAAAACAAATTCACAAACAAATCTCTCTACAGCTCTTATTTCCATATTTCCATTTCGAACCAAACTACTCCTCCTCCCCCCGCATAACTCCATATCACCACCATGGCTGGAATTCTCGGCGGCGGCGGCGGCCAACAACAGCCGGGCCAGCAAGGCCAGCAAGGCCAGCAGGGGCAGCAGGGGCAGCAGGGTGGTCTCGGCGCCCTCCTCGGCGGTGTGACAGGGGCCGTTGGCCAAACAACCCAAGGGCTCGGACAGGGTCTCGGACAGACCCTCGCGGGCGTTGGCGGTGCCGTGGGACAGACGACTCAGGGACTCGGCGAGGTTGTAGGTGGAGCGACTAAGGGACTCGGCAGCGCCCTCGGCGGCGGACAGCAACAGGCCCAGCAGCAGCCTCAACAGATGCCTCCGGGCCAGGAGCCGCCGCAACCGCAGCAGTATCCGCAGCCCCAGCGATGAATGAGGCAGCATGATGATTCAACAGTTGCATTGGATGCGATGATGATTGCCACTGTGGAAATCAACGAAAGGACGAATTTGACGACATGGAATTGAGTTTTGAAGATGTGTTTAATTATGATCATTCTGCGATGTTATAGTCTGTCAAGTGGTTTCTCTGCTAGGGATGTACCTTATCCAAGATAATTGATCTTCTTGCATGTCTCATTATTGTCATACAAGGGCTTTTGGGTTAAACAAGATCCAATCCTAACAACAGAACTAACCAAGCTATATAGAGTAGAGACTGGACATACTTGAACATACTCTTTCACTTTTTATCTTCTTCTTGTCATCCGCTTCCTAAACACCGACGGAATTCCTGTCTCCCTCACAAGCTTTACCTCCCCTATCCAAAGCCACTTTCTCCCTCAGCTGGTAAATCAGAATAATCAACACACACACACACACACCACCCCTTCATCTTTCATCCCATATCCTTATCTCCTGTCGATCAACAGGGGGTTGCAATCCCATGGGCCTAGCATATATTCTTTACCTCCTCATTTATTGCCATCCTTGAGCTCATAATTTTTTTTTTTTTTTTTTTTTTTTTTTTTGGCCCACGTTAAGGAGGAAGGAGGGGAAGGGACTGTGGGATACAGCACCATCACCTCTGCTCCATTATGTAGCCTTCCTGAAAGCTGTGGGCGTGACGAAAGGATTCCTGGAGGCGGACAGCGTCGTCCCTGCTGCTGTAACGGTAGTCGGATTCTTCATCCTCCTGATTATCTCCATCGGAGGGTTGTTTTTCGCACAATAACTGGTTTGTTGCAGAGTTAGCGCGTGATCAGACGGAAAGATAACGGAGGAATAAGTATGGAGTATATTAGATACCAGAGGTAGAATATATATATAGCTACCCTTGTTGGCTCTGGAGTATCACTAACCAGCCATACGTCCGTGATCTTACTCAACCTGTCAAAACGTTATTTTATTTTATTTTATTTTATTTTATTTTATTTTATATTTATATTTATATTTATATTTATATTTATATTTATATTTATATTTATATTTATATTTATATTTATATTTATATTTATATTTATATTTATATTTATATTTATATTTATATTTATATTTATATTTATATTTATATTTATATTTATATTTATATTTATATTTATATTTATATTTATATTTATATTTATATTTATATTTATATTTATATTTTTATTTTTATTTTTATTTTTATTTTTTTTAATTTCTTGATCTTGTCTTGACTGCGGTGACGGAAGCAAATGTCTTCAGTGATTCCTATCACAGCCGTGCAGACAAGTTCCCCACGTTATGACGCCGAGAACTATCTCCGATTCATAGCCGTATTAGAATCACCAGTTAATTGCCAGTGGGCGGAGAGCACATGTACGCATACGGGTTGATCCTAGCCCTTTACACATGGAGTACTAAGACCTCCTCCGGCCAACACCCCGCGAGAAGGACATTTCCTTCACCCCACGATTCCGACGCCTGAAGCGCACCTCAGCATAGCACGATATGTACGAGATCACATCCACATATGTATATGGAGTGTGTAAGTACTGTACATGCACACATACATACAAGCAGCCCCGAGACAATCTTCAAGGTTCGTGGCTAGCAGCCCATCCATACTTTTTCTCGGAAAGTTCCTCCCACACCTTGTTAGGAGCCGCCATGACAGCCCTCCGCTTTTCTCCTCCACACACGCCCTCAGACACACATACATGGCATCGTGCGGTCCCTCGCGACAAACCTTGGCGTGCGAGCGAGCTGTGACGTCATTCTACCCTGATACAGTAGATGCGGACTGGCTGGCATGGAGGAAGGGAGAAAGAAATATGGTCGATGCATGACAGGGAAGACCCCAACTGGAAAAGGCACATGAAGGTGGCCAGGGTGGGTTGGCCACTTACGTAGCGCGGCTGAGGCAAGGCATGCACTACAAATCCTGCATCGGTGGAGACGAAAAAAACGGTTTCCTATATATATGTGTAAAGTATTTCATCACTGTTCTAGACTTGTTTTTTATTTTGAATTTTCCTTTGTTTTATCCTTGATTTCTTGGAGATATTGTTCGAAAATCTATCTTGATACATACTTAGCGTCACGTTAAACAAGCAGAGAATACGGCTATAAAGTACAGTTAGGAACACATTCTTCCCACTTAAAACATACCAAAAAATGTCCAACCTGTGAGTCCTCCTCGGATCAGTGCCTGACTCCCATCTGTACGCTCCTTTAATAATATTTACCACAGCCCTGATCAAAAGAACGAGCCCTACGAGGTGCAATCCGAGGCAGAACCCGATGACGATCAACCTCAACGCCAACGCCAACGGCAACCCAATCGCAATGCTTCCGTGCAGCAAGCTCCCCAACAAGCTCCTGTTCAACAACAGCAACCTGCACCATATGCATATGCCGTAGATCAACAGCTCGCTCAAACCGGCCAACGACGAGGCGCGATCCGAGAGTCACGCATAAAGGACCGCCCGCAACCGAAGGAGACTCGAGACAGTAGCTTGAAGGTCAAGATCGAGCTCGATCTCGAGGTCGAGGTTGACTTGTATGCACGGGTGAAGGGTGATGTGACCATCGGACTACTGTGAGGAGAGAAACTTGCACCCCCCTGTAAGTCCGGTTTGCGATGTCGGGAAGAGCAAATTTTGTAATAACTAATTCGCTCTTGTGCAGCAGATAAATGTGAAAAATCACCTTCCTGCCTGCGGCCGCTTTCGGCGAAGAGGGATTGCAGCCTTTTTTTTCTGTTCTATCTTGTTCTCCATTGCGGAATGATTTTCGAATAACACCTGGCTCTCCAACACTTGCGGCTTGACTGCAATCTTCCTATTATTATTGTTATATATGACGATTCATGCGACCACGGAACTTTTGCTGGAATTCTTGGTTAGATCTCAGAGCGACTTTGAACCTTTTTGATTCTCAAGAATAGGACTGTCTAATAAATGCAGCCTTTAGTTTGCCTATCCTTTTTTTTTTTTTTTTTTTTTTGGGGAACTGGGACGTAATTGTACCTGATTTCTGTAAAAGCCCCGGAATCACCAAGTAGAATTAATAAATGAACAGGAACAGCCCGACAAATGATGCTCTCAAAACGGATCCGTAAAGCATTGCATTCAGCACTAGCTGAACTTCTTCTGCGGCATTTCTTGTTTATTCTTTTCGTTTTCGTCATCCGGTGGGACATTGTACTGATCCAGTGAGCCAAGTGGTAGCCTCAAAAACCTATGTTTATTGGTCCATTGGATTTGGCTCTCTACAAACCCCTCAGAATCAGCCGGCGGTGGAGGAGGGTCTGTAATTTTGGTGACCAGGTATGCAGTTGATGCCTCAGCCAACCCATAGATGAGGACACCGATCAATGGGATTTTGATCATGGTATAAAACCCAAGTGCAAATCCGAATAAGACTCCCTCGCGGTCTAAAAACCATTTGCGTCGTTGCTGTTTGGTGAATTTTACGCGAGAGAAATATGGTTCCAGCTGCAAACATATTAGTTTGGACTAATGAATATGAGGACGGTTGTTCCTTCGTACCAGTTCTCTCATCAAACTGCGTGATGCGAAGTAGCTCTGTAGGAACACGACTAGATATCGTTTTGGGAGGACAAGCCCAGATCCAAAAATAACAGTGGCCGGAACGGGTCCCACAGCCTTGTTGAAGGTGTAAAAACTGGCCAAAGGAATCACGAACCGCCCAACCACTGGCAATAAAGAGAGCAGATAGACAGCAAGAGATATGCCAGTTCTTCGCCCGTACCGGGTAAAAAAGGACCGTAGAGAGCTTGCAACATCCCCAATCTGCTTTTTACGTTTGTTTGAGTACATGACCAGATTGGGATAGTACATTGCACGTAAGCCCGCAGGGTCGTCGGATTTGTGTTTTTGGACGTATGTTGAATCAACCCACTTTATAGACTCCATGAAGCTGGAAACGGACTGTCAGTGTAGGGCTACGGGAGTAACTCGATGGGAACATACACGTTATCCAGCGTCGGTGTGATGTATCGCATCAGAGTCATAAGCAGAAATGGGACTTGTAGGACATATCTGGCGATAAAGTCGAGCCCATTGATCAGCGTGTCATCCCAAGTGACTGACTGGAGGTCGATTATCCAGGAGGCCATCCATATAGTCAACCTAACAGCAGCAATCTACCAGCAGTTGGTATTAAAACCCTCGCCTTGTAGTAAGGTAGGCGTGGTTCTTTTACCGGGATAGAAACGATCAGGCGGATCGCAATGCCGGCAACAACAGCCAGGGCAGCCTGTCGGTAATGTTCTGATGTAAACAGCTCCGGATTCTGAAGGGCTCTGTGGGCTAAAGCAGACGAATTTGATCATCAGCAATGAGATGCATCAGTTTGGGATATGAGGCAGCTAGCTATGTCCTGACATACGGACCTCCCACAAGAGTGAGCTGAGCACCCCGAAGGATGGCATTTGGCTCGAAGTTGGACATGATTACGGGGATTTAAAGCTCATCTATAATTCGACTTGGGAAAAAGTCAAAGGCATTTGAATTGATATGAGCCCTCAACACAATTGCTAAGACGAATGTTGGAAAAGGGCCAGATGGATGGCTGGAGCAGTTCACCTGAGCTGCCGGTGCTGCTCGTTTTGGGCCAGGAACGGAAACTCAGCCGAGCAGCATGGAAAAATGAACTTCCGAGCAGTCAAACGAATCGGGAATGGATGCCAAGAGATGCGCTTTGTCACCCAAAAAAAGTTAGTCCGCCCATTGCCGACGGAGACCGAAGCGCCAACCCATCAACGCCGCTTTACCCGATCGGGAAGGCCTCGATCTTCAACAAATTGTAGAATTATTCCGGAGCCGTCATTGTTCTCCCTCCTCCAAACCCAACTTGTCTCAATCACACCCTCGCTCCACGCCCTCTGCTCCATAGCCCTAAAGGCATCCCGGGGATCCTATCCTGTCCAATTGTCCTTTTCCTGAATATATTTCTTTCTTTTCTCACACACTACCTTCACAATGTTTCGTCCCATTGTGCCGCGCCTTGCTGGGCGGTCACTCCCGAAAGCCACTCCTCAGACTGCCTTCCAACATTCTTTCCCAGTGTCCACGGTCTATATTCTTGGACGGTCGAAAAGAGGATATGCAACTCAGTCAGGTAAGTCGGCCCTACCTTGCATTCACGCCGACCCGAAGCTCGCATGTTGATTCGCGTTTCTGACACTTAAACACAGATGAGCACGATTTGGTTATAATAGGTGGCGGTGTTGCTGGATACGTTGCTGCGATCAAGGCCGGTCAAGAAGGCTTGAAGGTACTGGCTTTCAATCCCTCAAAGCCGAGCGACCCTCGCGCGTGGATAACTAACTTTGTCGTCCGCTAGACTGCCTGTATCGAAAAGAGAGGCGCGTTAGGTGGTACATGTCTCAATGTTGGATGTATTCCCTCAAAATCCCTCCTGAACAACTCCCATCTCTACCATCAAGTTCTCCACGATACCAAAAAGCGCGGAATCGAAGTCGGAGATGTGAAACTCAACCTGAAGCAAATGATGAAAGCTAAAGACACGTCCGTCGAGTCGCTCACCAAAGGAATTGAGTTCCTCTTTAAGAAAAATAAGGTCGAATACGTTAAGGGAACCGGATCTTTCATTGACCAACACTCCGTCAAAGTTGATCTGTTGGAAGGCGGAGAGCGGACACTGCGCGCGAAGAACATCATCATCGCAACCGGAAGCGAGGCCACCCCGTTCCCCGGCTTGACCATTGATGAAAAGAGAATCATCACCAGCACTGGAGCGCTTTCCTTGGAAGAGGTCCCAAAGAAGATGGTCGTTATTGGAGGTGGTATCATTGGTCTTGAGATGGTAGGCAAAACAAGCATTTGTATAGCTTTCAGCTTAGCCGGACTGACCCACCTATTTCCCTAGGCCTCCGTTTGGTCGCGGTTAGGTTCAGAGGTTACTGTTGTCGAGTTTCTCGGTCAGATCGGCGGGCCTGGTATGGATGCAGAAATCGCCAAGCAGATTCAAAAAATCCTTTCTAGACAAGGTTTGAAGTTCATGGTCGGAACTAAAGTCACCAAGGGAGACGCCAGCGGTGAAAGCATAAAACTCGAGGTTGAGGCTGCCAAAGGTGGCAAAGAACAAACTCTAGATGCTGATGTCGTTCTCGTTGCCATCGGACGTCGACCTTACACCCAGGGCCTTGGTTTGGAGAAGGTCGGCCTCGACGTTGACGAGAAAGGCCGTGTTATCATTGATCAACAGTACCGCACCAAGGAGCAGCATATCCGTGTAATTGGAGATTGCACTTTCGGTCCCATGTTGGCGCACAAGGCAGAAGAAGAGGCTGTCGCTGCTATTGAGTACATCAAGAAGGGCCACGGTCATGTCAACTACAGCGCTATCCCAAGTGTCATGTATACTCACCCCGAAGTTGCGTGGGTCGGCCAGAACGAGGCAGACTTAAAAGCCGCCGGCATCAAATATCGCGTTGGCACATTCCCCTTCAGCGCCAACTCCCGTGCCAAGACCAACCTCGACTCGGAAGGTCAGGTCAAATTTCTTGCCGACGAACAGACAGACCGTGTCCTTGGCGTTCACATTGTTGGGCCCAATGCCGGCGAAATGATTGCAGAAGCCACGCTCGCTGTTGAATACGGCGCCAGCTGTGAAGATATCGCCCGCACTTGTCACGCTCACCCAACTCTAGCAGAGGCATTCAAAGAGGCTGCCATGGCCACATACGCGAAAGCCATCCACTTCTAGAGCGCTGATTTATGACTCGTTATATTAGCTTTTTCCTCCCTATATTTATACAGCCTTGATACAGGTATTTGTGTTTGTTTTGAGTTATGTTTTGTTGTTTCAGCAATTGGGTAGCATACTGTATACTGGCCTATATTGCGTGTATTCATAGGCATGAGTTCTTTGAAAAAGATACAATGATATCGCTTCATTCACATTCCTTTTCCCTATTCACTAAATAACATCATCAAGCTTGCTACTTACACATCACTTCAGGACTTCGCTTACTGTTAGTTCGCTCACAGGGTCTGACTAGCGCAGAGTATATAAAACCCTCATTCTCTCACCTTCCTTCTCCTTTCTTTTCTTCTCTCGGCATTCAAGGCCCTGAGCCCTGCAGAGTTGCTGATTCCAGTTTCTGGTTCTAACATGTCCCATGTCCCTCATCTCTTTATGTGCCCACTCCAGAGCTACTCCGATAACCTGAATGCTAAATAGTTCCTCACCCACCTCCCTATTAATGCACCATTTGCGCAAGAATATTGGTCTGTGACTGCTAATCAATTATCCAAGCTTTGTCCATAACTGTATCCTCCCTATTGGCATGTGATTCTCAGAACAAAATGCCATGCATACTGGGAGACGTATAACTACCTATCTATTATCTGACAAGTCATGGAATTTTGACTGGCACTTCTATATTCATCTCAGCTTTCTGCTGCACATAGAGATTTGATTCCTAGACTTTGTCACCATTATCAAGATACTTTAATTATGTCTCTGTTTTCTCTTGATTTCCTACGGCTGTACAGTTACAAGGCCTAGAACCTATTTCAGATACACTAGTTGGATGAATTAAATGGAATAATCCAATGGTTATAGAGAAACTTGATATTCTCTTTGGTCTAGATGAGAAGAAGACACAATAATACATTAGTGACTGGTGTCGAAAGATCATATAAATTATCTTGAATACCATTATTAAGATATACTAGATTGAGAAGAGAGCTTTTTTGGCGACAAATTCTACTGGCACTGCATACACAATAATATTAATCCAGCTACAGTTTGTCTCTCGGGAAGACCTCGTCGCCCATTGAGTTCTATCGGAGTGCCACGCTCCGACTTGCTTGGCCGTGGCACCATCGTCCCCACTCCCACAAGTGATATTTGGGAAACTTCCATTCCCCATCGGCCGCCCAGATGCCGAGCGAGTTGATGCTAGACACATAACCAACGACCAGAGAGAAATTGCGGGGAACGTCATAGACTCCGTGAAAACATGCCTGTCCGCTAGAAGCTCAACGTTTCGATTGAACGGCGAATTTTCAAAGCTCAGCGAGTTCCCTACCATCGGTAGATGATGACAGCACACTCGCGAGCTCCACGGGGCTGGCTCTGGGTTGGGTAAGACCAATTTAGCCACACAAAACTCCTGTAACGATGTGGTCCTCCCCGCCAATGGGTCATTAACTATGATTTACCCCATGGGGACGACGGCCTGCTACTGTAGACAATGATATTTGGCCGAGCGGGGTCGACGATCAGGAGCAGCTATAAATTTCGGCTCCCGCTCCGGGGTTTGCGCCAGTATTCGAATCTGCTTTTCTCTCCTATATCTAGGAGTTTGAAGTACTGACACCTTTGCTGCTTGTCTCGGACAGCGTACACGCCCCCTAACACACTTTTACCACACTCGTCCGGAAAAATGGCAACAACATTGACATCCAAGATGGCCAGTCAAGCTGCCAAAGCGAACTTGCCGGCATTCAATTGCCCACCAGGCACGAAGATGCATCTGCTGAATCTGGGATCACTCGAATGCGATGAAGGCTGGTATATCCACACCACCCTTTGCAATTGAGCATATACATCATACTGATTCGTCCAGGCTCCTTCGTGGCGGGAATTCAAGTGCTCTGAGCAACAAAAACCCTGAGAATAAACGGCGAGAGTTAATCATATTATCTGTTTTGATTGAACATCCCCAGGAAGGGTTGATCTTGTTCGAGACCGGCTGCGCGGAGAATGTTGAAGTTGTGAGTTATATCTGGATCGTGGAAGATGTGAGATTTCCTTCTAATGATTTTGGTTGAGTAGAAATGGGGAGCTCCCCTCACAGATATCTTCCCTCGAGTAGTCTACAACGAGGAGCATAAACTCCCCGCTGCCATCAAGGCTACTGGAAACGATATCAAGGACGTCAAGGCTGTTGTTTTCGGGCACTTACATCTCGACCATGCTGGTGGCTTGGAGCATTTCGTTGGCACCGATGTGCCCATCTACGTTCACGAGGAGGAATTCAAACACGCATGCTGGGCCATTGCCACGGGTGCCGACCTTGGCGTATATCTCGCCCATTACATGTCCCTTGACAAACTGAATTGGCAAACGTTTAACGAGCCCCATCTCGACCTCTTTCAAGGCATCACGATCCATCACTCCCCCGGCCACACCCCCGGTCTATGCGTCATGCAGGTGAATTTAGAGAAGGACGGGACTTTTATCTTCACAACGGATCAATTTCATATTGCCGAGAACTATGAGATGGCACATCCACACGGCTGGCTAGCTCGCGACCACTCTGCATGGTTCAACAGCTTGCAGATGATTAAACGGCTGCAGCGGATGTTTAACGCGGAGTTGGTGTTTGGTCATGATAAAGAGGTCGCGAACCGCCTGATGAGCAAGAAGAAATTCTTTGAATAGGTTATAATCTGTTGCATTTGGCATCCAGAGTTTTCACAGAGAGCGATATTCTGGTTACAGGGCATCTAATAAATTCACGATGAATGTTTTGGGATCACTTTAGATGGGATCAGCAATTCATAAGGTTTACTTACATTCTTGGCCGCGGGGAAACCTCATGGCGGGCCGCGGGTATTGTCGAAACTTGGGGTGCATACAAAGTAAGTACAGGTCAGGCAACCTTGCATAATTTTAAATATGACATACAAATACGGCCTGTAACTAGTTATGTAGTTATATTTAAATAAGCAACCTTCCACAATACAAATAAAGATTTTCAAATGATACTTTTTTGTAGTTTATATGTCTCAGAATATTTGCTAGTTATATGGAGAGGGGGTTTTCGCGTGGTCGCATACCGCCCGGTCTCATGGAAAACTGCGGCTCAGAGTGATTGTGAATATTGCTAAATCCTTGACCATTCTGCAAATAAGACCGTTTTAAACGGGTTTCCGCATTAGAGTACACGGTGCAGGAATTCTCCCTTTTTAGCTTGCTTCCCACCCGAGCTTTGGCTACTAGATAGATCATTCACCGCATCACTAGCCGACTGGTTCCAACAGAAACAAGAGGATCTCAGCTGGGCTGAATACCTGCTCTGATACTTTTTGAAGCAAACTCATCTGCAAGTTGCTCAAAAGTTTCCTCATCTGTGGTAAATACACATTCATGGTTGCTAAGCTTATCCCACAATAGAGCGTATACTCAGAGTTTTATCTGCTCGCACAAGGCTTCACCGTGAAAGCGTCTGAAGGTCCCATATAAATACATTGACTCATGATATCACTGCTCATCCACTATTGCGTCGACCTCCACCTCGACCAGCATGTCATCACTTACAAACCCATTCTGCACCACAATCAAGGTCGCCGCTGCACCAACCTGATCGCCCTCCTGCCCACGTCCAGCCCTCCCAGAGCCCAACATCTCCCTATATGCCTCCATCACTCCCGGCGCATCTTCCTTTCTGCTCACATACATCCGAACCCGGACCACACTCTCTTCTGCCCGCCCTTTATTCCCAGATAGCTCCTCCACAGCACGAAGACATTCGCCCAGCGCGACGCGCATTTGAGCCGCAGCGTCACCTGGATGTAGGATCTGCGGCGCCGAAGGAGGTGAGGTTTGATCAACGGCCGTGGTGCCGGAGATAAAGATGTGATTGCCATGGCGAACGCCGCGGTAGTAGCCGATCCGCCGTTCGTAGGGCGAAGGAGTTTGGTAGAAGGTTTTGGAGCTGGTGGGGTGAGGTTTGATGAGCTTGCCGGGCGATGCCATTGTGTACTTTGACGTGAGAAGTCGCTTTTTAACTGGACGTGCGTGCTGTGCTTGCTTGATTCTCCCAGGGAGATTGATCTTCCACAGCTTGGATGTGGAAGATCAGCTCAGTACGAGCGGCGAGAGGCTCGCTCTCGTATATAACTCGAAGTCCTAGAGACCAAAAGCAGCGGGGTAACAAAATAGTGAGATAGTGAGCTGTGACTCACACAGCTGCAAACAGGCTAAACAATAGGGGTATCTTGGCTCAGCAAAGATGGTCATGGTGAATAGGGTTATCATGTTTATGCTAACCTCCAAAGGAGCTAGTAATCTCATCAAAATCGATTATTCTCGGGGGGGACGATACGGAGTGTCTTTTAGTCATGGCGAATTTCCAGATGAGGGTTGCCTGACTTATTCCAACAAGCTGCTCATCTACCAATTGCACAATGGTATATACACATTCCGTACACTAAAACGAACGATACCCGCCACCTATTCCTTTGTAGCTTTCCCGCCAAACATGTCCATCACGTCTTTAAGCAGAACGTCAACCCCTGGCAGTGCAAATGAAGGTCCAACGTCGAATATATCCGCCAAGCTGTTGACCTGCACGTGCTCGTATTCGGCATCCAATTCGGATTGGTTCTGCTGAGGAAGAACGCGACGATATCCAAAGATATCTTCCAATCCAGTTCTCAATGACAAGTCGACCTCGCTACTTTCCATCGGCACCCGTGCCAATTGGGTACTAGACGAAAGTTGGAGAACCTGCGCGGCGGAATCAACGACGATGTAGTCTCCTGATTTAGCACTTGGAAGCAAGGCTCGCGGAGCATATTTAAGCTTTGACTGGAATAAAGGGTTAGGCCCACTTGGCTCGAACACTGCCACCTGGAAGTGAGATTTGTTCTCGGATTCTGATGATTTAGTTTCAGAATCATCCATGACACGGGGAAACGTGATAGCAAGAGTCTGATTTCGGTGATTTAACGCAAGTAATGGAGTGGATCGGTTAGAAGCGCGAGAACCAGGTTTATCGGTCAGTGCAAATGCAAACATGACTTGGTCGGTAACTGTATGCCATGAGACGAGATGATCGGATAAGACAATCAAATATCGATCAAGGAAACCGCATCCACGGGGTATCCCAGAGAAAAGCCCTTCGCGGGTGTGGCAGATTTTGCCACTTTCAGGTTCAATGATATATACGAGGCCGGCAGGATTGGACTGTCCAGCGAAGCATACAGCCAGCGCTGAACCGTCCTCTGAAAATCCCAAGCATGATCCCGCATAGGAGGCTGAAGCAGTATCAGCACCTACTGGGCTTTCGAGTGCGATGGACCGCGAGCAACGCCAAGTCTTGACTATGCGGTCCTGTTTCCGTGAAGAAGGCTTATATCCAGGAGTCCAAAATCGGACCACCCCGTCGTCTCCTATTGTTGCAAAGCCCAACTGCTTTGGGTTCACAGCAAGATCGCGAATTGGCATTGAACCCTCGGTTGACGAAAAGTGTGGTCCATCTACCCGGGTGACAAGCTCCCATTCGTTATTGGTTTCGTTCCAACGCCAGAACTTCAAAAATATTTCCTTTCTCTTACAACTCCCATCGGATTCATCAATAGGTGTTAAGACCCCCATGGATTCTGGATATTGCTCCCATTCGTCAACTGTCACCAGCCAATCTCCATCGGGGGATATTTCAACGAATTTGACATCTGGTGTAGTCAATTCTGTACCCTCAGGGCCGGTATGCAAGATCGACACGTTAGTTCTCGCAAGGGCTTGACGAGAGATATGTTGGTTTGACCGCGTATCGAATGTTTGCAGAAACGAAGCGCTGGGAGACTTATCAGGCGAATAAACGGCTTGAGAGGATGGAACGGCCAAGAGGAGATAGTCCGATTGTATGGGGTGCAAAACCGCTGCAAGCCTATCATTGAACATTTTATTGCTCGACCTTGTAGACTTGTCGTGCAGTTTCACATCATCTTTCGAAGGTAGCTGCAAACTGCTTATGCTAGTGGTTGGCCGTAGTTCAGACGTAGACAAGACCATGGCAGAATTATCCGCTAGCTTGACTGCATAGCTAACTCCAGATGGAGAAACGACCAAGTTACAAATTGCTGAGGTCAGATGTGGCAAAAACTGCTTTCTTCCAGTGTCCAGTTGCCAGAGAACCAGTACTGTTTCCAGGCCTCCGGATATGAGATAGTTGCCTATGATTCATCAACATCTGTGAAGGAACAAAGAGAATTGGTTGGCTGCTTACCGTCTTTTGACCATCGGACGGTTTTAACACACTCTCTATGCCAATGGAGGCGACGCGAGACCAATCCAGCATCCAATTCTCCTTTATTTTCACAACGCAGTAACGTATCGAGGAAGTCATAGTATATCGAGATAGCGCCATCAGAGTCTCCAACTACCAGGTCTACCGCTGCGGTAGGAGAAAGCCGGTTATGAGCCTTTGCGGGCAACTTATGTGGCTGCGGTGGCTCCCGGATATCGAAACATGTGCCATATACCGGCAGCCGAATCTCGCGCCACGTATATTCCAAGTTTCCTGCAGGTTGTAGTGGATCTCCACTAGATTGACCGACTACAACGTATGGTCCTGCAGTTGCGAGGATAACTCTGCCATTTGCGACGACATGAAGGTTGTTGATGTGCGTGGAAGTCTTGTAAATTACAGACTGCTTCCACAACTGACCATCGGTATCCCTTTCTCTGATATTCACGCAAATCTCAGACTTTCCACGATGAATTTTGCAAATCGTATAAACAGCAGGGCTAACAGAGAGTGAAGAACCATCTCTGGTTTCGGGAATTGCGTCAAGGGAGACAATGCGCTTTGAGATGTCCCAGGAGTGTATACATTCCCCAGTGGTCCAGTCCCACTCTATTATACTGCCGGAGCGGGTCGCAACGAAAATTCGGCTTGGAGTAACGGGACAGAGTTTGTAACCGGTTATATGTTGCGCGTCATCGGGGATCTGGAGAGTCCGAACGATCGACGATGTGGCCATAGAATAGACCTGGACAGCATTATGTCGCGCAAGTAGAAGATACCTATATAAAGAAGAGAAAGACTTTAGTAAATGGGACCAGTGTCTAGCATTAACGCGGCGCAATGGAACGTACTTTTCATCTGAAGAGAAAATGGGATCCAAATTTAAGAAACGCCCACCGCTACGATATGATAGGCCCCATGAATCGGAGCGTCCATTTTGTGCCAGGCCTTGCTCTTCAACCTCCTTGGGCATCACCGAGAGCTCTGCTGATACCGGCGCGCGGGACGCCTTTACTCTTTTGGAGGAAGCTTTTTTCGGCGATGATGACTGACCTTGAGCTGAAATTTTGCTATGGCCATGCTTGGAAACGACTGCTAGGGATGAATCCGCATCTTTGCTGTGTTTTATCCTTTTAGTTTCGCGGGCAGGCCTCGCCTCGGGCGACCCGTCTGGACGCAATGCCCTTTTTTCCTTCATCGTTGAGGGAATCCGGGCTTGGGGTTCAAGAGGAATATGTGACGGGGGATCTCTCTATGCGACAAACCGTGGCGGTCCCCTAAAACATGTGATCAAAGGCGCAATCGGCCATGAATCCCCCGCAGACCAGTCGAACAAAATCCAACGCTCGCAATCTCAATTTTGTTCCTCGCTGTTCGAGCTTCTTCGGCGGAAAGCCAAAATTTTCGATTAGCGTAGACTATGCCTATCTCGGCTAGCTCTCCCCTGGTTTGTACTAATCCAAATAAGGATTAGCCCGCTTCTTATCCGGTTACATAATCAATCTTCCGAGTCGCAAATTTCAACCTTCATGGCGAACGTAACCAGCTGGCAGCTTGTTCTCTGTTGAGTGCATGGGACCACTGCTTGATTGGTGAAACTGTTACTGCTTCTGCTTGTTTGCTGCACGACTTCAGAATGATCATTCCTGTTCGGTGTTTTTCCTGTGGAAAGGTAAGCTGTGGCCCCCAAAAAATGCGTTATGTTCCCTTGACCAATCGCTTATGCCTTTTTGCTGCTGCAGGTTATCGGGGACCTTTGGGAGCGGTATCTACGCCTCCTCGATGATGGAGTTCCTGATGGGTAAGCTCACAGATGGAGGGGTGGCGTACATGTTTGGAAACTGTCTGATATTTGCGATAACAGAGATGCAATGGACCAACTCGGCTGTAAGCGGTACTGCTGCCGTCGAATGCTCATGACACACGTTGATTTGATTGAAAAGCTCTTAAAGTCAGCTGAAATTCTTTCTCCCGAGCCGAATTACCTAGTTCTAACACAGTGTGGAATTCTACAGATATAACCCTGCCGAGCGCGACAGAGCAAAGATGCCCCTATAAACTCTCACGAGGCTCCGTGAGCGACGTGGGAGCTCAGGATTATTCGACAGCCCGTTTTCCTTGGGACGCGAGAGCCCCAGCGAACGGTTGTATAATGACCAACCAACATTTCAAAAAGCCCGTGGTCTTTCGTATCAGGCACTACGCAAACCGCGGCATCGAAATATTTGCCAAGTCTAGTGGTGTGAGTAGGGATATCGGCCACGATAAGATTAAAGACGAGCTGGGCAGACGGCGTTGAAGAAATTTAGGAAAATGTTGACCGGCAGGTTCAAGGTTGGGAGATTCGGCTTTCGCAAGAGCGGGTGAACCTTGAAAATGATTAATAAAGGCATTGCCCAGCCTTCTTCCTCCAGTGGGAGCGCTCACTGTACATACCAAACTCTATTGAATTGAACTATTTATGTGTCCAAGCCCACTTGACCCCTCTTTTTTTGCCCTTTCCACCGTGAAATGTTGGTGGATGGTCTGCAGTACCCTAAACAAACCTGACATAAGGGCCCCCAAATTGGAGAAAATCTGGCATGGACCCCCGAACGATCTGGACAGTTCGCGGTGGCTCTGCGCAAGCCAAAATCCAGCGTGACAGCTTTACCAATCGCGTATACTATTGCACCTGGGACACTGCCCAAGCTCCTGGCCCGCATGTGTAGTCTGGATATTCTTTCTGCACATATGATCAGCCATTGTGAAAGGATTGTTACCACATCGTGTGATTCCCAAGTTTCAGTAATATTTACTATTTAATGGAATGTTACCAATGAAAGATTGAAGGGTTAACCGGCTTTGGCCGATCTGGTGAATACGCATTTGGTAGTCCACAGAATGCCTTGCCATTGAAATGAAAGGGAGATAGTAACTTTAGAAGTGGGTTGATGGATTTCAAACCGCGGTCTTTGTGCCCAGAAGTTAAACGAGCTAAAAAGTCCGCCATCCTAGTCTGCGCTGCGATAAAGACTTTCACCTTTCTTCATCTCTCATCATACGCATCGTCATTATTCTTGATGAAGTGGAGTCGGGAAACATAAGGAAAGTATGTACTCCTTACAGAGTACTCCGTACAGAGTACATACATTTACACGATGTTGCCATTCACCGCTCACCCGCATCTTCCCCAAACTTTGGTTTTTAGCTTGCTCTGCGACGGCTGCCACTCAAGTAGACGGCAGAAGTGCCAGAGCTGAGCGGGAGTGACGGCTCCAAACCAAGACTAGGCTGTTTTGCATCCTCCACCATCCAAAAGAGGTACAGGGGCTGGCTTGGTTCGGTCTCCCGGGATAGCCCTCACGATTCACAGCCTGCCCACGGCCGGCCGTGCTTAACTATACTTGGCTAAAGCCCCCACGCGAGATGGGGCCCTGCGGAATGGGGGCCGAAAGGTCCCAGCACTGAGGAACTAGGGGCGCCCCGACTTTCCAGTCAATTGGGTGCGAGCGCCTCTCGAAAATGCGAAAAGCAAACAGCAGGCGAAGGAGGCTCCGACGCTTTGGACGCCTCCCTCCTCAGTGGGTTGTCACAACTCGTCAACTCGCTCAAAGTTTGCCTTCAGTAACGATCGGAAGAGGATCGCAGCCCATCGAGCAAGGTGTTTCGATAAGTGCAACCTCGTTCGGCGAACATCATTTCCAAAGCAGTGTTTTTTCTAGATTTCCATGTCCCACAGCTCGGGATCATTATCACAGAGCGGCTAGGACCCAAATGGCGAGTTTCACCAAGTGCGACAAACATTCCTCGATCTTCGTGGCGAATGGCTTTGGCGTTTTGTTGGATGCAGCGGTGTCCGAAACATGAGCCTAGTGCCTTGCTTGGACCAACCAAAATCCAACTGTGGACAACCACGACGAAATTCGACCATCGCCAATGGCCTCAGAGCTTAGGCTTGGCCACCAGGCCGGCGCCTAGATCCCTGCTCGTCGACCAGCCGTCCTTCGTCCTTGGTCCCTCTGTGACTGGTAGAAGCCGGCGCTTCCCTCCCGCATCACCCTCCGATCTGGGGGCAACGAAGAGAGACGCTCACCGATATTGAAACCCCTCCGAGTGGATGCTTCCATAACCCTGGCCAGAAAGTTCTGACGTTTTTCTCTCCGACTACGCCGCAACTCTTTGCACAAATGGAGCAGGAGGTTTAGGCTCTGAGTTGTCCGTCGCGGAGTGACCGGCCTGTTTCCTGCTCGCCTCCTACGCTATTGTTATTTATCGCCTTTTGTCGATGCGGCCTTCGTTTTTAAGGAATTGGAGGAAGCTTCTTTCTCTCAGGTCTCCTGGAACTTTGAGTCTTGATCGCATTACCAACATCGTTGGCTCGGGCTGAATCGTTGGTCACTCATCTTCCGCCATAACAATTGTAAGTGCCTTCCTTGGAACATTCGGATGCAGCCTGTTCTTTTTGTGGAATTCCGCAATCATGGGTGTTACGTTGCCGAGGATGCGGACTATAAGCCGTTTCTAGCGATAGTTTTGTTTTCATATTTAACGGCTCAGAGCTGACTAGTATCTATCGCAAGCTAGGTGTTCGTCGAAGAAATGATGATTGCAATTAAAACCGCGTACACCGCCTCTCATTCCCCCGTGGATCGCGTCTTTTCTTCCATATCGAACTCCCCTAGCACGTTGAGCCCGTGTAAATCCACGAGATCTTCATTGTTCGTTCGGCGTCCAACGTCTTCCACGAGCCTTACTCTGACTGTTTTATAGGCCGTCCGAAGTACCAGCACAAAATAAACCCCCGGTTCTCCCGAGTCCAAAAATTGAAAAGGTTGACAGAATGGAAGATACTCCAGACCTCACGTCCGTGTTGTCGCAGGATCAGGAATTGGAATCGGTGGAGGCAGAACAGTGTTTAATGAACGACAGAGCGGCCATCACTACCACTTCAGACAGTGAACCAGAGTCTTCAAGCCCGCCACCTCCACAGGAGCTTACTGTATGAGACCAATCCTTATCTTTAACTAGCTTTTCCTGGAGAAGATGCTAACTGGTATATGTAGCTCCAAACGACTGGCATACATTTGAACAACTCTCATCCTAACGAGGAAGACCCACAGTCTGTGATCCACGCCCCTCCTGGATTCGCTGAATTTGTACAGTCATGACAGTATCCTCGAAGCCTTTGTGACTGTTACTGACGAGGAATAGCGAGCGGGAGATTCTCCTCATGAATCCACAATGTCGTCTGCCCCTGACTCCGACATAACAATCCGGACGTTGAGGCCCCCCGGTAATCAATCGGAAAAGGTTTGACATGGAGCATCTAGTAGGATTCCTGGAGTTGGCTAACGGTTGGATTAGCTGTCCACGAGCCCGATCTCTCCACCGCCATTGACAACGAAAGTTGCGCCTTGGTCTGATCGAGCAACTCCACGCGCCCAAACCAGACAAGAAATTGATGCCTTTGGTCGAAAACCACGGCCCAACAGCTTGGAAGGTAACAGCGTTCTCCTCTAACACCAAGTCTCGAGAGCTGATGATTTCGGTAGATATACCAGAGACTCTCGATCATGATTCGGCTCACGAGGAAGCTGAAGAGGGATCGGAAAATGCTGTCCCCTTACCTGCTCATGATTGTGAAATCCGTGCATTGAAAACCGCGCTCTCTGAGTGCTGGACTCTCTGTAATACACTGGCGACCTTAAGCTCTATCCATAGAGAGCGTCTGTTCAAGGGTTCCGGTAGGCATGATATGGAAGAACAGGCATGGAAGTCATGCTGGAAACTCTGTCAAAACTTGTATGAAAATCGGGACAACGACTATGCCTTCCATGTTCGACCAACTTTGGATCTCTGTCGAGAATTCTGCCAGGCGCTCTTCGAAATTCGAATAAGAGATGACGAAGTCGCGGACTCCATTCTACGGGTTAGTTTTGAGCTAAATAACCATCTTTACAATACTCATGATCGAAACTTGCCCGAAGCGTTCCGAGAACGTACACTGGACTTTTATATCACATTATGCCATCGGCTAATGAAGCAGCGAACCCAATTGGCCGAAGAAACAGATTCACTTCTGAGAGCCTGCTGGGGCCTCGCAGAGATGTTATTCAACCTGCGGCAAAGCAAGAGAGAAGGCAAATATGCTGACGAAGATCTTCTGGGTTCTGCAGTACAGGCTTGCTGGGATCTATGTGACCTTTTCCGGGAAGGATGGACGCAGGTTCGCCCGGATCGTAGAACACCAAGGCCAAGCCAGACAACGTTTACGCAAGCCTTTTATCAAGCTAAGGGAGCAGGATATTTTGAGACCGTCGAAGGTGTTCCCATAACCCCTAACCCAGAAACTCCTACCACGATATTTGATGATACCGCCACCATGCTCTCTCCGGACCAAGCGCAAGTCCCCAATATACTCGTACTTGGGGCCGGAAACATTCAATCCCTGCAACCAAATTGGGCTTCCACTTCCAGCTCCACTCTAGCGGGTTATTCCCGCCCTACTTCCCGCTCTTCCACGACGTCCTCAACACATACCGTAAGATCACCTGCCGATGACCCAAACTTAACATGTCTCAAACTGCTTATCGTCCGAGCAGCTATGAACAACGGCTTCCAACGCGGTGGCGCACATACACTTCCATCTTTTGCGAAAGCGTTGTCATCCGATGCTTTTGGTACCTTGCACTGGCAAACATCTCTGTTGCTGAATTATAAGAAACTAGTGACTGGCGATCCGGCATTTAGTGCTGCACCTCCACCCGCGCGTGCCTCGGCCCCAGATATTGCGAGGGCAGTCCAAGTGATGATTCAGCATAACGGACAGTATGCATGGTTACTGGATCTCTATCGGCTGGTGTTTGGGTTTCGGACGGATGAGGCGATGCATGGGAGTACTGTAGTAATTCAATCGTGAGGATTTTAGGCGGCTATGTGATGGTTAAAAATGACTTTTTTTGAGAGCATGTTCGATACCCTAACTCCTTTTCTTCTACATTGTGAATTGATCATCTTGAGATATACCTTCATTTATTACTTTCTTCGAAGTTGATAGCACTTGTTCTTGACTTGATATGTTCACATATACCGGTTGCTTTGCGGACTTTGCCGTGTACATCTTTTTGATACTTTGCCTCTTTTCAATTTGAACCCTCTCTTCAATAACAGCCAGTTTCTGTTTCAACAAAGAATACCATGATACTTCAATACTTGCTCAGCAGGATGTGTTTTACTTCACACCCACACGCACCAGAAGCAATTTTAAAGCGGAAACCATAACAATGTTTTCAGAGCTTCACGGGATCGGCACACTTGCATATTGTCCCAGAAACGGTTTCCTGAAAACTCTCCCTTTCCCCACGCCCCTGAACCTCGGCGCCTCATTCACGCTCTGGAGTCTGAATGACAAAAAATGCAACGTTGCTGTCGCATTGCAATTTCTTCCCTCGCGTTTTGAGTTAGCGTTTTCAGATGAGACAGCAGTCTTCCTGACTAGCTCATCGATAATGGTCAGTCCTTCAAGAAGCTTAGGGAGGCATGCAAATGAATACACCGCCGTGAATGGGCCATATAGCTATTCAGCGGACTGCTGGAATCAATGCAGACAGCAACCAGGACTAAACACCAGGACTAAACACCAGGACTAAACACCAGGGAGGCAGAGTAATCTGGAAACGAGCCTGAAGGTAAGTGACATCGCTATCTCTGTGCATCCGGCTAGCTTCTACGATGTATCTGCGTAGTTTCATCAGGACCTCGTTCTTTGTGGATATTTTTGCCTGGCAAAAAGATGAAATTGAAGCCCCTCGGTGGCTATTCCTGAGCTGATTTCTATTTGGAGAGCACAGACATGGGCTAGTTAGCTATGCGGGAGTTTGAATAAGAGCTACACGCGGGCCATAGACTTAAGCTCAAGACGGCTTTTTCTTTTTCTTTTCTTTTCTTTTCTCTTTTTTCCTTTTCTCTTTCTTTTCCTTTTTTTTTTATTTTTTTCCCCCGTGAGTGTGTGATGGCAAGCTTGGTTAATCCTCGCATCGTTCCAGGGAAAATTTGAACCGCGTGATGTCAGCCAAGCCGGGTCGGTGGCTTCGAGCTTGTTTAGCGAGAAGCTTATCTCGTAGTTCACGCTGAAAGCAGCAAGTCTGCCGAACAACCTCGCAGGGTGGTTGTACCGCCATGGAGTGACCATAAGGATTCATTTACACTAGTACGGAGTATGCCGGCCTCGGGATAGTGTCTAAGGATGTCTAACTAATCTAATCGATCGTATAAGGAGCACCCCGAGCCTAAGTTCGAGTTAAAGGTAGCCTCAACGGCCAGCTCTCCCCGTCACATTCGTGGGAGCCACGATACCGACGACGGGTCGGACCTTGGGCACGCAAAGGACATTGGGACCCTTCGGCCAGTCATTTTGTCGCCCCAGCTTCCCTTTCCATGTTCTCCTCCGCGATCCCAGCGTTGGATGCGCTCCGGACAGAATCCAAACTCCAGATATGCGGGCATCATAATTTAAAGCTGGGATATCGTTATTACGATCTGCTGGCGAAATTTGACCCTCATTCACAGTACTTATAGTGGTGTATTGCCCATATACACCAGTTTCCGTGGGTCTGGCGGCTCGTTCGGCGCTGTGGCGTTCGCTCAGTTATCAAATGGTAACTCTACCAAAGAACAGGCTCTTTAAAACAACCGAGATGGCAGCAGGCTTAAAGAATTGCCTATGCTGGTGTTCTGTAATCCTGAGCAGGAATCTTGGATGTATTAAGCGATGCCAATTCACTCATCTTCACATGCACTGTCCATTGGCATCCAATCCATAAAGATCGTCGGCGTGTTCCGCACCAGTGGATTCCTTTTGATGCATGAGAATGGAGAGCGGCTGTGACCCTCTCTTCATCTCAGCTACTGAACCGTTCCAAACAGACATGTGGCAACCAGGCAATGATCCTGGCAACTGCAGTCCACTGCCCAGTGGCCGTGTGGAAATGCTGGAGAAGAGAGTTTCCATTGACGGATTCTTTTCTCCACGGCTAGTTAACCCCACCGTCGTCATTCTTATGTAACTAACGCCACTCACTCCTGTCAATGAGTTCCCCCGTTTCCTTATACAAAGTCTGGCTCAGCGGAGTGTTCCTGGCATCATTCCAGGACACCCATCGTCATTGGTCTCTTCAATTTGGGTTGTGTGAACCTTCCATGGAGAGCCTTTGGGGCCGTTTCTCGCCATTTGTCACAGTTCGGACCATGTCACCAAGGTGGAGGTACACAATTTTCTGGTGCAGATCATCATCGGAAGTCCTTCCCTGATGGCAACCACATGGGGGTTGGATAAATATATAGAATACCCCATTCCCATCCTCTATCAGATCTGCTTCTGGCTTCTGGCTTCCTTCTCCCCGATTCTTTTGTCCCACTTTATCTACGCCTTCCGAGTCACCCTCGCCATCCGGATCTCAACATTCGAATACGATCCCGAGCCCCTCTAAGGGAGAACCTTTTGGTTGGAAGGCGTTGTCAAAAAGCTGACTTGCTTCCACTGATCTGCCGACTTGCAACGGCCTTTTATTGGGTCCTTTCAAGGAAAGACTTTCACAGTCATGGAAGGGGCACCACGGTATGCCGGCATGACCGGCCAAAAGCTCTCTCTGTCCATCTCGACGGTGGCCACCTGCGGATTTTTACTTTTTGGATATGATCGTACGTCGTTGAACCGCATATCCTTCAGTAAACGCATAGCTAACCCTATATCTCAATAACAGAGGGCATTATGTCCGGTATCATCAGCGCAAAACCATTTAATGATGTTTTCCCTGCTACAAGAGACAATGCCACAATGCAAGGTTTCGTCACAGCCATTTACGAGATTGGTATGTCGAATAAAGCCGACACTGATGGAGCATGTCTAACCACAATCAATAGGCTGTCTGGCTGGTGCTATGTCTATTATTTGGGCAGGTGACGTTCTTGGACGCCGCAAGTCTATTATGCTGGGGGCAACCATCATGATTCTTGGAGTTATTATCCAAGTCACATCATTCCCCGGCCATGATCCACTCGCCCAGTTTATAGTTGGGCGAGTCATCACAGGAGTTGGGAACGGGATGAACACTTCTACGATTCCGACATACCAGGCTGAATGCTCTCGTACATCTAATCGAGGGCTCTTGATATGTATCGAGGGCGGCGTCATCGCGTTTGGTACGCTGATATCATACTGGATTGATTTCGGAGCTTCCTACGGTCCGGATGACTTGACATGGAGATTCCCCATTGCATTTCAAGTCGTTTTTGGGGTTTTCATTGTTGTCGGGATGTGGTTCATGCCCGAATCGCCGAGATCGCTTTGCATGCATGACAAATTCGAGGAGGGAGAGAGGGTTATTGCTGCTCTTCAAGGAAAACCAGTGTCTCACAATGATGTTCAATTACAAAAGACCATTGTTCTCGACTCTATCAGGGCGTATGTTATTGTGGATACGTTTATGACTGGATGGATTTTTGCTAATTCTTATTTAGATCCGGAGAAGGAGGTAAAGCTGCACCCCTATCGGCCGTTTTCTCCAACGGAAAAACTCAGCACTTCCGTCGTATGCTTCTGGGAGTATCATCCCAGATCATGCAGCAAATCGGTGGCTGTAATGCGGTGATCTGTTAGTTTGCCTTCCACTTAAAATTAGCACGCTAGAGATCACAAAGACTCACGATTTTTGATAGACTATTTCCCTATTCTCTTTGAGAAATCGATTCATCAGACCCACACAATGTCCATGCTTCTCGGCGGGGTCAACATGATCATCTATTCCATTTTTGCCACCACCTCCTGGTTCCTCATTGAACGTGTTGGCCGCCGTAAGCTCTTCCTGTATGGCACAGTCGGTCAATGCCTCTCAATGGTGCTCACATTCTCCTGCCTGATTCCCGGAACAGAAAGCGCCGCCAAGGGTGCCGCCGTCGGGCTATTCACATACATCGCTTCCTTCGGCGCTACATGGCTTCCTCTACCGTGGCTTTATCCCGCCGAGATATCTCCCATCAAGACGCGTGCCAAAGCCAACGCCCTCTCCACATGTTCAAACTGGCTCTTCAATTTCACTATCGTCATGATAACGCCCGTCATGCTTGACGGTATCGGCTGGGGTACATATCTCTTCTTCGCTGTTGTCAACGCATGTTTCCTGCCAATAATATATTTCTTCTATCCCGAGACCGCTCGGCGCAGTCTTGAAGAGATCGATCTTATCTTCGCCAAAGGATTCACGGAGAACACTAGCTACGTCGCCGCAGCCAAGAATCTGCCATATCTGAGCGAGCAAGAGATTCGGGAGATGATGATTCAGTATGGTTTGGCGAGTAATGACGGCTCTCTTGGTGCGGGGAGCGCTTTCACCCCTGGATCGGAAATCGATGGCGAGAAGCACGGCGCGGAGGCGTTGGAGATCTTGGATGAAAGTAGTACCGGCAGTCCTGATCGTGCAGAGGGAGAAGGGAAGATGGCATAGACCACCACTAGTTTAAATTTAAAAAGAGGCTAGATTTTGTTGGTTAACAGAAGACGGGCGAGACTCACAGCTTTGTTGAAGAGCGAGCCAGTTCTTTACGTTTGATTCCTTCTCCTCTTTTCCTTTGCTTTACTTTCTTTTTCATTTTGGCACTGTATACTAGAATCGAGTTGCTCATAGAGTAGGAAGACCATGGATTAAAATTGGTTGAACTGCCAGTTTGAAGTATATAGTTCTATAATTCTGCATTAAAATAATAAATTGGCTCTAAAAAAAAAAGGAAAACAAAAAAGAAAACGAAAAGTCCCAACATAAGTCCCTTGGAAGCTTTTCCTAAACTCCAGCAGAGCACAAGCCATGTGTTTCATGTAGTATTGAGAAACAGAAACAAAGCACACTCAAAATCGTCACTAAAATGGCCAGTCATAACATTCATGTCCACCCTTTGAGTTCAAAATGACCGAAGCATAAAGAAAATATATAATACAGAAAATTGAATCTGAGAAACATTGGTGATCATGCCCGAACATATTAAAGAAAAAAGAAAAGAAAAAAGAATTAAAACACACTACCATCGCTATAATAAAGTGTATAGGTGGATATCCCGAACACCAAAATTTTTTTTTTTTTTTTTTTTTTTTTATTTTTTATTTTTTATTTTTTTTTTTTTTTTTTTAAAAAAAAAAAAGAGAGGAAAAAGAAAAAGGTGTGCAGAGGTATTAACATCATGGAGAAGGTATAAATGGCCGTTTGCAGACTTTATCTAATGCGTATGAGTAATATCTATCGAGTAGATCGGTCTTCGTGAGAGCGCCCTGATGCATAAAGTTGAAATGTGCAGCGAGGGCTTTGCCTTCGATGAGAATATCTGCGATACTATTAGTCACTAACGCACGCCACACACAATGCGCAGGTGGAAGGAGTATATTAAAAAAAAAAAAAAAAGTTAAGAGAAAAGACAAATAATAAAAGGCTTTCAACTTACGTCTATTAAGCTGCTTAGGTAAATCCAGGGCAATCATATCCTCATCACCCCGATTGTCAGGCCAATGGTAAACATCCGTGTCTAGCACATCGTCGCCTAATATGGCGAGTGCGTTGATTCTGATCCGCTCTCCGCGCATGTTCCACGCAGGCGAGAATTTGTATCTGTCAAGCGTGTTTTTCTCTATGTTTTCCAGCAATGAGTAGTGCTGCTGCGCGGCGATTGCCCAGCTCTCGTAAGTTGGACCCCAGAAATCGTAGGTTAACTTTGCGACGGGCGTGCGGTTCAAAGCCTTGTCGTCTTGGACGCGAAGCCATCGGTGGCCGTCGCTTGGTGGTTCATTCTCCAGAGGCCATTCGAAGTCGTTGGGACCCTCCCAGAATGGATGCTCCGATGGACGCCAGCCGGGAAGGGAGCGCTTCTCGGTATCGTTCTTGGGGGTCTGACGTGGATCAGGCTGGTCATCTTTCTTGTTCGACGGCAGCAGTTCGGGAAAATATGGATGAAGAGCGTCATGGTGGTAGTGTAGGAAGCTCAGTGGAGGACCGTTGATAACGTTTGCGGAAACAGCCAAAAAGTCAGGGTTCTGTAATTTCGTGGTGACCATATTGGGAATCGCATCATCTGCCAGCCACATCTATGCTTCATCAGCAACCGTTCAAAGGTGACAAATCTGTGTGAATATGTGCGCTCTCTTACAATGTCGTCGTCAAGCTTGATATACATGGTGCCTCTTTCGACTTGCCTCCACAGTTTTGTGTGGTCAGGCCACCAGACAGGTTTCTCGATGAAGATTTTCTTATATCGCGGGGAGCGCTTCAAGATCTGGTCTAGGAATGCCAAATCATCTTTGTCCTTAGTGTTGGCAAAGAATCGGACCTCGTCCAGCCAGCCACCATTATCGACCAGATTTCGCTGAACGCCAGTGTATCAGTTGAATTGCGCAACCACTTGCGACTCGCAGGTGAAAAGAGAGACAAACCTCAAGATAGCAGTGTAAAGACCTGACCCTGCTGCGGCGCCCAAAGAATACCATTCCGCTGATGGTGAGGTTCTCCGGTTTAACAAGCTCTGGCGGACGCATTGGCGTGTTAGCAGCTGGGGGGATCGACGAGCTATGTTTGGGGGCAGAATATTTGATTCGCGAGCGCCCGGTAGATCTCCATGTCAGGTGCGAAAGGTAGAGGAGAGCGAAAAAAGTGAAAACGGCCAAAGTGGCGACTAAAGGCCGTTTAGGAGGGCCAGCATGAAGACAGATCATAATGGCGACAATGAGCTTGCACTATGACACCAGCAGCAGCCCGTGGTGATTGCAACGAAGAAATCGACGGTCTGATGCGACCGAAGGGCACGGTAATGAAGCTGCTACGGTGTAGGCTGTGCGCATCGGTGATGATACGGAATGTTTCTTGACTCTCGGCGTATGTGGGAGCAGGTAAAGAAGAGCTTGATTGTTGGCTAGCGATGAGAGAAGGATAGGAACAGAGCATAGACAGGCCAGCAACAAAAAGAAGAAGAAGAAGAAAGTCGAATGGATAGCAATCGAGGGCTTCGGAGGTGGTGCAGCCTCTGGAGCTCTTCAACGACACTGAACTCGGGTCAAGAATAGAAAACCAGACCCCAATATACAGAGTAGCTCGCGACTGAATCCTTGAGACGGAGAGAAAGAGGCCCTGTCAATAGTTTACCAGGTGTCCGCAGCAAGCATTGAGTCAGCAATAATTATTTCTCCGGACAGAGAAGTTGTTGCTGATGAAGGGCAGAGTCAGGATAGCGATCTGCAGGTCCAAGGCGATCATCTGGCGGGCGCAGGAGGAGAAGAAGAAGAAGTAGGGTGAATGAGCTGCAAAAGCGGCGGTTCCGACGACCAGAAACCGCAACGGTCTTTCTACAGACTCGCCTGGCGAGGGAATAACAGGTTTCTGCGGCGGTACTGGCATCTTCTTACTCCGGTCAGAGTTCCGGTCTTCTGTGACACCGCCTCGCAGGGTGACCATCAACACACGGTTGCGAAGATCGGAGGGACGTGTGCGCAGGGCCGGGCGACAGCTGTCCATATCGTTGAGTGGAACAGTGCGCGTCCGTTCCTCCGCCAGTCGCATGCGATATGAAGGCAGAGCTGTCGCCGAGCACGGGCGTGGACTCTACGGCGCACATCCTTCAGCGGCAGTGTCGACGTCAACCCAGGCCGGAAGAACACGAGGGTGTGTTGAAAGCAGGTTTCGTGATTGGGCAATGCTGGCAAAACGAGGTGTTGCAAGGTCAATCAGGCCCTGTTTGCGCGTTCTCCCGACTAGCGAGCGGGTTGGCGCATCCAAACGATCGCGATCCACTTGCGACGCTTCGGGTTTTGCCTTTTCCGCGCTCTTTCGCCATCGTTCCGGGCGATGGTGAGCTAATTATATCTATTTAAACTTCCTCGACACGTCTGAAAGTCGTTGACATGAAATCTCGCTCGCACTGTTTGCTTAACCTCCTGGTGTGCCAAGGTGCAGTGCCAACCGGGGATTTGCTCACTCTCTTGACTCAGCTAACTAGCGAGATTTCCAGGTTCCAATTGTCACTCGAAGGAGCCGCCTAACATCCAGGTTTCGATCCGGGTTTGATGTCTCGAAACAGACCATCCCAGACGGATGACCCAGTCCCCTTACGGAGAGCCGGTGCAACTTCGGTCTGCTCCACCAGCCTCATGCACAGACCCCATCGGGATGTCGATTCTCATGAGAATCTAAAGTTGGGAATCGACTGAATACTAGAAACTGCCTTTGGAGCGAGATAGGAAAACAAAATCTCTCTACGTTCTTTCATGGGGCGTTCTTGGACACGGATGCCGGCTTGGTCAGGTTTTCCCGCGCGATAGAAGTCTGATGGAAAAAGAACACTAAACGGATCAAAGACGTTGTCCTCCATTGTCCGTGCTGACCCTTTAACTGAAGCATGGAACTACTCCGTCACTTGCATCTACCTTGCCCTGGGTCGCCCAATTAATTCCAGATCCTCGCCTAAAATTTACATTTCGCCAGCCAAGCGCCCAGACAAAGCAGCCGTAAGACAAGCAGTCAACGGTCGTCTGGGCTTCTTGGTGAACTCATCTCATGTGCCCATGTTACACTGGCAGTTGGATCGCTCTGCGCCACCGAATTTAAGATCGATTCTTTACAATTACCAATTTTGACAGAGCAAACTCGGAGAGAAATGAAGCAAGCAGGCAGAATGGCTTAAAGCATTGCTTGACCTAGTTCATAAATTAGTATGTCCCTGCTCCGTACCAGGGAGAGTACTCCGTCCACCGTTGCAGGTCTGGCCGGGGATCGATGGCGACAGGGTGTGATTGCATCCTGTGAGGTCGCTTCCGTTGAATGCTGCCTTGACTGTGTGGCCGTCTTCAGGTCACCAATTCCCTGTGAAATTGGTCGAACATCTGTTTTACCCGGTGCGGGCGGACGTTGACGTCCCTGAAGCCCGCCGATGAACACCCAAGAAAGACGCTCCGCTGTCGCTCTATCCTTACGTGTGACGGACATTCGACACCGGAGTGCAACCATTTCCCTTCCGGTTGGAAACCCCCAACGTGACCGAGGAGTCTGTCCCCAGCCTTGATCATCCAATCGCCAGTGAACCGCCTTAAATGAACCCAGTTCTTCGTTAACTACTTGATACTTTGGTAGCCCTGTCGTGGGTTCGGCCCCCAAAATTCCGTACATACGTTCAAGATCTCAACCTGGGTCCTTCACGTGTCGACTCTCCCAGAGAGAAAATGGCATTCTTAAGCTCTTATGGCTTATGAAACACATACATCCATAATCTCCTTTCTGACGACTTTGAAAGATTCTCGACATGTTTCCTAGGGTCATGAATTATTTTCGCAGGATGGAATTCTTTCACAAAAATTGGAAGTTTCTTTCCCGGGAAAACAGGCAGGCCAGGTACCGGCGCCACGCGTCCTCTAATGGTAGCTCATTTGATATTCAACGAGTGGAGCAAACAGCCTCAATTTACAAAGTTCCGAGGCAATAGAGACTCTATGACAGTTCGAAAATCCGGAGAAAGTTCAAGGGCTTAAAGCGGATGTAAGTTTTGAAATTTGCGAACCTTGAAAATGCCAAGAAGGTCTTAGAGCGCGCACATTGAAAACTCAAGCTAAGAGATATTAGATATTTGAGAGCTTAAGATTATATTAATTAATTTTCTGCTCCAACTACTTTATAAGTAGTAGTTAAATAGTTAATTAGTATTAATAACTGTAATTGCAAGTAATTAAATAAATTATTAAATTATAAGTATATAGAAGTGCTTAAAGCACTGATAGTTATCTGCTATCTGTCTATTTTAATTAATTACTTTAAGATAAATATATTTAATCTTATTATTATGCTGCTTACAAAATTAATTAATCTAGTTAATCTTAATATTCTCTTCTGTCATCTCTTATACAATATTTTATAGAATCTGAAATGTAATGGCAAGACTGTGACTAAAGAGCTTGTTTATATAATTTAGAAGCTCTGTCTTCTGTATATCAGAGAGCTTTTTCTTATATTAGAAGATTACTTCATTCTGAGCAAGTTGCAAGTTTTTATATTATCAGTACAGAGTCTCTTAGTTAACTGAGTACTTTCTCACAGTTGCAGTGTAATTTGAGGTCTCTTGTGATTCAAGATCTTCAATTGCAAGCCTAATTAAGGTGTTGTTGACCATGTTGTCACATATTGAATGTTGAATGTTGGAGGAATTTTGGTGGTGGAAGATTTGGCTTGTTTAGTGGTGTGGCTTGCTTAGTGGTGAACTACCTTACTTACTTACCACTCGGCCACCAACCATGTTGGTTGAGGACAAAGGAGCCCGAGTCGCTGAGTGTACCAAACACATTGTTGAGGTCTGTCAGCACTATACTGTGAGCCACTGAATGGCATTCTCTCATTACGCTCTGATCCTTTTTTTTTTTTTTTTTTTTTGGGTCGAGGAGCGAAACGTGGATTCCTTCTGGAAAGAATCCAGTTGTCCAATCAATCATATAAAATTTCACTAGTTTCAGGTGCCTATTTTTGACTCCTGAGGGAATGGCATTCCCTTGATTCTGGAGCCTTTCCCTCCCATGTATTTGTCATAGAACACAAATAACTAGCTGCCACTCTCCTCTCCACCACTGAGACACAGAGAGTCCATTTGCAGGCCTTTTTGTTTGATCCACCATCAGTGAAAAATGCCAATTTGGTACCACTTCATGGGTGAAAGGTGGTTACAATCTGCCTAAAATGTTGAAGGGCGTGTCTCTGCATCCTGATGCCCAATGCGTCGACCAAGTTTGAGTTCTTAACTTGGAGTTATCGTCCAATACTATCCTCTCTGCTCTATATAAATGAGAGAATCTCTTAGTATCTCTACTCCGATAGGGCATTCGATATCTCCACAATTTTTGTCCAATCTTGAGTGCTGATATGTTCTCCGGCCCTGATAGGTTTTCCTGTCTGAGCAGTTGCAAAAGAAGCCAGCCCGCACACTTGTTGCTGGCAGCGACATCTTTCGCTATCCCGGGCCATATTATGGCTGCCTCATTGGGAGTGTCCACCGGATATGAGAGGGTTGTTCTTCTTCGCGGGCTCTCATACCGGGAAACTCGATACTTGGGCTTGGGTGACCCAAGACCAATGGGGTGGCGAGGAGCCGCCTGTTGCCCCTGAGGCCATTCCTGCTCATCGGCTTGCGTTCTCGTTTTGGCTACGACGGTCAGTTCCTCCTCCGCGTTCGGCACTTGGTAGACCGACAGACCAAAATGTTGAACGGAGATGTTGTGCCGGCCCAGGACCTCTTGTGTGGCTATTTTCAGGGTTGAGTCCCATTGAGAGTGAATATAGGAAGCCTTCCCGAACAGGTATGCATGTTGACCCCAATGGGTGGAACAGGAAGGCCGCTGCGTCTGTAATCTTTTGAGCCTACCTTTCAAGGCGGGGGAAGCAAATGATCCCCGAAACGTTGACGAAAAGCTTCGATGTGAGGTGGCTACTCACATCTAGATCCCATGCAATGCAATGGCAAGGATCTGGAGAGGCCGAGAAGCCATGACCGGGATGCATTGCAAACATCCGCTGCAAATGCAACACAGAAGGGGAAAGAAAAATGTGGAAAATGCACAGCCAAATCAACAAAATATGGAGGGCAGCAATCGTAATGAATAAAAAAGAATTTCTTCTAGACTCCTGCCATATCTTAAAGTAATTAGTCTTTATTAAAGCTCTATAAGCTGAAAAGAATGCTGCTATTTAGAATAATAATTAAAAATTTCTCTTATTGCTCTGCTCAGTTTCTGCTGAAGAAATTGTATTATCTTCAGCTCTTATTTATCAGAGCAAATTGTGAGATCTTCAGAATATATAGCTAAATGATTATAATAAAAGTGAATAAGCCTACTTTACAGCTTCAACAAATGATTAAAGTAATGATAAATATGAACTGAAGTGATTGAAACAGATTTTTAATTAGTATACTAAGAAACAAGCTGATTGAGAAAGATATCTGCTTCTACTAGATGAGCATTTCTTCTATATAAATATAAAATTTATTGAATATACTGACTGTAAAAAGATTCTTTTTATAATTCTTCTGCTGTATTCAATCTACTGTTTGCAATCTCTTAATATTGGAATTTTTGAGCTGCTGGACAAGGCATATTTCAATAAGCTGGAAGCACTACTATATCAAGAAATAAGCTATATTTGTATGACAAAAAGAGATTTCTGAAGACTATTTAATATAGCTTGAAAGAAGACTTTAACAGTTAAAAATATACTTACTGGCTTTGCAAAGACTAGAATTAATTCTCTAGATTCTTAATATTAATTATATTAATTTGAAACTGCTCAAGCTTCTATACTGCTAGTTAAATCTTCTATTTCTAGTAATATGCATCAGCTCTGACAAGAGATCAAGAGTATATGTCTCTGGTATAGCCTAAATTTGCAGAGTATTGAATAGATTATTTAAGTCAGTAAGTAGTTTGCTCTTTATAATAAACTGCTGGAACATAAGAATCAGCAGCTAAGATTAATTCTAGTGATAAAGAAGCAATATCATAAGCAAGACAAGTCTCTAGACCTACTTAATAAAGATAATTCTAGTTAAGCACAGTTCTGGTCTCTAACAAAAGTTCTTAAGACATGCAAGCATCTGAATAAAATAGAGACTGAAAAAGCTGATAAAATTACTTAAACATAAGAAACAAAACTTCAACAAAAGCTTTAAAAGAAGCAGACTGCTAGAGATATTAAAAAAAGATAAATTAAATAGGAGAATGTTTATAAAAAGATCTGGAAGTAACAAGAGACTGAAAAAATCAAATATACTAGATAAAGAGAGATACAATATGTTGCTTATAAGAAGAAGACTTTACAACTAGCAGAGAAGAAAAGATAGATAATTAAACATGCTAATAAATACTGACAGTCAGGGCTTCAAGCACTAGCTTCAAAGTGCTGTTAGAAGGACTCCTCTACTAAAGAGTCTTATTATGAAGAGTCTATACAATCTTTCAAAAGAGAAAGTAAGAGCTCTACAAGCATCTCTAGCAAGATATTAGGCTCTCTAGCTGAGAAATCTACTGTTGACATTTCTTTGAATTCTTTTCTATCTACCCCCCAAATCTCTCACTCTGGCTGTAATATTAGGCTGTCCACCTGTTTATTTTCCTAACTATACTAATTTCTATGCTTTAAAGAATACATTCATTTAATATTTAATAGCTATTTAATAATAAAGATCTGGTTGTTGAGATATTTAATAAATTCATTGCGTGGAGCTTTTGGCGAAATTTGGCTCGTTTAGTGGTGAACTACCTTAAGTACCTCCTGGGATCTTCCCCAACCCAACCTCCTCCACACCACACCTGCACATTCTGTGTAGCCGCCCATCACCTCATGGCGTACTTTGGCCCAACCCTTATTTGGCTGCGATCATTATGCGCGGAGGCTCTTTTCGTCTACCTGCTAGTATTATTACTTCCCTGCTCCTCGCATTCCCAAACACCCGTCGTGTCTCGCTGCCCATTTCCCTACTCCACTTTTGGCCAGCAGCAGTCAGGACCATGGCTTCAACCTCTCACTCACCTCCACGCAGATTCCCTTTGTCGGGGTTTGTGGCTCTTGACCCAAAGCTGAAGGTAGAAGAGGAGGAACTACCCTCCTATGTGCCAGGAGATTTTTACCCAGTTACAATTGGTGAGGTCTTCGTGGAGAGATACCAAGTAGTAGCTAAACTTGGCTTTGGTATGTCGTCTACAGTTTGGCTTTGTCGGGACCTTGTGTTAGCATTTCCCAAAATATGCGCGCATGCTGTGACTTCAAGATGACCAACTTTCCTGTTAGGGATCATCGATATCTATCTCTCAAAGTATGCACTTCACACAAACAGCAAAATAATGAAATTGCCATCTGCAACCATCTCAAGGCAAGCAACATTGAGCACCCCGGAACACCATTTGTTCGCATGATACTTGATTCTTTCAACATCATGGGTCCAACTGGGAACCAACACCAGTGCTTGCTTTACCAACCTCTTGGGATGAGCTACACAGAATTTCTTGATTTGTTTCCCGACAAGCAGATGCCTGAGGCCCCTGCTTCAGAGGAGCATGCAGTTGATACTCTTGGGGCTAGACTATTTACATAAAGCCAAGGTTGCCCACACAGGTACGTTTTCCTTATCTGGTACATACAACGCAAGCTTGGGACCCAAGTACTGAGGTGTCTAGACATATCTGCAAATAACATTCTCCAAGGGATCACCGATCTTACAGCCCTTTCTGAAATTGAAGATGGTGAGGCCAGCCAGCCAATTGCTAGAAAGGTTCTTGATGACCGCACGATCTATATCTCGCGACCCATGCCGATAAACACAGGATTACCTGTTCTCTGCGACTTTGGTGAAGCCCGCATCGGTGACAAGCACAAGGGTGATGTCATGCCAGGGATTTACAGGGCCCCAGAGGTTATTCTGGACATGGAGTGGGATTCTAAAGTGGATATTTGGGCAGTCGGCCTCACAGTAAGGGGATTATCTCTGCCAAATGTTCTACGCATGTGAGGTGCAACTAATTTTGTTGTTCAAGACCTGGGATCTCCTCGAAACAGGAAACCTTTTTCTCGCAAGAAAAGACGGCCTACTGAATGATGAACAGCACCTAGCTGAAATGGTGTCACTTCTTGGGCCCCCGCCTCTCAAGTTCATAAGACGAAGTGACAAGTGTCTTCAGTACTGGGATGAAAACGGTACAATTATAACCCAGCAATTGCAGACTACCTTGCAAGCTAACAAGTGTTGTCTGTAGCAAACTGGAAAGGATCTATTCCTATCCCGGAGCAATCTTTTGAGATACGCGAGCGGAGCCTGGAAGGGGATGTCCGTACTATGTTCTTACATTTCCTACGATCGGCGCTCACATGGTTACCTGAAGAGAGGCTTCCAGCTGAAGATCTGGCACGGCACGCATTTCTTATGCAGCCCCTACTGGTTGCAGGCGGTCCGAAACAGCATTCTTGATGATCTGCTTCAATAATTAGGTTGTTAGGTGTGTGGTTTATACACACTCCTTGTCATCTGTACAGCATTCTCGAGAATCAATGGCAAACAGCAGCAGGACGGAAACAGAGACATTTTGCCACTGGTTGGCCATTGAAGAACACCTTCACAACCCAGACTCGCCCTTGACAAGAAAGCAAGAAGATCTACCAGGGAGGTCTAAGCTGCCTGGTTGTTTGAACATTGATCCTACTCCACTCTATCAAATTCCCCGCTCCTATCTGCAGACCAAGTACGTGATAGACTGGAATACATTCTCAGAATGAAGAATGAAAGTGAGATTTCGGTGTAGATCTCAAAAGAAATGGAGTAGTGACACTGGCATTTTGAGCAGAATGTAAACTTTCAGTGATGTGAAAATGAGGGCCTCTCTGCCAACAATGGTGGTTTTGCCACTCCTTCACGGTCCCCATTGCATTCTTGTAAAATGACAGCAAGCACTAATAATTTCAAGCTGCTTAGTTGTCAGTTGCTTGTTGAACCGGAACTCACTGAGGACAATCACTGAAGACAACAGCTTCATTGAATAAGAAAAGCGGGTGCATGGCCATCCTCTTCCAGGAGAGCTGGGACTTACAATTCTTCCTCCCTTCCAGCACAATCACCCCCCTCTGATATACTCTCTATAAATTCAGGATTTGAATCAAGTGCTGATTACTGAAATAAAGCTTCACTCCACATCATTTTCATTGACCAGGTCACCGAGTCCAGTGCTTTCCATCAAAACCTGACATGCAGCTGCTGCATCAACCTGGAGATCCTCCTGCACTAAGGCCACCAGAAGTTCAGGCACGAGCACCTCTCTGGTGTAAGTTAGGACGCCATAATGCTGGACAAGTTTGTCCACGGCAGTGATTTGATGAATATGAGGAACGAAGTGAGATATAACATGCTCCAACCTGTGTCTAGTCAGCAAAGCAAGGAAATTGAAATATGTGAGATACAGGAGACTTACAAGAGCTCATCACCCCGTGGACCATAATAACTGGCCCAGTGTTGTGGCCGCTGATAGATATATTCCATGTTATCCACAGAGATTTGACTCTGAAGGGTAGATTTATACTCTAACTTGTACTTAGGCTCTAGCACCTCATGTAGATGAGGATGATATTGTTTGAGGCGCTCATCGAGACCACTCCAGTCAATATCGGGATAAACATGCCTTGTCCATTCTTGCTTTGTGCTTTCCTTCCGGTGTGCCTTGCAGAGCTGAATCTGCTGGCGACCTGGTATAAAGGCACTTTTGATGCAATATTTCTGGAAAAGTGAGGCATCGAGTGGACATTGACAAATAGGACAAATCGCAGCGTCAGCAAAAACTCCCGGCTGAATGGCATCTTGCTCCAACAAATGAGGATCAATGTATGGAAGAAGCTCGGTAGCGCTTAACTTGCCTGTAGCAACATGTCCAGAAGCTTTGACGCCAGCTCCACTGCTTCTGGGAGAGGAGTATCCTGAGTCTACACTCTGGCTGTGCGTTTCACCAAGGTTTACTGGTACCTGGCCTTTTGCCGTCTTCCTGGTTTGTGCCTGAGTCACTTGACAGCAATCACTCTTGTTTCGTCTCGGCTGCTTTTGCTGTGGTTTCTCTACCTCTGAGGTGTCAGAGTCCAAGTCCTTCCTCTTAAATCTTGCGGGGTTGGTAATGTGGACATCAAGGCCCCCACTATTGGTGTTCTTGACTTATGATAGATCTGGTTGCCCTGCTTCAGGCTTGGACCCGCGGCCTGTGCATTGCTTTGGCATGGGAATACAATGGACATTGTCAAGATGGTACTGGAGTTCCGACAATGAATCAAACAGCATGTCACAATGTGGACCACAATGTGCTGGCCTGCCATTATTCAGAGCCATGTAATACTGGTCCATGTCCCTCTTAAGGGACTGATGATCCAGAAAGGGTTTCATGCGCTCACATGCAGACATAGTAGCATCCAGGAGATGTCTAGGACTGTATCCTGGTGAAGCTAGCATCCCCCAGGCATCAAGGTAGCCATACTGAAGGGGGATGGTTTCCGGGTGGTGCTGACAGTGTTCCTTAAACTGTGTCTCATTGGTGATCCACAGGTAACAGATGAAGCACAGAGCTGCATAGCCATACTGCTTTTCCAGGTTTCTCTGGAGGCATCTATAGATATGCTTCCATCTCTTTCTAGTAGATGCAGCCGATTCACTGAGGACAGGAAAGAGAACACAGGTTAGCCAATTGAAATTGCCAGAGCATGATCAGATGTAAATTCTCAGAGGAACGAACTTATCCAGGAGAATGGAGCATTCAGGACAGTGATCATTGTCTGCTTTAAGTGCTGGGTGGTCTGAGATAGGCCTCTTCTGCCTGCAGAGTTTGACCATGAGCTCAATTGCCTCTCAGCCCTCCTTGCTTTGTAGTGAAATAGTAAGGAATAGCAGTTCACTGAGCCTCTTTTGTTTGGGCATCAGGTGGGAAGCCTGATCAAACCACATCCAGTGATATGATAGAGTATGATCATCATGCTCACAAACTCCAGGTTTGCACTCCTTTTGCTAACATTGCTGCCATACTTCCAACTCTCAGGCCATAAGCCGATGTTTCTGCTTATAGAGTGCTCACTGCTGCACTTCCAAGTTCTGGGATTGCTCATCGGAGCTTGCAGTTTCAATCATCTCAGTCAGCTTGATAATCTGATCATTAAGCTCAGCACACTCTGCATTGTCCTCCAGATCTTCCTGCAGTTTCGCTGGTAGGGCCTGCCATAATTTTGGGTGACGCCGCAATGTTAAACCGCGAAATGGTTCTGCCAGGTTCTCTTCACAGTCCAACTTCAGAATGTTCAACACGCCCTGAACACTGCTAGTTGAGCTCATGTAGGACTCAAAAAATATCCTAGGATTTAACCCATGGCCAGCAAACTGTGCTTTTTCTTCCATACTGTATCCTTCCGCTATCACCACAAATACCAGTAAACCATTAGTGTAAGACTCAAATCTCAGTTGGGTTACAAATGCTTACCATTTGCCTGAACAAGTCCCTCTCTACACAAAGCATGAACAGTAGGCGGCTTTTCATACCCAGTACAGAAACCCAGCTTTCTTAGTTCACTACCTGCCCGATTCCCAGTGAGGATCTGACCAGTCAGGGCTCCATTCTCAATTTTCTCAAAGAATGCTGTCCCGTTGTCATTAGAATCATGGGCAGCAGAGAGGCAAGCAGTTGATCATTGTGAGACATTATGCATCTTACTTGAAAACCCTCTAGAGTCTGAGTCATACAGATCAATGGTTGGACAATCTAGCACAAGTTCATAAGCCTTTTCATATGGTGGTGGCTCAAGTGCGAATATCTCATCAGCTGTCTTGAAGTCGCGGAAAAGACCACATGCCAGGCAAATCACAAGTGGCTCCAATACTGGATTCAAATATAGGGGATTAGGCCCAATATTTTCTTGCATCGGATGCCGGGGCCTGAATCACACATTAGATAAAGCAAACCCAGTTGGACCATTCTGAACTCACTGTTTGTCTTCATTGTTCATGTTCTTTGCATCTCGTTTTGGGCGGACAACCATTTGAGCTTGGCCGTTGCGATCACGGATAACAACAAAGGTCAAGTCCTGGTTTCAAATCAGTTTCTCCCAAAAGCAGTCTAGGAGGATTTGCTACTCACATCAGGGACATACATCCCCCGGCCCGATTGTCCTCGCGCATTTGACTCAACATACTCGCCCTGACGTGCAGATGAATACATGGACATCTTGAGGATGGCTGAGTGGTATACTCGATATATCAGAGCGAAATACTCGTGCCAATCATGGCCCCACAATTGCTCTAGCAGATGCTTGAAATGGGCTAATGTCGCATAGGTTTTCTCCTCAACTTTAAGGTTGAGAGGGACAATCGTGGGTAATGTATTAATAATAAATTATACAGTTGCTAATTAGCTTTGGCGATATTCAGTAAGCAGCTGGGTAACCACAGTATGGATCACCTACATGTGTGCCAGAGTTGGTCACCCTACTTGGCATCTTTTGCTTTTGTCGACGGGCCCACTCCGCGATGAATTGCTTCCATCTCTCCATGATATATGATGCTTTCGGTCTTGGTTCATTTTTCTTCTGCCCTCTAGCACTACTCGCAAGGAAGACTATGAAGTCTCTCATTGTCTTCTCATCCAAGATGTTGTCGCCGTGTTTTTCACTACACCTACACAGCCGTCAGCCATAGAAAGAATAGATGATAGGAGACACTTACCTCTTCCATACCGCCCATACTTTGCCATATTCTCGCTCGGGAGATTCTGACAATTTTCTCTGCTCTGGTTCAGCACTGATCTCGGGATTTTCAGGAATGTAACCATTTGCGTCAGCTCTCTCCTCCAAGTCTTCGTAGGAGACTTTCTTAGGCATTGCGCAAGAGTCTCTGTGAGAGGTTGAGATAACACGCCAGTGGAGGTGGGAATTCTCTGTTGATCAACATAGAAATGGGAAGAGGTAGGCAAGAAGGTAATGAGAAGAGAACCTGGAAGTCCAGGTGAACTGGACAGGCTGGACTCTTGGAAGCTCGCGGTTATTTGGGTGAAACCGTTGTCCAGACCAACACGCGCCTTTTAACCATCCCTGATCTGCAGCTAGCAAATCGCACTGCCAGGCGTGGTAGGATGCCCCCGTAGCAGCCTCTAATTGGCGGGGGGAAGGTAGCCTAACCATGGGGGCCCAACGCCAAAAAGGGGCCCGCCCCCCAAAAGCACTGCTAAAGCCACCACCGTTGCGGGCTCGAGAGCGTTTACCGGAGGCTCAAAAGCTTGGGGTAAGCATCAATTCCATATTTCGCGCACTGCTCGCTCTTGCCAGTCTTGTTTCTCTTCCTTCCTTTCTTTTTTTTTCTTTTTGCTCCTGTGAACAGTGCCCTTCTCTTCTACTTTATGAGATTCACCCAAGGATGGCTCTCTACTCTCTCGTTTGAGACCCAAATCAGTGATGGTCCTGCTCGTTCCTTTCCTTGGCCTGTTTTTCGCCCCCCTGTCTTTTGCTCAGGATGCGATAGCGTCAACTTCTATAAGCTCTGCCGCGTCAGCGAGTAGTTCAGCTTCGCCAGCCATCGGCTGGTCTATTCCCTTGGTCGGCCTCGAAGATAACCCAAAGAAGCCATGGGGAGCGAACGTTTCGCTTGACAGCGTTCACAACGCCGGCTATCAGGTAGTTCCTATTGTTATAGGCAGCAACGGGAATGTCAACACCGGACGAGATTCTCCAAGCGACGTTGCAACATTTCCCTTCGCTGTCAGCGCGGATCCGAATGGCGATCGTATCTTCATGTCCCCCGAGAATAACACTGTCCTGTCGCTAGGCGTAAGCTCTTCGCTAAGTTTCTCGCAAAAATCTGGAAACCGCAAGGAGACCATACCTTCTGTTCCCTTCTGCCTCAACCTCGGCCGCAAGGGACTCTGGAACGGGTCCTTGACTCTAGGAGATCATTTCTACGACCGGAATCGCATCCTTCATCAGATATCATTCGATGGAGTTCCCGATACAAATGATGCGCACAATGGCACGTTCTTGATATCAGGGAGGCAAAAAATCAATAACGTGGAAATGGCGATATTGAATTGGGGCGATGTCACTAGAACTGAACAAGAATCTCTTCCGACGTCAGAAGATGTGATTTTGGACTTCAATAGCGAAAGTGTTACCTTTCCCCGTCAAGATTGGTGTGGTAGAAACGTGTCCTTCACTTTCTTTGGCAGCGCTCTGAACGTGCGCATTCCCGATTACTTGACCAAGTCCCCTGACCGCTGCAAGCCATTTGAGAATACAAACCCCCCTGGAGCCCCTCTGATTCTCGGAAAAACCTTTCTTCCAAATGGTAAATATCCTTGTTCGCCCAGGTGGTGATATGTACCTGGCGGCCGCAAACACATGGGACCTTCCACCTTTTCCTGAAACAATTTCAGACATGGGTTACATCGGCTATCCAGACGAGCCTATCCCACCGGCGTCACCCACGCCCACTCCATCCTCCGGACCATCGGAGGGTAAAAGAAGAATGTCGGTGGGGTTGTGGGTGGTACCGTTGGGGGTATTGTTGGACTTGATCAGAGCCATTGCCTTCCTGCTTCGTAGGCGGCTCGTAAGGTCGAAACAACCGCCTCCTTATACGGCGAAGGACCCCAACGCTATTCCTTTGAATTGAAAGCTATATTTTGGCATGTGTTTATTTCCATCAGTGTCGTAAATCGCCTGATTCCTCCTGGATAAAAGGGGCATGAATAATAGGGGCAGGGGTGAACACAAAGCTTGGATTTTGAACAGATCTTTCGATTTTCTTGGGACTTTTGTATTTCTTCTGTTGATATAACAAGCTAGATGATAGAGCTTTTATGGTAGATCTGCTATGATATGAGATGATTTCTTCCAAAAATACTCAATCAGTGTGCGATGCTGAGAGTGCTGATCTGTAGCTACGCTAATTAGTTAGTTATATTAGTGTCTGATGCATTTATGTGAAAGTTTGTGTTAAAATTACAATTTTGGCGGGATGGCTGCTACAACTAACTCGTTATTAGGTTGCTGCAGCTGCTGATTCGCCTTTGCCGAGGATCTCGAGTTTCAAGCGCTCGGAGAACGTCGAGGATGACTCCGCAGGGAACGCAATACCAGCCTCAGATGTCATCATTGCCCGAGATTCTTCCCCGCACTTTGGGGTCGAGAGCACAGGGCAATATATTCAACAAGATTATCCTCCAAGAAACGCAGTTCTATGTCAACGGATAAGATTTGCTCCAGTGTGCTAGTTATCCCTTCGGTTTGGCCCTACAACCATGTCTTTCGATTCCATCCCTATTCTAGACCTCTCTCAGGCCCGGGATCCCAGCTCCAAACCAGCCTTCCTGCTCGACCTCCGCCATGCCCTCCTTGAAGTGGGCTTCCTCTACATCAAAAACACCGGCATCGACTCCAAACTGATCCAGGATGTCATCACAGAAGGAAAGCGGTTCTTTGACCTGCCGACAGAGAAGAAATTGGAAATTGAGATGAAAAATGCGCCCAGTTTTCTCGGTATGCCGACTACCGCCATCCCGCATCCCGATACAACTCCCCTGACCGCGATATCTCTCCACCACCACGTTTCAGGACCTCTAGTTAACCATCACTGCTCTCTTCTTCGTGATTAGGATACAGCAAACTTGGAAACGAAATCACCCGCTTCAAAACCGATTGGCGCGAGCAAATCGACCTCTCCACCAACCATCCCCTTCCCTCCTCATCCGATCCCCTCTACCACAACCTTCTCGCCCCCAACCAATGGCCCGATGAGCAGTCCATTCCCCGCTTCCGGCCCGTGTACGAAGAGTACATGAAGAAGATGGGGGCTATTAGTATGGAGTTCATCTCCCTTGTTGCTGAGGCCATCGGACTCCCGTCCGACGCTTTCAATCGCTTCTTCGACGCCGATCAGCAGCATAAGTTGAAGATCGTGAAATACCCTGACCTGGAAGAGCTAGGTATTGACGGAGATGTAGAGCAGCAGGGGGTCGGTCCGCACAAAGATAGTATGTTGACGAGCTATTTGTTGCAGGCAAGTCATCATCGAGGACTACAGGTGCAGAACCATCGGGGAGAATGGATCGATTGCCCGCCCATTGATGGGACGCTAGTGGTGGCAATTGGTCAGGGGCTGGAGGCCATCACCCAGGGTGTTTGCCAGAGGTAACCATGGACTGCAACATTTCGGTGGCTAAGGTGTGTTTTTGGGTCCGCTGACGAGACAATAGCACAACGCATCGCGTTCTCTCTCCGGCACGAGGCTCCGGCGCCCGGTATAGTGTTCCATTCTTCCAGGGCGTGAGTTACGATGCTACTTTCGAAAGTATGGAGGTTCCAGAGCACGTCAAGGCTCTCCGGCAGGAAGTCATCCAGAAGAATGGAATCCGTGAGGATGATATCGAATTCACATTCTCTAAGGGCCGGTGGGGGCATCTAGGGGAGGCGACTTTGATGAATAGGGTGAAAAGCCATCCAGATGTGGGAGAAAGATGGGTGAGTGCTCTTTCATGTCTCTCATGTCTCCTACTCTGGGACAGTTCTTCTTACTGACAAAATTGATAGTATCCGACCTTGCTGCAGAAGATTAGGGAGGAGCAGGCGAGGAATAACCAAGTGAGTGAGATTCCTCAGGGCATACTGAAAGATCAGGCACAAGGCCAAGCCCAATCAGTCAAGGCCCATTAATGTGGGGATACCACCGTCATACATCTATGTATATACCGTACTCCATACATACTACGATATTATGAATTAAACCTACGATGTCATGGATTTTGGTGCAGGGGCTCGACATTTATCTGATCCGGGCTTTGAAATTCGCTTGCCTATGTTTAGAATACCTCACTCCACTGTTGAATGTTTCTTAACAGTAAACCCGCGCAAGCCATTTCTATCCATAATAATGAGCCTTTCTTTTATTATCCCCTTACCCAGCTTTTATCCATGAAGAAAAGAAACAATCTAATCGCTCTTGAGACCGATCCGGCCTATCCCTCTCAGCCCCCACCAGCTCAAGCCCACAATCACTGCTCCCGCCGCAAAACTCATCCAATACGCCGCTTGATACCCCTTCAGGACTGCTTCGACCACCATCTCGTTTCTGTCACCCTCGTCGCCAGCCCCCACATCACCGGTAACAGCATTCGCTGCAACGGCAGTAACGGCGAGGCCGACAGACATTCCGATCTGAGAGATAGTATTAAACACTCCACCCGCCAGGCCATGCATTTTAGCAGGAAAGGCGGAAGTGATTACGAGATTTGACACCGTGAACAGCGTGTCTGCAGAAACAGGAATGAGCGCCACGGAGAGAAATGGCGCTGTCCAGTAGCTCCATTCAGGCTTGGCGGCCGCCATAAGCAAGGGTGCGATAGCGGATACAATCGCTGCGACAATACAGAGTACGTTGGCCTTCACCCTAGGAACCAGGAGGCCAGTGGCGATGTTGGTCAGGGCGCCCGAGATGACCATGGGAATAAAGCGGACGGAGGCTTGGAGCGCTGACAGATTTTGGATTCGCTGGAAGTAGAGCGATGTGAAGTACTGGAAGGCGTTGAAGACGGCCCAGGTCAAGAAAACGGAGATACAGATGGCCGTGAAGTTGCGTGCCCGGCGGGGTGCAGACGCCGCATCTGCTTTGAACAGGGAGGGTGGGACCATCGCGACGCGTCCAAGCTTTTCCTGGCGAAATATCCAGAATATGAATGCCACGAAAATAACAAGGGATAGGATTAGCAAGGAGAGGTTGACCGGTTTAACGAGTTCGCGAATAGAAGCAGTCATTGTCCTAAGATAAGCATTAATATTTTAGACGCCAGAGTGGTTCGGAGGAAAGGAAGCATACGATAGGGTATAGGAGAATATTCCAAGCGACAAGCTGATAAGAATTGTTCCTATCCAGTCGATTTCATTGTACAAGCGCCTCAAGGTAATTGGCGAGACCATTCGAGGATCCTTCGGGATCTGCCAAACCGCAATGAGAAGAATGCAAATGTTCAACGCGGCAACGATATAATAACCATATCTCCATCCAATTCCCGCAATGAGCACGCCTCCAAGCACAATCCCCAGGGAAAATCCTACAGGCTGAGCCGCACCAAGACATGCAAAGGCGATGTTTCTCCGTTTCCCAGGCTGAAACGTTGTCGTAATGATACATACAGCACTGGGAAGGCTAAGAGACAGGGCGACACCCGAGATCGCACGGAAGACAATAAGTTGAATTCCTGTTGTAGCAAGGCCACAGCCTAAGGTAAAAGCAGAGAGCAGGCCGCATCCCGCAAGATAAACTGGTCGGCTACCAACTACATCTCCCACTGAGCCAGAGAGCAGGAGGGTGCAACCACATGCTAGGCCATATACTGATGCCGGCCTAGAGGCATGATAAGGATCAATGGCTATAGCAAATGGTGGAAATTGCGCACATACCAGAGTAGCAGGTTCTCGGCCAGTCCAATATCCTTTGCAATCACAGGTAGCCCCACGGTTAAAATACCCGTGAGCAACGAATTCATGAGCGTCATGCTCGAAGCTGTTGCAATGATAATCACTGCTTTGAGCGCGGATATCTGGGTCGCACCCGGCGCATTGGTAGAAATTTCGCCCGTCAGGTTCTCTCGCGAGACATTGTGAGAAGCACCCGTTACCTGCTCAGGGGAAGTGGACAGGATTACTCCAGTAGATTTGGATACTGTCTGGTAGATTGATGCGGGGCGCCGTACTTCTGTGGACGTTCGTGACATACTGTAGAATCCTAGGGTAATAGCTTATCAAGGGGCATAGCCTCTAAAAGGCAGTGAATGCAAGGTCTTTTCCAAGATAAATCCACTGGAAAATGGTGAAAGAAATGTCATTCCACTGCAATTGAGACGGAGAGACAACGCCACAGGACGACTCAGGTGGGAGGCGAGTCATCGGGTTCGGCCCGCCTGAAAAAAAAAAAAAAAAAAAGACAAGCACATTTTCACATTTGCAGCAGGGCGTGGGCCAAAGCATAACTTCCGCCCGGCAAACCCAACAGAAGGCCAAACTCTGTTCTTCTTCAAGTTTCATTTCTCCAATCTGCCTACTCCGGAATAGTTCTAAGAAACACGATCCTGGGAAGACCCTAATGGATATTTCTAATCAGAGAGCTTCCTCTCCAGGAAGCGGCACTGATGCAGCATCTTTGAGTGACGCTACTAGCCGCCACGATCTAACTAGGAATTTAAGGAAATGGAAACGCTGCGCCAAGACGAAGGTTGGCTTCGCTGCCCGTGAAATTAGTTAGTTAACCCAACCACTCAACGCGTCACGCGTCTTGTCGCGTACTTCACACTTCGAACAACAGCTCAAGCGGAGAGTCCCATGCGGTGGCCTTGAAGATTGATGAACCAAAGGTTTTGCCGTCGCATTCGCATCATTCGAGGATTCGGTCAATGTCTGACGACGAGGTCCTTCCGGACGCACCCGCGATCTCCGAGAATGCGGAGGCGTCAGAGGCCCAAGACGGGAATGCACACGATCCAAACGAACGCACGGCAGCGCAAGGAACGAGTGATGTGAAACTAGAAGATTTATTCAAGGACGATGACGACGATGATGAGTATCCATTTTCCAGTGCCACAGAACCGGCCTCACATGGCTCTCAATCCGAAAATGCAGAGTACGACTCATAGTCTTGACCCCGCACAGTCACACAGGGCGATCGAGTGCTGATATTGTGGGCGATAGGAATCCGGGGCCTCAGCCTGCGAAAATTGACACGGAGACGATGTATGCGTTTTACCAGCGCTTGTTTCCATTTAAATATTTATTTCAATGGTTGAATCATGGGATAAAACCTTCCGTAGATTTTGGGAATCGAGAGTTCGCATTCACCCTCCAAAACGACGCATATTTACGGTATCAATCATACCCCACGGCTGAAGGGTAGGATTAGCAATTTCATGCTCAGAGATTGGACCATATATTGTTAGCTAATATTTTATAGTCTCCGCAAGGATATCCTGCGCCTCAACCCCTCGAGATTTGAAATTGGCCCTGTTTACAGCACAAATCCACGCGACCGCAAATCACTTCGCAAGTCCAGCGCATTTAGACCGGTTTCCAAAGAATTGGTTTTTGATATCGACTTGACAGATTACGATGATATTCGAACATGCTGCGAGAAGGCAAACATCTGTCCGAAGTGCTGGGCGTTTGTGACAATGGCGATTAAAGTAATCGACAGAGCTCTACGTGACGATTTTGGTTTCGAACATATACTCTGGGTCTATTCTGGTCGCCGAGGTGCTCACGCTTGGGTATGCGATCAGCGAGCAAGAAACCTCACCGATGAAAGAAGAAAGGCTATCGCAGGATACCTAGAGGTTGTCCGCGGTGGCGCACAGAGCGGGAAACGCGTAAATCTGAAGCGGCCTCTCCATCCCCATGTTGAGCGCAGTCGAAATATCCTCATTCCCTATTTTCGCTCCACAATTCTCAACAACCAAGATACTTTCTCCTCCTCGGACCAAGCTGCCCGACTCCTCCAATTCATCCCTGACAAGTCTCTCAAAGATGCCCTTCAGAAAAAATGGGAGTCTGCCCCTTCGCGTGGCAGCTCGTCGAAATGGTCTGACATTGACGACGTGGCGAAAGCATCTGGAAACCGGGATCTGGACACAAAGGCACTCTTGGAAGCTAAGGAGGATATTATCCTAGAATACACGTACCCCCGACTTGACGCAGAAGTCAGCAAGAAATTGATCCATTTGCTTAAGTCACCTTTTGTCGTGCACCCGGGCACGGGCCGAGTCTGCGTGCCTATCGATGTGAAAAGAGTGGAGCAATTCAACCCCCTCGAGGTGCCCACGGTGGCGGAATTGTTGGATGAAATTAATGCATGGGACACGGAACATCGACCTGAAGCGACGGATACAAAAATGTCAGCCGGTGACGAAGATGATGGCGCAGATGGCGACGACATGAAGAAGAGGAGACTACAGGATTACGAAAAGACAAAGCTGAGGCCATATATTGATTACTTTAGAACCTTTGTTGCGAGTTTGAATCGGGATGAGCGGGCGTCAGGGAAAAGGGAGAGGGAGGAGGATGGCGCTGGAGAACAGGGTAGCATGGACTTTTAGCCTCATTGACTTCGTCTTAGGGATGTTGGGTCGCAGGGAAAAGGCGAATTTTTATGGCGTTCAGGGATGCGTATCGGTTCTTCCTGATTGAGTGTCTGTAGTAGACTTCGAGGTTCGGATGCCTAGCGAATGCGTCTTATATTTCTCTACCCCGTGGCAGGACATGACGACTTTGGAGATATAATCGGATCTTGAGCCAATGTTTCGAACAACATTGTCAAGCTCTGGAATGGAGTAAGGAGTATCATCGAATTAAGTTTACCTGGCGGGCATAGAAGAGCGAAGTATGATCCGCAGATTACTGTGTATGCACCAGTAGGAATTTCATCGATGCGCCGTTTCTATATTACACGGAGGAAAGAGGCAAAAATGGACTATCTGCTGGCCATAACCGCCATAATAAACTCCATCTTGTCCAAACACAACCAAAGCCATACATAAGGTACAAATTTTGTGTCTGAACCAGGTATTGTTCCCAGTGAAAGTTAAGTGAACATGATGATGTTAGAAAGACATCGCATAGAAGTTAGAGTTGAGGGATGACACCGGCATGGGCATCTTTATTCAGGCCAAATGGCAGTTGAATGGGGCAAATTAATTTACACTTCGACAAACTTCTTCAAGTCTGTGACAAAAGATCAAGTTAGCTCCGGGGTGCGCCTATGCAGAGAACCGGGACGGGAATGTAAACTTACTTCCGAGCCAGCGGACATATTCCCTCTGTTCCTTGAAATCAATGTAGTCAGGGATGAAAGAGGCAAGAGCAGCATCGATGCCTCGCTCTTCCAAGTATCTCTCCACAAGGATCTGCAAGTCCTCATCCAAGTTTCCAAATGGTGGGCCAGCGTAGATATTGCCTCTAGCCCACTGCTTATCGGCAGACTGGGCGTTGGCAATATCGGCCTTCTCGAAGTATTGGAGCTCCAGGATCTGGGTCACGCCATCTTCAACTAGACATTCGGCGTACATGCAACCCTTACCAGGCTTCTCGATGGTAACATTGGCATGCACGGGGTATCCAGGTTCGGGCGCCTCCTCGTCTAGTCCTAGATCTTCCTCGCGGTCAGAGGGCGCAACTTTGTCCTCTGGAGCCACCTTGATGTTTCCGGGTTTGGCGCCTTTCTCGTTGATAGCATGAGAGTCGACATCTTCGAGTTCATCGGAAAGCGCGGTGTCATAATCATTCTCAGCGCCAAGGTTCTGTAGGTCGGCAATTGAGAAGGAAACTCGGATCCTACACGTAACATAATTAGTAAAATGAATAATAGATCAGGCCTAGTGGGAGAGGCATACTTTTCATCTCCAAATTTACGGGTCATAATAACCTCTTCCTCGCCTGGGGTGTCTTGGATCTTGTCAAGCTATCAGCACAGGGCCAACCAACCAGCACAGGCATATGAATACCTCAAATGGGCCATTTTCTAAAAAGTATTTCAGCGATTCCGGGAGTTTGTCTGCTTCACCAGTTTCCGTCTCTAAAGCAAGCTCGTCCTGGAATTTAGCGGCGAGTTCAACGTCGACTGCAAGAGCATAAACAGCATTAGCTATAGTGTAGTAACAACCATAAATTGAGGCCAAACAGTACCTTGACCAGCTGATTCCCATCTAGCCCTCGTTGTAGAGAATGCGGCATAAGCTGGGCGCGAGGCTAGGCCCCATGCTGGCTGGGTGAATGCATGCTTTGGAACTGTGTTTCGGAGAGGTCTGGCGATGGATCTAGGAAGCGTTCGGGGAAGCGAACGGGAAATTGCTCTGAGGGAGAACATCGTGTAGACGATATGACTGAATTATCAAAGTACAAGGTGGATGGTAAATTGACCTGGTAAATTTGGGGAGCGGGTTTGGAAAACGAGGCAGTCAAAAAAAAAGCTGATCGTCGAGCTTGATTTGATGACGGAAGGAAGTTTGCATGGGTTCGCTTAGACTTGCCCTACGTCCCGGCAACACTTGCACCGTTGCCTTCCCCAGCTCCAAAACACCCCGACCTGGCACAGTTGCAGCATTGGGCCTGGTGGTAGCTGGTCCTTGATGAGGAACAACGCATCCTAGCCTGATATCCTGTACTCCGGATGGCAGGGATATTCACATGATGTTCTTTACACCAAGTACTCCGTAGACCCTGATTCATATGTTCACTTTTCCTTGCGCTGATGTCGGCCAAGCAATGACCTGATGCGCCGGCCCCGGCCACGGTTTATGACTCCCGAACGAATCAACCATGATCTCACTAACCAGCCTTTTAACTACTCCTCCGGTGCCAGTGGGTGCCCTCAAGTCCCAAATTTTATAGGGCCATGCTGCGCAGCAACTTTTTCCGGAACTGCCTCCAATGCCACAGCGAATCTGAGGTCTCGAAGATGGGCATCAAGCAAAGCCTTTATTATCTAGAGGCGGATAAGATTATTCGAACAACTTATGATGACCCGGGGCGCTCTCAAGAATGTCGAAATACTAGCGAAATATGCCAATTTGGTGGAATCCCGAAGATGATCCAGAGATATCAAGAGGCAGCATGAATTGCCGTGGGGCTTGTGTTCTGGAGGCAGGGGACCCGAGAGACTAGGAAAAGCAAGTCCAGGTGCTGTGTGTATAATATGTGTCGTTATAAGTCTACCAGAGAAACAAATCGAAAGTAATACATTGGCATTAATTGGAGCACAGGGGCGTGCTAAGAATTCGACCGACGTTTGTACCCATATGTATAGCTCCCTCTATAACTAAGTCTTCCTCCACACGCCAAACTTTATCTCCCAGGTTTCAGCATCGGCTTTCATTCTGCCAAGGATTTTGCTCAGTGCGCCTTTAGCCAATGTTAGTATACCAATTCCCTCCCCGGCTAGGCCAAGCGCGCGTCCAAGGTCTCCAATTCCACTTTGACTTGGTGGTTTGGAGATTCACGGCGGGTTTCAGTCTAGGGTGGCTGGAAAAGGGACACAAATATGCGAAAATATATATTTCGAAAGTCCTGGAGTAAGGGATTATAAACAAAAACACCTTGCCATGCCCTTTTTGGATTCATGACCCGTAGCCCAAGACGCCGGAGGTAAAGCAAATAAAAAAAGAGTTGATATGATACAGGGCTATACAGCATTGCGAGAAGGATTATAACGCGGTAACTGGTGGGTTAAACGGGGGAAAGTTAGGCAACGGCCTTGTCTGTTGGAGGTGGAGGAAGCTGCAATGACAGTTAGCTTGGGTTTGGTAGGCTTGAAAGCGGGGAAGAAGCAGGATCCTGTCTCACATCTAATCTTGTATTATCGGCCATCATCCGCTGGAATCCAATACCCACACCTTCGATGACTGCGAGGAAAACGCCGCACATAATAGCCGAGTTCCGAGCAGCCTTGTACCCGCCTCTGATTGCCAAAGCACCGCCAGTGAAGAAACCGGCAATGACTAGGAAAAAAAGGAGTGAGAGTCAGTAGATGTCGTATGTGATTACTACTGGTGAGGCCCGCGGAAACATACTGGCATTATAAGGATCTTCCTTCTTCCGAATTCCTTTCACGGCGCAATCAAATGTCGAGAATAGACCCCCCCAGACACCAAAGTTGCCTCCTAGAACAGGCGCTCGCGCCTTGATAGCTGTGATTGCTCCTATTCGTCGCTCGCCGTAGGGGCTGTTTCTGAAACCTTTGACGCCATGCCAGACGGCGCCGCCGATAGCCTGTCGAGTGGAAAAGTCAGCGATCATAAGCAGTCGATACTAGGGGTATTGGCAGGTAGTCAAAACTGGTGTACATACACCCATACAGAATGCTCCTCCGAAATCCGATAAGGCAACCCTTAAGAGAAAGCCGAGTTAGTAGGTCAAACATATCGCGATAAATGTATAACAGCAGAAAGACCCATTACCAGGGACAGGGATCGCGGGAGTGATCCATTGTAGTAAGGCGCAAGTGATCTGAACTTTTAAGACTAAAACAAAAGAGGGACGAGAGCAAAAAATACCGAGAGAAGGGGGGGCGTGATGCAGGGTGTGGATGGGAAGATTTCAAGTGGCTGCTCAGCGTCGATGAACGAAGTTTTGCGGATTCCAGGGCCAACATTTCTTCGGAGCCGGGGAAACTTTTTTGTAAAACTTTATTCGTAATTAGCTTGCTATAATCTCTTGGCACGGACTCGGAAAATAAACAGACCGAGTATCCGTCCAGGTACGACTGCCCAGGCATTGATCGAACCACCAAACACAGGCGGCCACTTTACAATATCGGTCTATTTTAATCAACCGGGAGGCCTGGCTTGTGCCATCAGAGCTGACGCCTGACGAGATGCCTTTCCTGCTGCAAGAATGGAGTGCCCTCAGCCAATCGTTCAAGACAGCCTTGAGAAACAAACAAATTGTGCCCCATGGTGCCTAGGACCTGGGTGACTAAACACCATTTGGAAAAGGAATGAGGAGCCACCCATGTTGCTGTCGACTCAGCTGCCTGAAGTCAAGAGCTGCCCGGAGGGAGAAGTCAGGACATAGAACTGCTGCAAACAGTTTACTGAAACTGGCATTGGCTCAAAGTTTATCGCCGACTGTCTGAAATGCAGAAATAGAGTGTTGTGGACCGGCTGAAGTGCACTTCTGCGTTTTACAGGTCAGCCAAGAACTTATAGCGACAAAAAGTTGAGCAAAAAGATTAAATATTCATCGAACTACCTACGGAGTACACTGAGGCAGTATCCGAAACTAGACTAAATCATTTGGAGTTTTGATTCCCACAACCAGATGCTGCCATGCGCCAAGACAACTCTACTATGGAATGGAATATCTTTTATTTACCGAGGTTGCTTCAATCCTACCCAAGCAGTTCTATCACTGAGGCAGTCTATATTCTTCTGAGAGCCGTGCTGCTCAGATTCCACAGGGCAACAGACACCACTGAGGCAGACCATCATGTTGCAGTGAGAGCCACACTTTTCAAATTTCCCAGAGCAACTCAGGCTAATCATCTATTTCACACAGGGCAAAGGATTCCGGGCCATGTATTTCACTCCAAACACCACCTCTTTCTTAACTCGCCTAGGGCAAAGGTTTGAAGCAATGTATTTCTAGTGAAAGGCCATGATTCTCAGGCCTCCCCAGGGCAAACCACCTTTTCACACCAAAGGCTGTGACTTTACAGGCTCCCCAGTGCAAAGGTTTGGAAAAACATATGCCAGCTGAAATCCACAACATCCTCTGATTCTGCAGGGCATCAAATAGTACTGAGGCAGGCCACATACTTTCAGCTGAAAGCCATGCTTTTCCTGATGCTGCAGGGCCGAGGATAGCACTGAGGCAAGCCACTTGATTCCAGGTTAGGGCTTTTCCTCTCAAGGCAATTCGGTCCACGAGGCATTTTTTGCCGCAGAATTCTGAATGGACTGAGGCAGGCCATGATTTCAGCACCAAAGGCGGCCTTTCCTCAGGGAGTTCCTAGTCTTGGAGCATGAATATCCTCAGGGCGCTTTTTGGACTGCGGCAAGCCTCGTTTGAGCTACAAATTCCTTATCCCCTAAGGCAACCTGTCGCCCAGGAATAACCACTTTTCTTCACGCACAGCCATATATTTCAATTATCCCCCAAGGCAGTCGCATTTCTTCACTTGAAGCCATAAGTCTAAATATCCCCACAGGGCAACTTTTCATCCTCTAGCACAACCACCTACACTGCCAACTTCCTGCTAAAAGCCATAATTTTGATGATTTTGGCCTTTATATTTGCTCTCTTTTCTGCTAGACACTCTTCACCGCTCAAGAGCCTCTCTGGATTACTAGCAGATTGAGTACCCTGAGCCATGAAGCCCGACCTGTCACTTTTCCAGGGGCACACCTAGGAATACTCCAATGTCCGATGAAGAGGATTGCAGGTGCAAATTATAGTTCATCTGAGCTGTTCTTTTCCTAGATGTCTCGTCCAATGGTGATATAAGATAGGGCAGGCCATGACAGCCGAGGTTGGGCTGGAGAATGGATCTCGAAGTGCTTCCTACATAATGGTGACTGGCAAGAGGATAATGGAGGCAGCCTCAATAATTATGTGTTGACCAAAAGGCCTGGCAAAAAGAATAACTGCTCCCTAAGACCTGTCTTCCGCAGGTTCACCTACGGAAACCTTGTTACAACTTTTACTTCCTCTGGATACATTCTGAGATAGCTCGCCTTCCACTTGATCGAAGTTGCTCTGAGCTCAGGAGCAATCCTGGACGGCTTGGTGCACTCGATGTTTGACAGATAGCGTTGGTTCGCATTTCTGCACACCTACATCGAACCCCCTCGGTGGGTTTCCCTGCCAGGAGGGACCATGACTGATAGTATCATGATATCACGGGATGTTTGGCCATAAGAACTGGAATGCCAAAAGCGCGCTACTTGGAGTAATGAATCCTCGTCTACTTCTACATAACGGGGAAAGAGGACAAAGAGAAGGTGTGTAAGGGCAATAGAATAATGACACATGGAGAACGCCTCGATGATGTGCCAATTTGCCTCATGTGAGGGGTAATCTAATTGGAGGACAACATTGATAAATAGAGGCTTGAAATCACATAGTTAACTAAACAAAGATTAATCTACATTCAGGACCTCCTTGGTCTCCCTGCCTGCTTCCTTCCATCCCCTTCGCGTTATGTGCTGATGTCAAAGAGTATACCAGTGACTGAGAGATGAATTGGAAATCAGCAAACATAGCTCAGCAAGCAAATTGAAAACCAAGACTAGACAACACCAGGAGCCTCCAGGCCTGAGTATATGATACACGCGCCGTCAAACACAAAGGGCCTTTGGGAAAAAAGAGCAACTGTGCAGTTGGCCAGCGACAGCGATACAAAACAAAAAGGGATGTAATAGAAATGGAAGGGACCGCAATTATGAAGAAGACTTGAACCACCATCATCAGGAATCATGACTTCTTGAGATATTCACACACCCAGTCTGGGTATGTGACATTCCTCCCCATGGCAGTGCAACTAAATCGACTGATGTTTGGGGGTGGATTGTGCTCAAAGCAGTTTCTAAACAAGCCGAATTTGTAGGCATCAAATGAATCAACGTATTGTGCATCCGGTTCGGCTTTGAATGGTAGGAGATCGCTCACTGCTGCAGCGTCAGGCACAGGGGATATTGTAAAAGCAAGTTGGGTGAAAGCATCAAGTTGCTTGTCGGACATCCGCATGATTCCCTCATAAGGTAAATGGATCCAGGGAGCTCCAGGCTGTGTTCGGTTAATATAAGGTACCTTTGAACAAGTATACAGGATACACAGAAACACTGACAAGGGTTGGGGATTTATGCTGACCTCACCCAGGGGATTCCCATGTTCAAATACGACAACTCCCCCAAACAACCTTGTTTACATCCAGTAGCCGACAAGCTCAATCGGCCCGTGTGGATACAAATAAGACTGGAGGTATTTTGGATGTCGGAAATCCGGGAGCAGAGCGCGTTCGGGGCCTTGATGAGGTGTGGTCTGGTACTTGGACCGGTGAAGTTCTTCAAAAATGCTGACGGCAAGGTCATGGACCATCGAAACAACCAGGTCAAGCAGACCACGCTGAAAATCCGCAGACGATGGCTGCACGGCAGAGCGCTGGAACCTCTCGGCGGACTAGGAGACGGTTAGGCATGTATTTCATTAAATGGATCATGGAATCACGGCGACTGTGTCGGTTTATGGGAACACATAACATACAGATGCCTTTATTAGTACGTGTGACAGATCGAACTGTTCTCGCAGAGAGCGAAACATGGATATGGTGTCCTGGCTAGGCCCAGTATACTTCGCTATCTCGTCATAGTCTTCACCCAGGCGGATGCGTCTGCATGCCCTCAAGGCTTTCATGGTCAGTCGGCCATCTATCAGCATGCTAAACGACTCCTCCGCAACCTCCGTCGCGAGGATGCGGCGAAGCGCCTGGATCACCCGGCGAGCATGGCAATCGTCGAGATGGAAAAAGGGAACTGTCGTGGGTGGGGACGCAGAGACTTCACCCATATTGACAACGGCTAAGAGCACGAAGAGGCAGTCAGAACACAGACAGATAAATATTGAGAGCACAACAAGATGGACTCCTCAGAGATTGCAAATAGATATAACATCGCCTACGATCTGTTGTTGCTCATCAAGAAGCGGGACTGACATGGAACGACCGCACGCCCATGTGGTAAGCTGTCGTCCACCGATAAGTGGTGGATACTTAATTACGGAGTACTTAGTTGAACAATTTCTGAGGCCACTGCTTTGGTTTGCGTTTCGGTTTTCCACCACGATCCACAAAAATTGCCGCCCGAACTTGCTTGTCCATCTCCCTCAAGAGTAACTTGCGAACGCACCTCTCTCTCACAGAGCAGTTTGACATTGCGCTTTGGAACTCGGCTTGTCCATGGAACTTCCCCGCTTTCGTCTATGGCGCTGGAGAGGTTGTAATGGTCATGGGCATCACCAAAGGAAAAGCACAAACACACACACACAGTTGAATGTGTATGTCTCCAACAAACATTCAAAAATTGATCTCTTTATCACTGAATCTGAGAAGTTCTCCTGCCCTACTTACAGAATATCTTCAGCATGTCCAATGTCGAGATCCAGAATATACCCCTGATAAGACTGAAGATGGTGGAGAATGTGGGGGCTCGATGAAAAGTGCAATTGAATGTTGCAACCATTCCTCCAAACTTCTATAAATTTGCTCCTCTTCGCCAAAGCCAAAAGTAAAGTCTTAAGAACTACTCAGTATCTGTTTACAGAGCAATTCCACTAAACTGTGCAAGCACTGAGTAACAGTTCACTATATGGCTTGGCAACTCCAGGAACAAGCGCCGTCTAAAATAGCGAAGCTGACTAACAACTTCATGAGATTCCGTATAATATCAACGGGTTGGATTACTTATTTTACGAAGGTACTCAACAAATTATTGGAAAAGGGTTGAATAAGGATGAGTATCTCTTCCGCAGCTACTCCAATGTTATTCCCGAAGAAGTCAGATAAAGACCTGCATCTCTGTGCTGTTTACTACAGCACAAAAAATCTCTCGAGATTTATTGCTCTCTTTCGTTGATTAACTAAAAAGAACTCTGGAACACATTCGACAAGCAAATAATTTACAAAGATAGATATCATCATCATCTTTTATACAATAGACATTGCGAAGCAAACAATAGTCTTTTACTTCTCCAAAGCAGAGTTTTATCTGGACCCCAAGCTTCCGTGGGTTCAGTTGAGAGCGAGCGAGTCCGTTTGAACACCGGAATCCATTGGTTTTCGTGGCTCCCCTGAGCTTTCATGCATGCTTAACTACCAGGCGAGCTAACCTATAAGATCAGGGTCGAGCCCTGTTACAGAGCCTGTTGGTCTGTGGGTCAGGTCAAATCAGGTTTACCCGACCCAAGATCCCATTTTGGAGAGGACCATTCAGTTCAGCTGCTGAAACTGAATTGATTTGTTCTTGCGAACGATCTATCCCGGACATCCACCCTGTATTCCGTATGGCCAGACACAATGCAGGGTTGCGGATGCCAAGGGTCGCCGGCGGCAAGCCTGACAAATGAGGATAGCATTCGCAGGCCAATATAGCTGCTATGACCATAATAAATACACGCTTCGAGCCCGGCCCAATAATGACAGCCGGACATCGATATCAGAGAACGGGGATTCCCAGCTGTTCCTTAATCTTTATACCCAAAGCACATCATAAACCGACAACACGTACTCTTCATTCCACCATGCCGCTTGATAAGCCCAGGTTAGATCACAATACCCCCAAAGAGGGTAGGATACCTTGCTTTGTGTGGACAGAGGGGATTCTCAGTGCTTACGGGCAAATTCACCGGAGCGACGAGTGCCCATCACGACTGCCGGGACGTGTTGAATCGTTGATGGAAGCTCTTCTGTCCTTTGATTTCCTCATACCCAACAGACATAGGGAAACCTTCGCCGCAGAGTGCGCACAACATGAGATCGCATCCTTGCCCCTGGGGAGTTGCTTAGTCCCTCCGGAGTCAGCCTACCTTGAAGATTTTGAATTCCAAACACCAGCTTTGGACGTAGCGAAGAACGTTATTGAGAGCGAAATTGAGGAGTTTCGGGCTCTGGCGCAGAGATCGCGAGACCTTTGCTTCAAGAACGCTACACGAGAACAATGGCAGCATTTCCTGCATTCTTATGTGTTTAAAAGTTTTGAGGACACCTTCTCACCTCTCACGAGATACGAGTAAGTCAAGTAGCACTTCGAAGGATAAAAGCGTCTAATCATTTCTAACACATCGGGAGGGGTATGATCAAATAGTTATCTCTTTGATCAGTGGTATTTGTATGCAAGCCAACGCATTTTTCCTCTTTTCTTCATATAAAGTCTAACATCATTCTTTAGAGCAAGCAATGTTCACTGGGATGAAGCCAAAAAGTATCCAAATGTCGATCGTTCTGCCACGCAGCCGATAGGTCCTAAGCCCGATCTCACATATGGGATTCCAATTCTTAGGCCTTGCGACCTGGATGGCCTTCCCAAAGGATTTCGTGACCTTGAACAAGTCACCAATTTTACGATCGAGAGCCTGGGAACCCTATGCTCCGCTGGCCTTACTTCGTCCCCGCAGAGCGGCGTCAGTAAATGGACAAAGGATAAAAGATTTCCCCTCAATCAGAATCATCTAGTGTGTTTTCCTTGGGCGGCAGTGGAGTTGAGTCCTGTGGAAGAAGAGCAACAGCCAATTGACTTTTGCTACTACCAAGCGGCAAATACGGCCTCAGCTGCCCTTAAGCTGCTTGAAGGTCTATACACAAGCTCTGGTACATTCACCATCAATTCCTCTCCCCCAGTGGTTATGTTCACCTGTCACGGTCCGGAACTGGGTGTTTGGCTGGCTTATTCGTGCTCTAAGGGGTTTGGTCCAATTTGCTATGTAATAACTCTTTTCACTGCTTTTCCTTCCTCTTAGCATCGACCATTTTAAGTGCAAGGCTGACAGGGTTACAAACTTCTGCAGAAAATGGTGCGCATATGGACCAGTTCGCTGAACCTCACCTGGGGAGTAATGGCAACATGTCAGATAGTGAAAAACTTGCTGTTTTGGGCATCACGGTGTTTCAAGCCCCAGATTTCAGCTTGCATTAGCCAGATCCGCTTTTCGCCCTTTTCTCCTCTTCGGCGGAAACTGTTGGGAGTGTCGCATGTCCGTGGAAGAGCTTCAGTAAAGCCCGCACAAGACCATGAGACGCGTGTTTCTGATACTCTAAATGCGAATTCACAAACTGCATGTGATGTCAGGCCTCCTGAGCCTCCTACATCGGAAACTACGCCGGTGGCCAAGAGGATACCTTGGAGGGGAAGGCGAATCGAAATCTGGTTACCAAGGGCCATTGCCAGGGGTAAAACTAAAGATACCAAGACACCTCCAACTCTGAATCTTGCCTTATCTGAAAAATCTACCGAGATTCAATGTGTTCCGGAAAACGAGACAGGAAAATGCCTTGCGAATCCGGATCATCAAGCAGAAGAGGAAGGCTACAAGGAAAGCCACAGAGAGAGCGAAGATACTGGCGAATCCAACAAGGATAGCCGTGGTCCAACTTCTGGGGTTCACAAAGTTACAGTACTCGCTTCCGGTACGGGCGGACGTTGAATGAGTCGAAACTACTTCGTAGTCCAATTCGATACAATGCAAAGGTCCGCAAAAAGCGTAAAAGGGGCTGCCACTCTTGGAAACTACTTTAGAGCGTTTTAGAGATATAGCAAGACTCTCCTGGTGGTGCAAGGGCCACTCCACTCAATCAAGGACTGGAACTCAACGGCTCCGACCATATAATAATACAGCACATTTCAAAGTGGGACAAATTTGACCAAGAGCTACAGCAAATACAGCAATCAAACGAAGAAAAGACCTCAGACATCTCCTGTCGAAGGAACCCCCTAGAGTGTTCGAATCTTGAGGGACGCCTTGCAATGACCCCATCAACGATCGGTAAGGCAGAGTTACATGCATGCCAGTCACCGGCCCATTTCGCATGTGACGTACGGAGTACTCCGTATGTACTGACTTTCCTCCACCGACCGTTTCCCTCAGTTGAGCCTTCTTCCGATCCGTTGCCCCCGAGGCTGTGCTTGACGGAAAAGGGGGCGCATGCGGGGGTGGCACAGATAATGGCGGATGGAATGAAATCACCTGCATTGCCAAGACTGTACATACATACGTATTGTTCCTGCCTAGCCAAATCAGGCTAGAGTCGACACAAGGTTGCGGCTCGCCCCGCGTCCATCGCCCCCACGAGACAAAATTCTCCATGTACATAAACGCCGGGCCGCTGGATCTGTTCCGGGGGGGGGGGGGGGGGGGGGGATTATATTATTACTTTGGTCAACAAGATCGAGTTCTCATGCTAAGAATCTCCCCTTGTAGACTACTGAGTACGGTATAATATATCAAATTAAATTTTGTGATAATCCTCAGTGTCGTTTCTGTGCCCACTGATGGGAAATCGAGGGCGGCTAGGGTAGGGCTGGTGGCCTGTCCACCCTTGGGTGAGATGCACTGCGCTTGAAGACTTTACACCATTCGACGCAGCTATATATTTATATATATAAGCCAATGAGGAGATTACACGTGTAGTATTTCGTCATGAACCAGAAGATGGTGTGTGGCTGATCAATTCGGTGCCTGTGCCGCAATTTACGGAGCACAGAGCGGAATAATTCTGGCCTCTCGTCCAGCTAGTACTCCGGGTTTGCAAAACAATTTTCCCTGTCGACTCGGACAGTGGCTTAGACTTTAAGACTGCGTTTCTTTTTTTGAGCCAGTCCTGGGCATCTCGGGTATGTAGATCTAGCAAAAAAGAGAGTTGCCCCACCCCGTTGATCAAGACATATATACTCCGTATATCATATTGGTCTCGCTGCTCGTGCTCTCGCTCACCTAGGGCAATGTATTAGCCACCTCTCAAAGAGCTATTGTCTTCTGTCACAGCTTTTGACTCCTTTGATCGTCCACAATGGCCGTCTCCCGACGGGGGTATCGCTCTTCTTACCGCTCCGAGTACACATGGCCCTTGGCCCCGGTCACATTAGGGGAAAGCCTTGGAGATGTTATCGGTGTCGATGTGCATTCTACGTGTGTGGGGTATGCTGTATCTAGAGGCCGCGGTTGTCACAATCGGATTGCCCGACATAACCGGGCTTATGCCGCTGATCTGCTTGCCGAAGGTACAGCTCTTCTTCGCAATGCACAAAGTGTCTCTGAAATCTTGAGAGAACTGGCACCCGTTATGCTCTGCCGAAAGGATCATCAGAATCAAGCCTATTCCGTGGTAAACCGCTGGGAGCGCGATGTTGCCGATTACCTGCGAAGCCAAGGCAATGGGCTTGCAGCAGAAATGCGGAACTATACGCCGGGATCTATATCTTCATCGAGGCAACGCCATCGGCTTTCTACGGAGAATGATTTCGATCGATTCAGAACAGCCAGATCGAGATATTCTCCTTCTTCAACCGATAGCGCAGTCTTTACGTACAGGTCTACTCTCATCAGTCCTCCTGCAACTCCTGTTCGCCGTGCAACTCCTTCTTCAACCAGTAGCGCAGTCTTTACGTACAGGTCTGCTCTCATAAGTCCTCCTGCAACTCCTGCTCCCCGCACAGCCTCTCCTCGCCGTACTATTCCTACTCCCAGTGCAACTCCTGCTTCCCCTGCAATTCTTCCTTCAACCTATAATCCAACCCCTACGTCCGGGTCTGTTTTCGTTAGTCCTCCTGCAACCCCTTATCCCCGCGCAACTCCTTCTCCACGGCTGGTCCACACCTTTCAGAGGAGTTCACAGCGTTCCTTGATAGAGAGTCATTCAACTGCTCCTAATGAACCGGCACCGCCAGCGATTGAAGCCAATCATTCAGCATCAGCAACACGTGCAACCAGGAAACGTGTAACATCCGATCAAGAATGCATGATCTGTCATGAGCGCCTTATTGATAGGTTGGCAGTACCGAGTTGTCACGGCACCTCAAACCGTTCCTCTATAGCATGGTGCATGGCTCGATGCGGTTCAAATTTTCACGCAGACTGTATAAATTTATGGAGGGAGACATGCCTAGGAGGTTTATCATCGAGTTTGTGGTCCACACCAAGGGAAGCTAGTTGTCCATGTTGGTATGTGCATATTTACGTTCTCCTTGCCCTAACTAGCTTACCAAGCTTTCCCCCTTTTTGCATCCCTAATGTGTTACGGCTGACCGTGAGCCCTTTGCTTAATCAGTCGAGCTGAATGGGTGGACTCCGATGACTTCTCGTACCCCGAGCTTGAGGAAGATGACGTAACGGAATCCGCGAATAATCACAGTAGCCTCAATGATACCCGCCACAATCACCGGCAGTCTCCTCAAGATGAGATTCTGGAAGGAGCCGAGCAGGTAGGAGCAGTAGAAGAGACAGGCGAAGTAGTTGAAGAAGTCGAAGAAGTTGATGAAGTGGAAGAAGTGGAAGGTGAAAGGACTGAAGAAGATGAAGAAGTTGAAGAGGTGGAAGAAGTCAAAGAAGATGAAGAAGTGGAAGAAGTCAAAGAAGGTGAAGAAGGTGAAGAGGTGGAAGAAGTTGAAGAGGTGGAAGAAGTTGAAGAGGTGGAAGAAGTTGAAGAGGTGGAAGAAGTTGAAGAAGTCGAAGAAGGTGAAGAAGGTGAAGAGGTGGAAGAAGTTGAAGAGGTGGAAGAAGTTGAAGAAGTCGAAGAAGGTGAAGAAGGTGAAGAGGTGGAAGAAGTCGAAGAAGTCGAAGAAGTTGAAGGTGAAAGGATTGAAGAAGTCGAAGAAGTTGAAGGTGAAAGGATTGAAGAAGTGGAAGAAGTCGAAGAAGTCGAAGAAGTTGAAGGTGAAAGGATTGAAGAAGTCGAAGAAGTTGAAGGTGAAAGGATTGAAGAAGTGGAAGAAGTCGAAGAAGTCGAAGAAGTTGAAGGTGAAAGGATTGAAGAAGTCGAAGAAGTTGAAGGTGAAAGGATTGAAGAAGTGGAAGAAGTCGAAGAAGTCGAAGAAGTTGAAGGTGAAAGGATTGAAGAAGTCGAAGAAGTTGAAGGTGAAAGGATTGAAGAAGTGGAAGAAGTCGAAGAAGTCGAAGAAGTTGAAGAAGTCGAAGAAGTCGAAGAAGGTGAAGGTAAAAAGGCTGAAGAAGTCGAAGAGCAAGAAAAGGAAGACGTAGAAATAGAAGAGCAGAGCAAAAGAGGGGAAGGAAATCAGGAAGCAGACAACGACGAAGCAATAGACTCAGAATCGGCCTTCACCGAGGGAACTGTCGAGCAGATTACAGCAGGTCAAGAGGCAGATAACTTGCTCGATGACTCTGCGGACGATGTTGAAGCCCAGGTTACTGTGCTAGGTGGACAAGAAAAACAGCCATCAACGTTGGGGCGTATGTCAAAAGATGGGCCTCCGCCTCAGATGGAGGAGTTAAATATCGGCGGTTCCTTTGATGCCATTTTTCTGCTTTTGCGAATGGTGTTGTGTCTTTGATATCGTGTAATTTTGCATAGAGGGACCACGGAAAGGGCGCTTCAACAGGAGGAAAGTTGATTTGCAAATAGCATATGTCGCCAATGTAGAATATAGCCATGCTTCCTATCGGCCCATAAAGAGAAGCGATACAACTCCAAATGCACCGAGCTGTCCAGCTGCACGCGTATATAGTAAATAAGAAATGTTGTAAACTCAAGCAATGAGAAAAAGAGAAAAATCAGCCCCATCATATCAACAGGTGAGGCTGATGAGAGAGGGCATTAGCTGCAAAAAGCCGCCATCACCGCGAGGACCGTGTACCAACAAGCAGGTGTACAAACCGGCTTGCTTGCCCATTCCCTAACTCTCCCGGCGTGTTGGCGTTCTGGTGTAGACGCGTTCATGGGTTAAGGCGTACGGCGTTGTTTTGCTTCCTTCTATCTGCCCTGCCCGGTCGCATGAGCCCTGCGTGCGACGCCTGGGCTTTTAAGCTTGCACCTCTACGTTGGAGCTCCGTAGCATCAGCCTTATGGTGAAGCTAAGCAAGCTGAATGTGTACTCTGCTGGATAGACCGGGAGTTCTGGACGGAGGCCCCTGTCTCTTTTTGATGACATATCAAATCACATTCAACTTCTGAGTGTGCTCACTTCAGGTTGAAAGTTTTGGTTGCTCCTCACTCGGCTCAAAGGCAAAGTCTCTCATCCCGCGGGTTTAGGGTAGAGCATGATATATACTTGACAGCATTGGGAGTGTTTCCTGCCAGCCAGGCAGGTCATTGCTTGGGAATCATGAGATAGAGGAAGGCCGGGGAGAAGGTCAGGACAATAAGAAGTTAGAACAGACGGGCGAGCGTCTTGCACTGACCAGCTAAGTCGGATCAGGAGAATCCAGACCCTCTGACAACTACGGAGTGTACCTTTTACACCTCTCTACTCCGTACGCCGTACCTAGCTAGTCAACTAGCTAGAAATCTTCCACGGGTGCAACCGAAAATCAGCTTACTGCTCCGTGGCGCTGCCCCTGCCCTTGGCTAGACCCACGCCAAAGTCTATGCTCTCCGCGTCCTTGACGTTGTGAAAGACATATCGAATATGCCGAAAACAAGGCTCCTTGCTCCTGGACCCTGCGTCATGTGGTGCACTCCTTTCCGGCCCCTTCCGTTGAGTTTGAGGAGACGCACGTCCAATAACTTAACGACTTGGGGCGAGAGCAGATCCGCATCGACCAGATTGTCGGATACCCGCGGAAAATGTCTCCTTCGTATCGGTAATGCCATAGCCGGCGGCTTTACCGATCGCTTCTGAAATACTCCATACGGAGCAGTAATCTATGGACCGAGGGTACATAAATACGTATTTGCTCAATTTTCTTTCTTAGCCAACAACTCCCGCTGTGATAGACATAACGGCCAAGCGAGGTATATTGAGCCATCCGAGAAAGGTCGAATCATTCAACGCCATTTACGTCTCGTCGGTTAGGAATCATGGTCAAACGAATTGTCCAGCATCCTCTGAGCATCTGTCGACCTGTCGTTCAACAGCCAATCGACCATGGCGAAAGCATCCAACATCGCATTGTAAGGGTGACCGAAGATATCGAGTGCTTGAAAAGGTTCTACTCAATCGATATTTCACCGACCACGGTGGCCAAATTGAAAAAGTACTATCATGAAGAGCTGGGAGAACTGGAGGCTTTGCCATTTCAATCCTACAACCAGGAGGATAAGATAGATTTCCTACTTCTGAGCAACTTTCTGAGACGGAGCCTCCGACGACTCGAATTGGATGAAACTCGGATTAAAAAGATGGACCCCCTACTACGGCCATTTGCTCCGTCCATTATTCAATTATGCGAGGACAGGCAAAAGGTTGCCCCGGTGGATGGCCAGGTCGCAGCGCAGCGGCTCGAGGACATCTCTAAAGCGATAACATCTCTCATGACAAGGCTCGAGAAAGGCGACATTGAAATAGACAAATTTAGCGCCTTCCGCGCCGCCAGTGCCGTGGAGCAACTTCAGCATTCTCTCGCAGAATGGTTCAGCTTTTACGAAGGATACGAGCCTCTACTGACTTGGTGGACATCACAGCCGCATTCTCAAGTGATTGTGAAATTGGAAGACCTTGCGGCAGCCATTCGACGAAACATTGTTGGCTTGGATCCGGATGAAGAAGACCCCATCGTCGGCCAACCAATCGGCTATGAAGGTTTGCTTGCTGACCTAGAAGCCGAAGTGATACCCTACACTCCAGAGGAGCTGATCACAATCGGCGAGAAGGAATATATATGGTGTGAACGAGAGATGAAGAATGCTTCACGGGAATTGGGCTTTGGAGAAGATTGGCGTAGGGCATTAGAATACGTCAAGAATCTTTACGTTTCTCCTGGGCAGCAACCGCAACTCGTTCGCAAACTTGCGGATGAAGCTATCGAATATGTAACCAAGAATGATTTGGTGACCGTTCCTCCTCTGGCTGCTGAGACGTGGAGGACGTTCATGATGTCTCCCTCCGCACAGAAAGTAGCCCCTTTTTTCCTGGGCGGCGAATCTATTCGGGTCTCCTTCCCTACCTCCTCAATGGACCACAACGACAAGCTCATGAGCCTTCGCTCAAACAACGTCCACTTCTCCCGTGCCACTGTCTTCCACGAGCTCATTCCTGGACACCACTTACAACTCTACATGGCCTCTCGTTACCGTCCCTATCGCCAGCTCTTCACCACCCCGTTCTGGATCGAGGGTGGTGCTTTGTACTGGGAAATGACTTTTTGGGATAGAGGATTCCCACAAAGCCCAGAGAACCGCATCGGAATGCTCTTCTGGCGCATGCATCGCTGCGCCCGCATCATCTTCTCACTCAAGTTTCATATGGGCCAGATGACACCACAGGAGTGCATCGACTTTCTCGTCTCGCGGGTCGGACACGAACGCGCCACAGCGGAGGGCGAGGTTCGTCGGTCATTCAATGGTGATTATTCCCCGTTATATCAGGCCGGGTATATGCTTGGTGCCCTACAGCTTCGGTCACTGAGACGTGAGATTGTGGATTCTGGAATTATTGGAGAAAAGGAGTTCCATGATTGGATTCTGAGGGAAAACCAGATGCCGATTGAATTTCTCAGGGCTATAATGCAGGATTTACCCTTAACACCGGAGTATAAGCCGTCGTGGAAATTTTATGGGTAGTGCAAGCAATAATCTAGTTTAACGGGTTTCATGGTTCTCTCTCGTCAATATTCTCTTTTGCGCTTACTCAAAGGAATGGTTAGTAATGCGAAGGGACCGAACTCCTGATCGTTGTAGATAGCCATCGAGATGGCAATGTGATTTAATAGCCATCGAGATAGCAATGTGATTTAATAGCCATCGAGATGGCAATGTGATTTAATACGAGTATAGAGGTTCCATCATTCGCTAATTCTTATATCAAGAGGGTAAGAAGCAGATAGTTCCATCAAAAGTTCGCAAGACAGGCAAATCCGTGTTAAAAGAAAAAGGCATAGCTGGCTATCTGAGCAGGGGGGAAAGAAGCACTAATGCACCACTTTACCACTCTGTTGGCCCGAACGTCTCACCTGGCGAAACTGTCCTACGCACCGCTTCGTAGGTGTAATCCTTCTCCTGCGTCAGCATCCATTGAAACACGCAATGTGTTGACTCTACATTAACTTACAATCGTTTCATACGGGATATTATTCCCCCACCAGTTCGGGAGACTAACTCCTGGGAATGTAATTGCGAAAAATATTACGATCGTGGCAATCACAAGGCCAGAGTCGAGTGCTGCGGCGGTGACATAATTGTACTGATGCCACCAACCGGACCACTTGCGGCGAATCCAGTAGTTGAAAATCAAGCCAACAATAGCCCAAGACGAGAAGCTCAGGGGAGTAGCACTGTACGCATAGTTAGATATCAAAGTTCTAACCCTGTTTCATGGGACCTCTGGACCAAATCAATGAGTGAGGACTTACGGTGGCAGCCAGTTCATAGCGCCGAGCATCCTAGTTTTCGTCGTTAGCTGGGCCCAACCCCGAATAGGGAGTCCTGGGATTAGAGTCACATACACTGGAGCATTGAGGAATCTTGCTGGGGATCGAGGGAAGAGCCTAATGAGAACATAAAATATAACAGGGAGGGCTGCTCCAATCAGCCAGTACCATTGAATGGAAGAGTATATGGAACCTGGGCCGAACATCCGCTGTGGTCCGATAACACCTAGAAAACCAGCCGTTAAAGAACAATTCACCATATCGGTGGCTAGGTGTTCGCTTACCCCATACTATACTTGATGAGAAAAATGTTTTACCGTTGGGACAGGTAAAATGAGCTGGTTGGTCGCTATTTCAAATGTTAGTACGTCGCGATCTTGCGCGAACATAGATGCGGCAGTGCAACTCACGGCGTGCAAACATTCTCGACGTTACCAAGAGTCCAGTTCATAACTGCTATCTGGACAAAGACAGCCCATATAGTAGCTCCGACCTGGCACGTAAATGTTGTCTTCGGTGGGACTTTCATATAATGACCCAGCTAATTCGGTCAGTATCGCTGCACAACGAATTTAATATGAGGGGCCTGAGTTATCTCGATGGAACTTCACCTTCAAATCTCGGCTATATGTTTGCCTGTAAGCCAGGATTAGCTTGAGCGCCTGCCCCAAATATTGGCAAAAGACTTACGCTCGTCCAAGTGTGTTAGTGGCATAGACCTTGAAGACCATGACGCCGATAGCTTTTCCTGGTAACATGAACCCACCGAGGAAAGGAGAGAGGACATTTAGTGCTAGGATGAGGGTTAACTCCAGCTCCTTTTACAGGGCAGGATGTTACTATACCAAGCGGTATATTTGCAATGGCCAAAAGCATGCATGTAGGGATCTGGCCGGGAGTGAGCATGGACACCAACAGAAGGGGGGCTAATTGATCGCACTTACAACAAAGACGAGCCCCATGATTGTAGCAACAAAAAATGCCCACCCTAAATTCAATGTTTAGACAAGTTAAGTAGTCGTAGAGTTGAACGGTACTTACACGGGAGCTGAGAAGAATACGCCTCGGAAGTAGCCAAACCCAAGGCGACGGAGAGTGCTAACAGGACTGCATACCACCATTCGGGGCATTCCTCGTATTTCGACATCAATTTCATATGGATATCGGGCTCTTGATTTCTTGCAGCTTTGGCACGGTAAATAATTTCCTTGCCATGGTAGAGTGCGATATGGACAAGAACTGCGGTGAGGGCAGCGAATGATAACCCGTAATTTAGGGCAAACGTTGGCGCCAGAAACAACGGAGAGTACGATTTGTACTTCTCAATGTCGAATGAAAAGTTTGGTCCAAGAATTCTTGAAACATTATAGAAATTCTGTGTATTGTCGAACGTGGAAGAGGTGTTGATTGGAAGATAATCCGAGTACCTGCATTATAAATGAGAGACCCTACTTCAAGCAAAAACCAAGTGATACCTACATAGCCCCAGAATAAGAGATTCCAACAGTGGTTATGATGACAAAGAGCCCAAGCCCTATCAGAGTGTTAAGGTGCGAGTGCGTAGGCGACAACAATGGATTCTGTAAATAACTCGATATGTATCTAGCTAACATGTTAATTTAATGCTAGCAAGAAATATCGAGGAATACTAACGTCCAGTCAAATGTCAGCGGGATCAACGATAATCCCGTAAATCCACCGAACAGTTGGTTGATAACGGGGCTCTTGGGTCGGATCCCTAGAACAATGTTAGACGCGGGCGTCGATCCCGGGCATGGGGAGAAACTAACATGTTACAAAACAAAATACCGAAAGCCCTTGCCATAGAACTCCGGGAATCCTGTTTGGCACGTTAGCTTTGGACATGGCAATCCAAAAATGAACGGCCGTACCAATAATATGCGAATGCGGCCATCATAAGGTACAAGAACCAGCGATACCGTGAGATTCGCCAGCCATTGGTCGTAGATGGATCCGAGCGAGTTTTATCGTGAAGGGCGTAGAACAAGGATGTGTTTGAAAACACAGAAGGCCAGATCATTGCTGCTGGCCTGCATAAGTTATCAGTGAATGAATTTTCTCACAATTCATAGATGGAAGATAGGTTAAACAGACCAGATAAGGAAACGACGGAAGATCCCGGAGAGAGCCATCCCTATCATCTGGCTACTCAAGGTGAAAAGCAAGGCAAATCCCCATCCCAGGTTGATATTAAAGAATGCTGCATACCGTGTCAGTCATATTGAACGAAAACTTGTCTGATTTTATAGGGACATACGTTTTCCTTGAAGAGCGAGAAGGGCATCGGTGCTATATGCATAATCGATAGCGACGCTAGCCATTTATATGAGCACACCCCGTTGATGAGATCCGGTTGATTCAAGTATCCAAGAACTTACTTTGACATGATCTGCAGAAATGTATCAGAACATTGAGCATGGTCTTCAGAGTTGAGAAAAATAGCCGACTTACCGTTATCACCGCATGCTCCTTGATTGTAAATGGACCAGTGTTAAATGTCCAACGAAGACCGAAGACATTGAAAACCTTTCGTGGAACAACCTTCGCCCAGAGACATCCAACGGGGTAGACCAGTCTAAGGAATGGTTGTTAGTAGCAGTCAAAATGATCGTGGACACTCGAGCTGGCATGTATATACATACAATTGGACGACAATTGAAGGAAAAGTAATTGCTGGGCTCCTGGGAGGGATATCAGCATCCGTCAGGCGTTGAACAATCATGGCGCATGTAATAAACGAACCGCATGCTCAAGAACATGTTCAGCCCGCTTCCCACAGTGACAAAAACCAATCCCAAAATCCATGCGCGAACGGTGTTGGCCACCTCTCCTTCATCTGTGTTTCTTACGGCGGCGCGAACTTCCGGGTATGGCGACTCCTCGAGAAAGGCCTTGTCAACTTGAGTGACAATCTCAACGTCCCCAGTCCGCCTTGCTTCCTCTATAGCGTCAATCTGCTCACTGGGGAGGTTCGGGTCCCATTGATGAGACTTTGCGACCTTCTCCAGGTCCTTCGCCGCGATCTCGCGCTCCTGAGACTCAGGCTTCCCCTCTCCCTTCACCTCATCGGAGTGCGTCGTGATGACGTCCCCATCACCATGGCCACTGGCTGCTGACCGGGAAAAGAGCCTTGATTTCCACGTCATGATGGTCAACTGGATGATCAAACGCGCTTCCAAAAGATCTATCAAGGTTTACAGTCGCAGCCGGGGTCAAGCTGTATAGATATCTGGGGAAGCGGGCCCTCTGTTATTGTGCTACCTCCCCATGACACGAGGTCCGCTAAAACCCCCCCACCTCCCCCAAGACCCAAGCCTGTCGAAATTCTCGAAGCGTTAACCGGAAATGCTACATCAGGAGGTGTGCAAGCCACCATCCCCAGGCTTCTCCATGCCGATCCACATGGCTAATCGCGGAACCTGTGGAACCTGTTTAAAGCCAACCAGGGTCGTGGAACGACACAACAGACAAGACCAAAAGGGAGCGCCCTACTTCGTGTACCTCTCTTCAACCCGCGATGGTAAATGGCAAGCGTCCTTCTCCGCAAAGTTCTATTCCAAGCAGCAAAACCCGCTTGGAAAAGAAAATGGACTCATTGTTAGGCTATGGTTGGGCTCGGAAAACTGGGGATGCGACGGGGATGGCGACAGTTACGGATTCGACCGCGATACATACATGGCCCCAGATAAGCTTCAAGAAGCGGCGGGGGTGATGTAACTACTAGAGTCCGCGCGGTCTTGGTAGCTGCTTGTTCGCACCCTGGCTTCGAGCCCGAGTAATGAGGAGGCAAATTTGTTAGTTATCCCTTGTGAACTCACTTTAGTCGTTGGGAGCCTGTGGCTGGATTTTAGTACTTTACCAACTATACGAAGTACTCCGTACGCCGCAGAGAGACTTTTCCATCTTTCTGACATGCCTGCTCCTTGTCGTCTTCTACACTCCTTATACAAACCCGCCCTCGGGGAAGAGTAGATAAACGGATAAAATGAAGTACCCTGAGAGCGCTCCCGCGGCAAATTGCTTGTGTGAAAAACGACTCCATGCAGCACCCTGCATCCCAAGGCGCCTATCAGAATTCGGGATTCCCGAACAGGTGATGAATTACATGCAACCTGGACGGTTATTAGCCGGGTTTCCAAAAATTGCCTCGGAGAACACACATCCCAATCGTGTGATGACAATGAATCTAGGGACCAGCCTCCGCCCCGAGAACTCGAGTCTGAAAATACATTCCCTCTCGCGATATTTTCCCGCATTTGGACATCAGATGAGTTGGTTGACGGTGCTATGCCAAAGCCAACGGAAATACGACCCTACACTGTGCAATGGGCGTGGCAGGTTATTCCATGCTAATGACGGAAGTGCTCGGGTTAGCCAATCCTTTGGGACGAATTCACAGATAAGATAATTAGCTGAAGTCTTGCTGTGGCTTTATTATTTTATATCATATAGTTAAACGGTTGGCCTGAAAAGTTCCTTGAGCTGTGCTGCTTGTTCTAGTGGAGCGACTGGGGGAAAAGGTTAGGGTACTAGAGCTCCCTTGCCCCCTGGCACCCGGAACGCTGAAACAAGGTCATAAATGAAAAGCTTGCTCAGGGAGCTTAACCTTTGTTTTCCTTGCTTTTCCGGCTTGGAGGATCGGGCTCGACCCGAATAAATGTTAGTTAATCACTCCGATGCAACTGCAGCCTGTGCCCGAGGATATTGGCGAGTATTCAGCCGCTAAAAGAACTAAGCGCTAAATTCAACAGCCGTTTCTAACTCCCGAGTGGCGTCGCGCCGACCCTTCTCTCAAACGAGCAGGTAAGTCCAAGGTGACCATTAACACCAAGTATTTTGAGGAGGCATGCTCCGTAAATGCCCAACCATTCTAGCTGGCCTGTTATTATCAGCAACCAAACGTTGTACCAGCATTATCTCCACGCTTAAAACCAGAAATTGTGACAAGGAACATCGTAGCGAAGTTAATCGGCGATCGGGCCAACCTTGATCATGAAAGTCCCCTCGGTGGGAACGCCGATTGTTGTTTGTTGCCCTCTCGATTTAACCGGACAAAATCTAAGTTGCTCAGCGACGACCAATCCCCATTCCACCCCTTCAGCCTCCTGATATTATCTTCCGAGCCTAGATCTGGGACCCAGAACCCTGTGGCGTATTCCTTCGCTTCAAATTCTTCTCTTTGGGTTAGTGTTTCTTCCCGTTTACTCGGCGGCCGGCCTTTCCTCTTCTGCTGACGAAGCTCTGTGAGCTCAGGTGCATATCGCGCTCTATATCTACATATATTCGATAAGAAAATAAGCAGGAGTTCTAAGACAATGCAGACAGTAACTACATTAGTTAGCGCGAGTCTCACCTTGTAACCAATTGGGCCACCTCCTCATCTGAGAGCGGCGCTGCAATATGCTGGATGGAGTCTTTGAAGAAATTCACTCTGTCCACTGCAGCAGAAATACGATCGCGTCAGACAGGACATTCAATGACAATGCCACGGAAAGGTAATGCTCACGGTATATTTGCCTTCCCTTCACATGCTCCGCAGCGGCGCGCGCCAGCTTCCCCTCCCTCGCACTCGCTCGGCGGAGACGCTTCGAGTCTCTGCTATTGGCATGCAAGGCGTCAAGCGCTCCCCTTTTTTTAGAGATTTGCTTTTGCACCTTTTGTAGGTTCCTTGCCATATTCTGATATCCGTCCGCTTTATTCTCGTCTCTTCTTCCAGCCACAGTAATTATCAATAGCTCATCAGCCTGATCCTGTACTCCGGACTCCGTAGGCAGAGAATTTTTTGGAGCCTGCAGAAAAAAGAAAAGGCGGTGTGTGAAGATAAGATAAGAATCTGGACGGAGTACGGAGCACGGTTGCGCCGCTAGCGTTGTATCAAAGCCCCTTTCAAAGCATCGAAGAAAACTGCCAGCAATGTTTTATCTTGTCTCTTGATCATCAAACCATAAGTACACATATTAACCAACAATTAAAGATCTTGTGTGTAACACGACTACGATGCGTCGCAGCATGCTCTGGACTCTGTCCAAGTTTGGGGGGTTAATTTTGCTAACATATTCAGGAACTTGGGTTGCAGAAACCCTTGGAGGTTACAGAATACTCAGTACAATCATTAACTTTAAAAGTCACAGATTTGTTTTAACCATATTCTGGAGATAGTTAGAGTACAGAGACAGTGAGATGTGAGATGCATAATTCTAGTTCCATCACCTGCGCTCTAAAGCCCGAGGCATTGAAGTGTCTATCTCGCCAGAAAGTAGTGGGTAGGCGTAAGGGGGGTTTCAGTGTGGTGTTGGCGCTTCATAACTCTAGGGCATCTCATTTCAAGCCAGCGTCATGGAAACAAAACACGTTGGACATAAATCAATATTGGTCTTGTTTTTCTGTCCTGTAGCGGATGGATTGGCGTCGAAGCATTATCACGTGACAAAAAGACATGGATCCAACACGTGACTTCATCGCATGCAGCTCCACGTGACGTCAGGACGCTCATTGGCCATCGCGTCCCGGAGCGCGTTTCCTTGAAGATTGCAGTTGCTCTTTTCTCGAGAGTAGCGATCATTCCTGTAGTCCTCTCTACCTGCCCTCTTCTATAGAGCGTGTTTGTTTACCCTCTATTTATTGATTTCGAAATATGAAGATGACATAATATTTGCAGGCCTCGCGCTGTATGGTCTGGCCCATGTGCTGCTGACTCGAAGGGTAAACATTGGAGGAGCTCACAATATATCGCCAGCATGGGCATTGCAGGTAGGGTATAGAGCTTTGAACTGTTAGCATTTTCATTTGACACGTTGTAACAGGCCTCCACTCGCTTCTGAAATCCATCCAGAAGCCATGCAATGTCAAGAAATTCAAGGGCCAAACCCTTGGAGTCGATGCTTACGGATGGCTCCATCGAGGGAGTGTTGCGTTTGCTCTTGACTTGGCTCTCAATCGTCAAACGATCGGGTATGTTTTACCTTGTCGGTCCTTTGTTGGAATACGATATGAATTGCTGGCCCCCCTTTTTAACCTTAGGTATGTCGATTTCGCCATGCACCGTGTTCGCATGCTCCTTTATTATGGTGTCACTCCATACCTGGTCTTTGACGGTGGGAGATTGCCGAGTAAAGATTCAACAGAGGAGACCAGAGCAGCCCGGCGTGAAGAGAGTAAAAGATTGGGTCTCGAGCTCTACCGAACCGGCCGTACCTCCCAAGCCCAGCAAGAATTACAAAAGGCTGTTGATGTAACCCCATACATGGCTCGGATGCTCATCGAAGAGCTGAAAAAGTTGAACGTGCAATATATCGTTGCCCCGTACGAAGCAGACGCACAGTTGGTCTATCTCGAAAAGGAGGGCATAGTCAACGGGATCATTTCCGAGGATTCGGATATGCTTGTATTCGGTGCGAAGGTCTTGCTCTCGAAGCTCGATAAGCACGGCGATTGCATTGAGATCAACAGGAGTAACTTTTCTGCCTGTCGAGACGTTAGCCTTACAGGCTGGACGGATGAAAACTTTCGGCAGATGTGCATCCTCAGCGGGTGCGACTATCTCCCTAACATTCCGAAACTCGGGTTAAAAACCGCCTATCGGAAACTTAGAAGGTACAAGACGGTGGAGAAAGTAGTCAAAATCGTGCAATTCGAAGGACAGAGTCGTGTGCCTCCGAACTATTTAGAGGAGTTCAACCGAGCAGAACTCACGTTTCTTCACCAGCGAGTCTTTTGCCCAAGAGCTAGAAAGCTGGTAACTCTTAATCCACTGCCGAATAGCGCCCACGAGGGATTGACCTTTATTGGCAATGACATCGAACCCGATATCGCGATTGGGATCGCGTGTGGTGATTTGGATCCAATCACTCAAGAAGTGATAAAGATAAATCCATCATATCCGGAGAGAGCAAGGATGGCAAACATGCGGCGTGGGACACTTCCTCTTGCTGACGAGAAGGGACAAGATAAGCCTATAAGCTCTTTTTTCACGCCCAAGCGTATTCCACTAGGAGAGTTAGATCCGAACAGCCTTACGCCTTCTCCAAGTCAGCAAGCTCTGCTTGCGCAGAATAGCCGACGTTCTTGGTCAGCCCGACAAGCCCCCACACCAACAAGCGTCCCGCGAGCTGTGTCTGCATCTGAGCGACCTCCACAAGCACCAGATGTAAATAGGGAGTCGTTCCTGTCGCGTGCTGCAACGTTAGCTCGGCCTCTGCCAGCGAAGAGGCAGCGGCTATGTTCTGATGCTGCTGAAAACGAACCCGGCACCTCAGTCGGAGAGCGTAGTCGTTTTTTCAGGGGCAACTCAATCACCTCCGAGAAGGATGCTCTAAAAGGAGCAAAATTCAAGAAGGCAAGGAAAGCAGAATTTGGAGTCTTTTCAGATGACAGCGTCGAGGATATTATGTGTTCGCTTCCTGATAGCATAGATACCGTTGCATCACTTACACCAAGTCAGGGGGACGACCGGGGTACCACGTCGACGCCGGAACCCGATGAGAAGGGGAACCCATATTCGGTCGTCTTAAGGAAGCATACTGTCACTCACCAGAGCTTGCCCACACCGTCCCCAGAATGCAGCCAGAGCCCACTGGTAAGCTCGGCCCAGGGAAACAAGAGCAACAACAACGGCAAATCAGCTTCATTGGGCCTCGAAGCTAGGTTTGCATACGTTGACGAAAACCGCCACACAAGGCACCCCGATAATGGTCGGAATGAAGAGCTCCGTAAACCGCTCCGGGAGGGCGTGGCGAATGGAGGCGGGGCAGCATACTCTCAGGTCAGCAAACCGGGGAACCGCGCACGGATGACCCCTCTGCAACGGTTACAGCAGAGTGCGCTGGGTAGATCGAAGTCGATGAACTTCTCTAAAATGAACATGACCAAGGATGGACAAGCTCAGCGTGGATACGAGTCGGACGATTCGACATCCAGGCCAACTCCGCTCGCGTCATTTGAACCGAGAGGGAGTGAAGATTTGATTGTTCCAGGCACAGACGACAGCGACGACGGATCGCTATCTAATGGGGATAAGCCACAACTATTTATGTCTTTGGATCTGAAAAAGTTTGAATTCTTCCCAAGCTGAACATCCAGGACGAAGAGGGACATTCCTTTTTGATTATGTATTAGGCTAGGTGGGGGAGAGTTTAATGATCCTGACCTTGTGACACTCTGCGTTCAGGGCACTTATTTGTTGTCACGAGTTGGTCAAGAGAGGCCAAAATGAAGCATGGCGTATGGCGTTGGTTGGATCTGTCTGTGGAAATCCATATTTATGTTGGACAAGGACCCCGTGATAGACCAGGACCTTATATGTAGAGCTTATTGAGATGCTCCATATACAAAGCATAGAAATAAAGCTAGTTCTCCCCAGATCCTGAAAGTGAAGGCTATGTATGGTAGCTTGGTCGTTGGAGATGGGATGAAGTTGAGCTGAGTCAGCAATCAAAAGCAAGTCTGACGGGCGCCCCACCGTGACAGGATGCGCTAACCAAGAGTTGCCTAGTGCATGCAATGCTCCGCGTGGGCCCCGGCTATTTTAGCGCGCGGCTGATTCTGCCAGGGCGGCAACGCGGGGTTGCCCCGGTAATACAGCGAGAGTACTTCGCAGTGTAAACAAAAGGGCGGCCTCGTTGGCCCAGCCACCAGCACATGCCAGTCGTCCGCCGCCAGCCCTGACAGCCTCCAACCATCCCATAGATCCAGCCACCGTCGGCCGTCGATATCTGCTACTGCAACCTTCGGACTCCGTGAAACCTGATTTTTGCCTCTTGTCGACGAGATGAAGCCGTCGGCGCTGCGATTCCCTTCTCCGTGAAATTGGTCGTTCGTTTCGGTGACATCCTGCAGTCACTATATATGTGTGACAAAAAGGACAGAGCAAGAAAAAAAGAAAGGGGGTTTATGCACTGAGTTCTTACTCGCTTATTCACTCTCTATCATTCCTTCACATCACTTACTATCTTTTCTCCTCCCTTCCTTCCATGCCTTATCCATTCTCAGTTGCACCGCATACTGTAATTAAGAAGTTTTATCTGACACTTCTGACGTCTTAAATATACCTTTGTGCAGGAGGAAAGGGAGGTGCCCTTGCATTGAGAGACGATAAACCGCATCGCGCAACTTCGATACGTTAGAATCGGTTACGGCGCGGAGTCGAACGAGTTCCACCCAAGTCGCGACGCCACGCGGGATATTTGCATCAAAGATCGAGGCTTTTGGGATTGCAGAAGGACATCGTCTGATTGGAATTACACCGTGCTCCTTCTCGGGGCACCGAGAAGTGAGCAAGGATTGGAGCTGGAGTTGTAGGGGCTCTGGAGCAGTGGAAATCGTCGCATAACCATGCCCGAATTGCGGTTTGTGACCGGCGCCCGCCGTGCGTTTGCCCCCGTTCCATCTCTTAGAACCCGGAAGGATTTCACATTTCAAGACTGACATCTTTATCAATAGGGTTCATAACACAGATCGGGTATCACCATATTCTCATGATATTTATCGCCCTTGCTATCATTCTACTTTGTAAGTCAATGAATAGCCTATATCGTCCTCTCAATATTTGCTAACAGTTTCTTCAATTAGCCCTTTTATTAGCAGGATGTTCATCCTCTTCGCCTCAAATACCAACAATCTTCTTAATATCCTTATTTTACGAACAATATCCCCCCATAGAGTCAACCGCACAATCCGCTCCATCGGTAACAGCAGACATCGCCAATATAGTCCGTGACGCCCAGCTTGAGGTTCGCGTAGGATATTTTGGAATCTGCGTTCAGCGTGGCGGCGGATCATTTATCTGCAACGCGAACGCCACAGCGCTAGCTGGCATCCTTCCCGCCGAAGATGACCCCTTGAACCTTGTCTGGGTGGCATCAACATTCAAAGACGCCGTTGTTTTTCCATACCTAATGTAAGTCCTATCTCTTCTCTCTCTCTCTCTCACACACACTCTCTCTCTCCCCCTTCTTTTTTTTTTTTTTTTTTTTTTTTTTCCCCGGGTTCCGGCTAACATAGTTGGATATCTCGTAGCATTGTTGCCGTAATATTCGCATTTGTCTGTTTCCTTATCCTGGGTACGTTCCCCGGCTGGCACGAAGAGACCTCTCCCGATGGCTCCGAGCAGGAGGTCAGGCCGTTCCCATCACGACCTGTTTCGCAAGTCGCGCTCTCTCTGATATTCGTTGCTTCCGTGTTCATTTTGGTTTCCGTCCTCTGGCAGCACACTGCATCCGTAGCGGCAAGCACAGTAGCCCAGGATCTGGGCAACGGAAGCGTAAAAAGTGGGGTGGGCACGTCAGCGATGATATTAGGCTGGTTTGGATTCGGCTTGCTCGTTGTTGTTACGATTGGGTTACTGGCGATGATCCTAAGTATTAGTTTGTTGACGAGGCTTACGGATGATTGATGATATGAGGAACATTTCTTGATGAGGGAAAAAAAGGATGGCTGGGATGGATTTATACGCGCACTACATTACGCTTCATGTCCATGGTTTTGATGCTTTCATGTTTGACGGGCTCGTGGGCGGGATATTCCCCTTGAGGTTTTCTTTTTGCTGCGAAATTGTTGTCATATTATAAAGATGGAGGTTAAATCGCATTTGGATGGATCTGGCTACTTTTCGATTCTTCAACCCTGACTCTACGATAATAGGGTAGCGGTTGGGAGTATGTAGAAATATTTTCGTACAGACTCGAGTGCATTTATTATCAAAGATGTGAGTCAAGAACTGACCTTGCTTTTTGCGAGTATTGTTTTAGAATGGTGAAGTGGAGGAATTCAAATCAGCTCTTATAAAATCGGTAATACAATGCCGATGACAGCGTGAATTATATGTACCGGACATAAAGTCGGAAAATGGCAGAAAATATCCACCTGTACATACCCAGCAAATCTCTCCCACCGTACGCCCTCCGAGGAACTGAAAACCCAACTAGGAGACGGAGCCCGCCCCAACGCCGCTCCTACACGTAGAGATAGTTTTATTTCATAGTATAACGCCATGATTGGAAGCAAAAGGGAAATATCAACATGCACACCGGAAACAGGGACCATAGGGAGGGAAAAATGATCTCAATAGTTCATGACTGGATTTCCACTCCCAGGCCCCCCTCTATCGTCACCGGCTCCATCGTAGCCGGGTCTGCTGGAAGGATAATCGTCCAAAGATCGGTATCCAGCATAGCCGCCACCTTCTCGGGGACCAGGCGCACGCCCTCGTCCTCGTCCTCCTCTACCTCCGCGGCCCGCACGCCCACGACCACCTCCACGGTAGCCTGGTGGGGGTGGGCCACGGCGGGAATCCTCGTCATGATAATGCCTTGGCGGTCGGTCATCTGGGTGTCTTTCGTGGCGAGATCGACTGTAATCATTGTAACCACCACGGGGGCGCCCTGGTTCGCGATGATTCTCCTTTGGGTACGAAGGGACATCTTCGTTGTCACGAGTATCATACTTGTGTCTGCGCTTGAATGGTCGGCCTACATTCGGCGCTTCTCCATCTCCATCATCTGAGTTATCTTCTGCCACTCGCAAAACCAATTTTTCTCCTATAGTGGTATCAAAAACCAAGGCATTTTCTTCGGAAACGGGGTTCCAGTTGCGTATCCTTCCCACGTCAATGGGCCGAGCACCTCTCCTTAGAGCAAGGACAACTACAGGATCAGGGTTATCAGTGTAAATATCTTCCGAATCGGATATAGGGGCTACTCTTGCAGCCCATATCTTGTTTTCAAAAACAGCTGTATCCGTGACTCGCCAACGCACGACCTTACCAATGCCACCCACTCTGTCGAGGATAGCCTTTGGCGCAGCGCGAGGTGTAATCAATATGGTATTGGCCATCAGTTTGACATCCCCCGAATCGACGAGGCTGGGTGAAAGCATAGGTAAGGTAAGATATTTCACCAATCGTTCGGAGTCAGCATTGTCAAGCATGTAACCGGTGTAGAAAATTACACGATGAATTCGAAGGCGCCCATATGGCGACTTGGTGACGTTTCCGGAGGCGGCCGTCACAATTGCATTGTGAGAATTAATCATACGTTGTACTTCGGCAGCTTCAGCAACAGGTGGCAGATATCTAGTGCTCTCAGCAACATGGATGACTTCGGCCGTGATAGATTTCCGAATTGGATGCGAGTTGGGAGCAAGAAATTGGAGGTTGAACTGCTCAAAGTAGTCCCGAAAACCTTTGACACTAGAAAGATTCAGAAGGTTGTTCACGTAGTTTGGAGGCATTATTCTTACTGTCTAATACGATCTTCGTAAACTCTGATCTCATCGGCATGCTTGTATGTAAATATCATATCTTCAAGGAAAATCTGCTTGAAATTGATCGTGCTAGAAAAGCGTTGGCTGTTGGGTCCAATTTCGGGCTTTAGGCACACAAGGTCAAACTCCAAAGACCTGCTTTTGACAATTCGTTTGATGATCTCTGCAAATGAGCTCTCCGCGCGTCCAGTGAGAAGTACTGTAAGGACGTCTTTTTGCTTCATGCTCAATTCAACAAGTTCAACCTTTTGGAAAGTCAGCAGATAAGGCCTATATTGATCCATTCTGTAGAAAGCATACTATTTGTTCGTTCCACCAACCTTTCCAAGCTAAAGGTTCTTCTACGTCAATCCCCTGACCAGTGGCCGCAAGGATATTGGGGTCATGCCACCAGCCGCCATTTGCAAATGATTCATAGGCCTGAAGGAAGCCAATCGTGAGACCATTCCAAAGCTGTGGGTTGGGGAGGGGGCTGTTAAACACTATTGCGATATAAAGGCCGTCAGCATTTCCCAGGAGGATCTCATGCACGAATATTACTTACAGGTATTGTCAAAATCATAGACATGGATAGCTTTGACATCAGGAATTGCTATAATCCCCAGGTCAGCGCTCGAGCCAACATTATAGCAACAAAGAGCGCACCTGGAAGGTCTTTATTATTGTTTAAGCAGGACCATCTCTTCAGAGCGGTGGTGCTGTACGTCACCGGCTTCTTCGCATCAAAGGAATTGGACGAGTTGAGCAGGGGAGGTGCCATCTTGGAATATAAAGCCGCACGCGCAGAAATGTGTTTGCCAGACCGAAGCATCACAACACATCGTCCAGGGAAAGCATTCCAGAAGCGCAGCAGTCAGCACACGCGATGAAGTAGAGCGGTCCGTAGCACAAGCTTGAGCAACCTTGCTGGCGCCCGCCCTTATCAAAATTCGAGTCCGGCAAGCTGCCCGATATTATGTAATCACACTGCCGGCGTGTAAATTCTTCCTTTCCGAAGCCTAGCCTCCCGACACCTGCATGGATGAGGTCCAACCAACCTTGTGGCTGCGTTTGTCTGATCAAGCGCTATGGTGGCTGGATGGATGGTGTGAAATTCACATGGCATGCGATGGAGATTTGCAGCAGGAAGTCCTCCGGAAGACGCTCGACGAAGTAGCTTGTGACGCTACCAATGATCATGCCACCCCCTGTGTGATATGCCTGGAGCAAGTGCGGGACGTTGGAGTCACGATACCTTGCAAGCACAGAAACTTCGACTTCCTATGCCTTGTGAGTTGGCTGCAGCAGCGGAGAGCTTGTCCGCTATGTGAGTCGCATTGCTTGTCCTTCATAGGAGACAGGCACGCTGACTGGCTCTAGGTCAAACTGGAATAACGGGAGTAAAATACAATCTCCAGGCGCCGAAAGGCCCGGAAATATTTTATTTGCCTTCTTCAAGAGAAGAACAGAACTCCAGTACTCGTCATCCATCTACACGACAGCGTCCAAATTCGCGCCCAGAGCGTCGGTCTGGCAGGCGAATATCTTCTTTCCGACATCCTCTCCAACAGCCCGACGATCCTTTAGGCCGTCGGCGTTATATTTATCGACGACAGCTATACTCCCAGCATGTCGGTTCAAATCGACTATCACAGTACCGTGAGTTCACTCCACAGCTATTCAACAGGGATGAGAACCTGGTATCCCGCGCCAGGAAGTGGGTACGAAGAGAGCTACAAGTATTTGAATTTCTCGATCCAGATAATGCCGACATACAGGGTGGAGGAGAGCAGCAGAATAATAACGACTCCGTAAGAACTCGTCGGGCGCGCAATGCAGAATTTTTACTGGAGTATATCATTGCGATACTGCGAACAGTTGATATCAAAGGAAGCGGTGGACAAGCAGAGGAATTATTGCAGGAATTCATTGGAAGAGAGAACGCACGATTATTTCTACATGAACTACAAGCGTGGTTGCGCAGTCCTTTTAATTCGTTGCAAGATTGGGATAGAGCAGTGCAGTATGATGAACGTGCGCAACCCACTTTGCCAACGATTCATCGTCGAGAGCTCGACACCCATCGAGAAGACAGAAGCAGATCTCGGTCCTACATGGACCGGACACATAGGAATGAGTCGCGAGGGTTACGAAAACACAGAATGCAGGACCCTCGACCTGACCTTGCCCAGGTGAGGAGGGTTGAGCGCGCCAGGCGACTGTATCAGCCTGACTGAGCGTGCATATCATTGTCATGAAACCCTTCGACGTGTGCGACCAGGTTCCGGGGAAATCGGGTTAAAGAGGCGCGTTCTGGGTTTGCAGACGGTGCCCATATTGTAAGCGTAAGGCCTTCCTCTCGTTGGCCCTAGTGCCATTGCATCTAGATATCAGTCCAGCAATCCCTATTTTCGGCGTCCATATTAGGATGCGAAGACCGTCTGCTGCAAGGAACACTCTGCATAAATGAATACATTATATATAGCGAACAATAGCAGCGCTACCTATAAACAATGCACCATTCCAGAACTATGATTTCGTAGACTCATTATGCCATGCTATTTTCATTTGGTTCTCGCTGCCGGTCAATATTACCCAGTCTCGGAAAGCAATACATCATGCCCTTACCTCCTACGACCGAACCGTCCCTTGCTACCACCATTTTTACTCCTTATCTTGAGCGCCCTGTAGTTGGCATGCGCCGCCGCCTTAATTTTTCGCACCTTTTGGACAAATTTATTCTCGCTCTGTTTTGCTTTCCCGCCCTGGTTGTTCTTATCTTTAGAACAGGTATTACCTTCGTCCTCACTATCCAGATTATCTCCGCCAGCGGAAAAAGGACCCTGGGACTCGGCCGCGGTAGCCAGCTCATCCTCACTATCCTCCTCAGGAATGGCAAATTCAGGAGCTTGCCGCGGCTTCGCGCGCACAGGACGCATATAAACCAACCTAGTAGTCCTCTTTTGACCTTTCTTCTTCCAATATCTTTCAGGTTTCGAGGGGGTATTCGTTGGGTCTTGGGCGTCCAAGTTGCTGTCTGGAACCTGACTGTCTGTGACAAATACCTTACCTGCCTCAGCATCCGCAGCTTCGGCTTCACGGAGCGCGTCCATATCGTCCTGTATCATTTCATCTTCTAGATCACGGAGCCCCTGCACGAGTTGGCTAAGCCCTTTACCCACCACTTTCTGCGGCATCCGTACAGCAATTGGGCTGGTGGTGTTGATTTTATCCTTCCCATTGTTCGTTGTGCGAGGAAATAAAACGCTCCTCCGCCGCAGAAACGTGGGTGTCTCTAATTCGCTACCGTTTGTTTTCCGCGATGGAGTGGGTTGAGCAGGAGAAGCGACTTCGTCTCCGACGATGGCATTCCCTTCGTCTGCTTCTATAATAGTGGCGTATCGCATCGTGCTTGGAGTACCAAAAAATTTCGAAAGATAGAATTTTTTCGCCGATGAAACTGGTGTTAATGAGTATCTTCGTGGGCGGATAGCAGACCCATGGTCTCTACTGGGAGTTTGCATCTTTTTAGTAGGGGATGGTGTGGCGGTCGCATCGGTGAGGTTCGACTGTTTCTGTCTAGACGACGGAGTTGCTGTGTTCGGGCTCGATGGGGAGAGCAAGTCAAAAAGCCCCAATACTTTGCCATCGCGCTGAGGAGTAGGGCCAATGGCTGCCCGAAGAGGTATAGGAGAAATGTTTGGTTCATTGGGAGTAAGCAATCTTCTAACATTTGAGGGTGATTCGTATGGATCTAGATGAGACGGGTGTTGAGGCGCTGAGGTATGCTTTGCAACTTTTCGAGGAGTCGCAAACGCGCAGCTTTCGTGTCCGGCTAGGCTGTCGGTGAAAGGATACGTGCGCTTCTTTTGGGAGCGTGCCGGGGAGATTGCATTATGATCCGTAGTACTTCTATCGAGACAAGACGATGGTTTCTGGGATCGAAGTCGTGAATAAGTTTTGTACTTTGCAGCTGTCCAACTTAGCATGCGACTCGATGAAGGGACATTGAGAGGCACCAGAGAGACCAGCACCTACCTATAGCGGCGTCCTTTTTGATGTCTTCTCGCGTGGCTTTTCGGCCTTCATTTGCGTCAGAGAACGCCTTTTCCCACTCCTTTAGCTCGGAGCGGAGAGAAGCCAGTTGCTGTTCGATGGGTGAACCAGCGGAGGTTGCCATTGTCAGATTACTGGAGAGCGGAGCAATTATTTATCGTGGGAATGAAACAGTCATTTGATGGCCACGGAGCATGAGTATGTCACTACAGAGTGCTCCGTACCATGATGAACATTTGCCCTTCAAAAAGTTTCCAGCCGAAATTAGATACTACTTAACCAACAAACGCGTCGCGTCTCCTACGCGTCCACCCAATGACATCAACCTCACTAGTTGGTTACACCAAACTCCAAAATTTATCCCGTGTTTTGTAAAATTTTTGCCAGCACCCAAAAGTTCCCCGTGTTTCTTTCTGTGTTAATCCATCTGAGAACCCAGGCATATTCTGGATGAATTGAAACACCACTCTATGCGACCGTGTACACTACCAACTTGTCAAACAGCGTTTGTTATCAAATCCGCCCCGGAGCTGGAAGTCGGGGTGAACCACTTTGCCCTTTAAAATTGTATACTTGACAATCCCTTCACAATGCTCTGGTCGAACTCGTGCGAGCCAGATCATCTGTTCTGCCTCCTTCCGGTAAATAAGCACATTTGCTGAAAATTTATGCCCGCCCACGTGCGAGACGAAATAAACACTCACCCCGCCAGGGCGGTCGTCACTGTCGTCGCGATGGAGCCCGAGAGGTCGCAGATGGCGCTCAAGTTCGCGTTTTATAAGTGGTGCTGATATCCCGCATCGTGCATCTCGACTTTTGTGAGAACAAAGTAGGACTACATAGTCTCGCTGGCAAGATCGAGGTGTCAAACGACGCCCTGTGTCGGCATCATTTCGCTCGTCTACAGCTAGGGCTTCAATGAAGCGGCTCTTCAACTCCGGAATATCTCCAACTCGCACTCTGTCGACAAACGTAAAGGAAGGCAATAATAGAATAGTTGATTCGTCTTGGGAATTTGGGGATACAGCATCGGTGCAGGCTTGTGAAGTTGGTATATTCGATGCAGAGACCATAATGCGCTGCAGGTGAGCGTTAGCCTATTTATCCTTGCATTGTACGAAGACCGGGCGATGGGTGCATGGAATACGAACACCCTGCTTTGTTTGACGCGAAGTACTTGCAAAAGCTTCCATCAAGGTTCCCTGCATATTTTCCACCTTCGGAACCCAGTCCGACTTGCCTGTGGCCACAAGGACATGAGTCGCAAACGGCTTGACCTTGCCATAGAGCCGTCGTTGGTCTTCGGTCATGAAGCGCGAAGGATATTTTATCGTACAATCTGCACAGTCTCTGGTACAATCCGGGCCGTCTGATTCGGGGTCTACCGTGGGAAATATGTATCCATCATTTCCTTTCGTTCCCCAAACCGACCGCGCACGAGACACGAGTGAGTTAAACATCATGGACAGACTGGAATCCGCGGTTGTGTAGAGAACAGACCCGATACTAGGATTTTTTTGGTTTTATAAAACGTCGAAATGTATTTGCCTAATGCCAGCTCAGCGTTCCATTTAAGAGTGGAATCATATATCTCTGCAGCACCACAGGCAACACCAAGCTATCAGGTTATCTCCGATCCTTGCGTTTTCTCGCTTTCCGCATGATAAACTACATGTGTACTCCCCACTGGGTAGGTGATTGGAACGCTGTTGAAGGCGTTTCTGAGAGATTAATCCCCCGCCAAGGAGTCGACTTTCCTTGCATCCTCACACGGTAAGCCATAGCTGTGCCGCTGCATTAACTAGATTGAGCTCGCTTCAAGAGAGACAGCGAACAAACTGCAAACTAAATCGCTGCTGGGACTGAAGTTACTCCGCAATTCCGCCAATCGGAGGTCGGTCTCGGAGTTGCTATGGACTTGCGGATCTTATTGCCGAATCCCCACCGGATTTGACGGATTTGACGGATCTATCGGGCTCCAGCAGTATTTATGCAGACGACATCGTCGCATCATGTCCATCTCCCCAAGCTCGAAGACGGAGTAATCGATTGCAGACTGTGCGCTTATCTGGGTGGCAAAAATGGTAGACGAGCAAGAAGTCGTGGTGAAAGCGTGTCGTGGTGTCTCCGAGCCGCCTCGGAAAAAGAGAAAACGTAGGACGCTGGCTTGTTTGCCGTGTCGCAACAGAAAGGTCAAGTGTGACTTTGGCCAGCCTTCTTGCGAACGGTGTCTGAAGACTGCCTGGCCAGAGAGATGCACCTATGAGAACCGCCCACCAGCGTTTCATGCAGATGACGGGCCCTCAGCGCCGCCCCGTCCTGAGGTACCCCTGGTGGCGCCAGAGCCTGACCAGGTTGAGGGCCGAAATCTGAAAACCCTTGAGTATTTGGTGCAATGCCTTGCTCAACAGTCAGCTCATTCATTCCCGACTCATACAAACCCATCCCGGGCGCCCTCTCCCAGGGTCAACTTCCATGGAGCGGACCCTGGCGAGAGTCCCGTGTCCAAACGACCAACCACACCTGCGACCATATTCAATGCTACCCTCCACGGAAGAGAAACAAAGACCCGATTCCATGGCTGTAGTAATATCTACAGTTTGTATCCAGAGGTGGGAATAGTCTTTCATAATCGATATGAGAATATGGTATTGATGATACCGTCCAGTTTCCAGAACTAAAACAATACCTTCACCGGCTGAAGTATGAACACCCTGTCCTTGCCGGCTTTCTACGTGACCTGTCCAAGCTAAAGGAAGGCCGCCTCAAAAAGCAAACATTACCTGGGGAGTTAGCCCTTGATACCAATTATCTAAGTGGTCTGCTCCCGCAATGGTCAGTGATTGAGAGCTGCATGGGCATTTACTTCAATTCTTTCGGAAGTGTGAGCAGGCTGTTCCATAGACCAATGTTCAACCAACAACTACAGCTTATCAGGGACCGTCCACAGTCCGCCCCACCCGTTTTCATTGCTCAGGTTTTCCTTATTCTGGCAATAGTATGGAACGGCCACCCCGATGGAAGTATCACTCCGAGCACTGTTTCAAACTGGATACGATGGGCAGATACTTGGCTACAACATTGCGGGATCAAACGCCCAACTCTCGCCACATTACAAGTTCGATGTCTCCTTGTGCAGGCCAGGGAAGTAAACCACACGCAAAGAAACCAAGCATGGGCTGCCACCGGAAACGTTGTAAAATTAGCAATGTCTGCCGGGTTCCATCGCGAGCAGCCGCCGGGTTGCCGAATTTCTATTTTCAACAGGGAAATGCGGCGAAGGGTTTGGGCGACAATCTTAGAATTGGACCTTCAAGCGTCTCTGGATCGTGGTATGCCGCCAACAGTGCAACACGCTGACTATGACTGCTTGCCTCCATTGAACATTAATGATGAAGATATACAAGAATCCACCGCTGAGATACCCATACAAAAGCCTTTAAGCATTCCCACGGATTCTTCCTATCAAGTCATGGCAGCCAAATCTTTGGGTTTGCGACTACATATTTGCTCACTGATCAACTCCCCACGACTTTCGATATCGTCTTCCCAGGTTTTAGAGTTGGACGAGGCTATATATCAACAACTTTCTAGCATTCCAGGGTGGAAAGGGGTCGGTGATTCTGATGTTAACGCGAACCAGAGAATATTGCTATGGCGAACGCTGCTTCAAATACAGCTTCAGCGAAGCCAGCTCTCGCTGCATTCATCCTGTATCTTAGGGGATTCGAAAGCAGGGACATTTGCGCACTCTTCCCGTTCTAGATTAGATGTGGCCGTGTCTATCCTATGCCACGAACAACTCCTCTTAGACCAACTCGGGAGAAGGGCATGGTTTACTTTGAGTGAAGTTATTATGCAATCTGCAGTCACTATTTGTCATTATCTATATACGTCTGATAGTGGTGTTGGTAAGCTCAGGTTTACCCTATATCCACTCTTGTCCCTGCCAGAACTCTAGTCTAATGCCACCCTCGCAGGATCTTCTATAGTACGGCAGATACTTCCGAGCCTTACACAGACCTTGGTATCTCTGACCGAGCGTGTCCTGCCTTGGTGGGAGGAGAAGTTCACCGCTGTCCAAAAGGGAATGAGGGAGTATTTCATCCTATGCGTCATAATCTCCATGGTTAAAGGAAAGCTATGGCCAGAATCAATCGACGCGTACCGAAAGGAGAGCATTGATCGAATGACGACGTTGTGCTATAATACCCTATCTAAGCATATGGGTCGATCGAAGCTGGATATATCTGAGAAGAACTGGGTGCATTTTACAACAAAAGCCTCTCCTTGTTTCTGGCTTCGATCGACTAACTCTTTTACAGACTCATCCGATAGAATCCCCGATCGCCGCTCCTCCAACAGACTCGAATTATCCTCCGTCCAACGATTCTTTGGATATCACTGTGTGTACCATTGAGCTCTTCCTCTTTCATGCTGTTCCCTGGTTTATCTTAGCTGACAAACTGTTTTCTTTTTGATACCAGTTTTTTGAAGATTGGGACACCATTTTGGGAGATTTTACGACTGAATTTTCTGATTTTGGGGCTTTATAATAAATAATCTATGGCTATACGCTCCCACCAGCGTCTTGCGGGAGTCAATCTCCACGGAGACCCAACTGCAACGAAGTTGTGAAAAGTATAAGAAAAGCTCCGTTTTTGCCCAAAAAAGAACCGCTATCACTCGATGCTCCTTGTGATTAACGTAGATCCTAGTTCTAGTTTAAGAACCGAGCTTTTATGACCATTTTATGACAGTGGGGTACACAAGCACTTAAAACTCGGGACGGTGGTCCGCATAGACCCGGAGGGAGGCACAAAGCAACTGGAAAGTTTTTCATTCATAGCATATCATTTCCACGAAATATCATCCCCAAAAGCACCTCATCAAATATATACAGGAAGAACACAAAGGGACTCCGGACACAAAAGTAGCTTCACGAAAACCAAACCGACCAGCCTGATCCACATCTTAAGCCTAGAATGCTCGCCCCGCTAATTCACGATAAACATAAGAAATGGGTATCCGGATAGCAATCTAAACACTATTCCCGGAGCGGGTTATAAGCATGACACTGCATCTTCAAGCTTTCTTCGCGATATAATCTTTATTTTCCACAGTGACGCTCTTGGTCATGTGGTTAACCTTATACACTCCTACAAGCCGCGCGGCAAGTTCAAACTACGGAGGAGAGAAGACGATGTTAGCAGTGACAATTAAGATCAAAATATAACCAATGGAAACCCGCTGTAAGTAAATTTGGCCAACTCACCATGTTATTTCTCAGGGAGATGACAATGAACTGCGCATTTTTCGTACGCTCCTTGATATATGAAGCAACAATAGAGACCTAGAAAGCATGGTTAGACGGCACAAAGTATGCAATCCTAGATGCCCGCGGAGTGTACTCACGTTCCTAAAATCTAAAGCAGCATCAATTTCGTCCATGACATACAGCGGGGTGGGTTTGTAGTGATGTAAAGCGAACACAAGGGCCAGACTGGACAATGTCTTTTCGCCTCCAGATAGATTACTGATATTTTTCCAGCTCTTCTTCGGTGGCATAACGGAAAACAAGATGCCTTCCGAAAAGGGATCAAGAGAGTCCACGAGTTCGAGTTCTGCGTTACCACCCATCGTAATCATTTGATACATCTCCTTCAGGCGAAGAGAAATGGTGCTGAAACCTTCCATGAATCCTGTCAATCGAAGCGAGCGAAGGGTATCAAGGCGAGATTTAGCATTGTCACGGCTTGCCAGTGCGCTTGCAAGATCGGCAGAACGAGATTCGTGCTCCGCAACTCGACGCCGATATTCAGCCAGAACAGACAGATCCACTTGAGCGTTTTGAGTCTTTTCCTCCAACGCGGCAATGACGGCTTTGAGGGATTCTTTATTCATGCCAGACAGCTCGTCCTTTGTATATACAGGAAGCTGGTCCGATTCTTCTTCCTCGCCAAGGTCGCTAATGTTCTGTAGCGAAAGTTTCGACAATTTCTCTTCCCAATATCTGCACCGTTTCTGATTCTCGACTAGAACCTTTTGATTTTCCTCTAATTTGTTGCGCATTTCTATTTCAACCGCACGGGTCTCATTGAGTTCGGCTGTCTTTTCATTCAGCTCAGCCTTGAGCGCAGCAAGTTCCTCCTTTTTGGATAATAAAGCCTAAAACAAGTTAGCGAATAAATCCGTTTCATGCCCTACGGTGATACTCACTTCCTGCGCTGCCTCAGTTCTTTCTCTCATTTCTGAAACTATGTTGGCCTGGTCCTCATTCTCCTGAGATAATCTGTCGAGTTCCTCTGCAAGCTGCTCAAGCTCTCCTTCAGAGTCCACACGAGACTTCTCATGTTTTACACGAAGCTTAGCATTCTTGGATTTCGAGACTTCGGCACTGGACACTTCTTCTGTAAGGAGTGAAATTTGCTCCTTAAGTCCATCTACCTTGGCTTTTTGGCCACGAAGTCTCACTCCACCGATTTCCATGATCTTATTCTGCAAAGTTTGGATCTCTTCCTCAACACCGGCTTTTTCTGCACGCAATTGACCGATCTCTGCTTCAAACAAGGAGATATGCTTTCTGAGCGCCGCTGCTCTGCTGTCATCATCCTTGGATGGTTTATGTTCAGCAGTAAGCTCTTTGACTCGGCGTTTGGCGTCCGCCAGATTGCGGCCGGCACTCTCGATCTCGAGCTGAAGCTTCTGGATGGTGGTGTTCAGCTTAGGAATGTCATCGTTTTTGCTTTTCAATGAGGATTCTAATTGGCGCTGCTTTTCCTGAAATGCTTGGAATCTCTTCTCCATATGGTCACGTTCAGCGTCAAGCTTCTCTACCTGGTCCTTTGAAACTTCCGCCACCCTCTTTGATGACATGGCGCCCCTAGCGACACGAGTTCCACCTCCACTCATGGTACCGGAAACGTCAATCAGCTGTCCACCAAGGGTGACGACCCTCCATCTTCGAGCCCCGTACGCAATCTTATTGGCTTGTTCTAAATCCTTTGCAACGAGGGTGTTCTGCATCACGCTATAGAACGCTGGGCTGAACTTTGGATCAAGAGGCTTGACTAGATCGAACAATCGCGGAACGCTGTCCGGAGTAAATATGGGAGACATGTCTCTGCGAGGTAACCTGTCCAGCAGGATAAAGTTCGCTCGGCCGAGATTGTTTTTGCGAAGATATTCAATACACTGCTGCCCGACCTCCACAGAGTCCACTACAAGGTTGTCCAGGGCAGGGCAAGCCGTCGAGATGGCAACATCGAATTTCTCTTCGATTGTCCCGAGGTTTCCGAGACGCCCGTGGAATCCCTGAATACGACCTGACTCTTTCAGTCGCATTAGGCCCGCAAGAACGTTGCCCTGGTTCTGCGTGCTCGTGAGGCTCGATCGGGCCTCTTCCGCCTTCTGTCGAGCACGAGACAGACGTGAACGATATTCTGGTTCCTTGTCAGAGAACCTCTGTAATTCTGCTGTTAGAGTTGCAACTTCATTTTCGAGCTCCGTCAGCTCCAAGCGACGCTGTTCTATCTCGTGTGTTTTGGCCGCACCCCCCTCCTGAATGGAAGCAATCTTTGCCTGAGCTTCTTCCAAAGCTACAACACCTGCATTTCTCTTTTCATGAAGAATATCCAGCTCACTTTGAGCCACAGCCATCGCGGACAGCTTCTCGTTAATTTTCTCGTTCCACGGTTCGAGACCTTTTTGCATTGCGGCGATCTGATCAGAAAGTCCCTGTGTTTTTCCTTTTAGGCTCTCACGGATGGACGCTAGTTCCTCCTCTTCGCGTCTCATTTCCTTTTCGAGAGATGCGATTTCTGCAGTTTTTCTCTCAATGTCATCGGCATGCTTTTCGACTAAGCTCGCGCATTCAGAAGCTGCTAAGCGACTAGCTTGCATGGCTTTTTCGAGTTTCTTCCGCTTGTTTGCCAGGAACTTGCGCTTTTCTTCCAGTTTGACTGATTCTTTATCATATTTGGACATCTCCTTCGCGATCGCTTGAGTTTCCTTCTCCATGGTTTCATATTCCTTTGTGCTTCGCTTAAACTGCCGTTGAAGGTCCTTGATGCCCTCTTCATTCCCCTGATGCTTTTCGAGCTCAAGGTTTAACAATTCTTGCATCTGCAAAATCGCCTCCTCCGTAACTCTCGTGTTATCATTGCATTCATCGATGTAAATTTGATACAGAGCAGACTGCTTTTCTACAAGCTCATTTTCGTCTTTGATGAACATCAAAGCCTTGTTTTTCTTGTCTTCAAGGGAAGATTTCTCTTTCTCAACGTGCTGGACGCGGCTGCTTTTCTCTGAACAGACTTCATTTAGCGTTTCAACCTCTGCCGCAGCCTCCTCGATAGGAACCTTGTATTTCGACGTCCCTATTATGTCTTCCAAGTACTCCAGAAGACCATCATCATGGTCATTAGCAGCTTTTGGCTTCATCTGAGCGATCGATTCGACTTCGCCTTGTAAGATGAGGAAGCGTTTATGATCCAGATCAATGCCCCGAGCTCGAAGAAAATCGGTGACCGTCGTGAAGTTGGTTTCCTTGCGGTTCATGTAATATTTGCTCGTATTGTTCTTAAAGGCTCTCCGCGAAACAACGAGCTGCGAGTTTTCCACAATTTCGTGGCCGCCTCCTGGAAGATCGAGAACTTCCTGAAAATGTACCTCAACTTCACAGAAAGGGAGGTTTGGGAAATTGGCGGAGTTATGAATGAGAGCAGAGATCTTGCCTTGTCTCATTTTACTGGCCCGGAAGCCAAAAACAAAAAGCAGTGAATCAATGACGTTTGATTTCCCAGAGCCGTTAGGTCCAACCACCGAAGAAAAGGAGGCATGAAATGGGCCAACAACCTGTCTACCTGCATAACTTTTGAAGTTAGTCAAAACTAGATGGGTGATAACCATTCGTGGTTTTGGCCCCGAGGGTTCTTCCGTAGGAGGTTGCGACATCGCCCGAGATTTCATCAAGATATCCATTGGCTTCTCCAATGCAGTCGACATTGGATTAATCGCTTCAATATTAGATGCTTCAGGCAGCGCTCTTTGCAGAGGAATTTCATCGGTTGGGTGTTGTACTGTATCTGTAGGGGTTGCCTCCCTTTCCGATGAAGCAGGATCATGTTCTATGGACGGTACTGCCGCAGGGTTAGCGCTAGAGGGGTCTTGCTGCGGCGCTACAGGTGTAATACTTCGGCGGGATAGCCGTCTCCCAGTCTCTGTGAATTGTGTGGGTGTTGGGGTGGCACTATGTCTTTCTGACGATGGAGTTGATTCAATCTGTCGAGAAGAACTCCGACGAGACAATTGCCCATCAGTCTGCTCTGGCTGCATGGGCGCTGGTGTGAGGCTATGTCTTGTCGAGGATCTGCGTGGCTCAACATGTTGAGAAGTACTTCGACGGGATGAGCGTCGAGTGGTTTCGGCTTGCTGGATGGGCTCTGGAGGAATGCTGTGTCTTGCTGAGGATGGAGTTGGCTCAATCGACCGAGAAGTACTGCGGCGGGATCTGTGCGAACTAGGCTCTGGAGATTGTGAGGGTGCTGGTGTCGGAATAGAGGAGAACTCCACTGTGGGAGTAACTGAAGACATACGAGTACTTCGATGAGCCGTGCTGTGTCTTGACCTGGAAACACTTTGCCTTCGTGTCGGAGTCTCTGGATCCCCAATTATAGCACTCGCTTCCGCTCCGCTAAATGGATTCGATGTTACTAGGCTCTCTCGGGTCTGGGTTCGTCGGGTCTTCCGCGGGGGCCGCGCAGTAGACTGGGAGGATTCAGCTATACTTTCAGCAGTTTGTCGTCGAGACGTCCGTCTTGCGGCCGTCCGATTTGGGACCGGAGTGTATTCTTCATCGTTGTTGTCATCGTCGTCTTCAGCCGAAAACGTCGGGGTTGCTCGGCCGGACTGCAACTCATCCTCCGAACTTTCTTGGACGATTAATCTTTTCCTCGTAGAAGCACGCCGTGGGGGGCGCGACTGCGATATTGACGACATTATTGCGTCTGGATTACTGTGTTAAATCGTCGGGGAATGTCGAAGGATATGGTCCCTCCATGTCGACGCGAGGGTTTGTTGTTGGGATGGCTGTTTATCTTTAACCCGAAGCAGCGGCGGTCGCTAGCGCAAGCCACTTCTGTGGCGCACGCTATATTTATTTGGTAAGAACTATACGGTGTAATTTTATACCTCACTAGTCCATTGGATAGAATATACAGGGCTCTGTAACGACAGCGTACGTTCGAGGGTCGCCATGCTGACTAATCTATTACACTCCTTGACAATATTACACTACGGCTAATCGCAGCGTGCTGACTGAGGAGCTGCCTCGCATCGACTCTTGGGATAGCGCTGGACAGGCCTGTAATAAGCGCATCAGACCTCTTTCTGCATCGTCGCGATGGCCCGTTGGGATGACTTCAACGTCACGTTTGGTTTTAAAGGAGATTATCCTTACAATCCCAAGGTCGTTGACCGGATTATCGCGAATCGGAAAGCTCTCTACAGCACCCTCTTCATCGATCGCCTTCTCGGGGCATTAGGAATTGATTCAGGTGTGACAATAACACTCTAGTTCTTTCAATGGAAGCTTGACGCTCACCGTTGTTCTAGCACCAAGGCTCTATCCACCAAAGTCCATTGAAACTCTCCGCAAACTTCACAGGGAAATACTTGCGTCGGGCTCACCAAATCACCACAAGCAATCTGTGATCTACTATCTTCTCAGGGATTGTGAGAATCTGGATGATGGAACCAACCGCCTTGAATTCGCACGTCGATGTTTGCTGCCACAAAAATACAAGTTACTTGTAGACGGTATCTGGTATATGGATCGATTAGAATTTCAGGTCAGTCTTCTGGTATCATCAACTTCATACTCGTCTTTACTCATCTTCTTTGGGATGCAGAGCGCACTGGGTTACCTCACAGAGCCATCGCTGATCCCTACCTTTCCCGACGAAATTCTTTATGTCCTCTCAACCCTTTCCGAACAAGATGATCACCTTGCCACTGCGTACTATGTAGCCGTTTCCCCGCCATTGGCGACCAGCGAAGTGTTGAATGCCTATTTTGCGGTGTTGTGTCGGAGCGGGGTTTCCACTGCCTTTTGCTTCACGCGAAAACAACCTCTCGATATTCGACGTGAACTCTTTGGCCAGTTGGTTGTTTTCGTCTTAGCCGCAAAAGCAGGCGAGGAAAGGGCAGAAAAGGCTATGGAGTTGGTCAATTTGCCATTCAGCGATATCGAGATAGAGTGGTTTGAGGATTGCCTGCTGCACGGTAAGGCTAAAAATCTCCCCGGCGCGAAAGATACAGTTATGATGCGGCGCGTCGCGACTGGTCATCTTGACAACCTTGGAGCCTTGGAGTCGCTAGGTGGGCGTAAGATCGAAGGGTTGAACTGGGACATACTGAGGAAAAATTTGAAACCTAGTGTTTCCTGACAAGCGGATTGCCCGAGAAACTTGGTAAACTGCCACCAACAGCTCGTGGCTATGTTCTGATACAGCATTGGTATATATGGAGTTTGGTGTTTGGGCCCGGTATCACCGCGATATATACGAATGATACTCTTTTGAATTGAATGACTGTCATAAGCCCACTTAAGTTCGGCATCCTAGAATATTTGATGCATTCTGCTACGTCCACTAGTGTAACATTAACTATTCTCACTTCATTATTGTGCTTTGGAAAGTGACTCGTATCTCCTATAACTTGCTACCTGCAAATTGAGCACTCATAGGCCACATAACAAGCCTCTATTCGGAAGATATTAAGAGGGATAGATCCGGATTCAATGTACGGAGTAGGACTGGCGCTCCTTTCAAAACCGAAACGTCATCGCGCGGGCATGTCTTGGCATCAACCACAAAATAGCTCTGAGGTATCAAAGAGCGAGATCATGTTCAGGTTGACAATCAAAATATCCCCCCTACTCTTCTCATAGCCCTTGTGTGTGCTTTATTTTCATTCTCTATTCAGTAATGGTTGTTTGTAAATATTTTCAGGAAGGCAGATGCAGGTTTGGAGGTATGGAATAGCTCCCTTGATCAAAAGCCAAACAGCGTCCCAAGGACTTGCTAACTTTTTGCCAGAGCAGTGCAAGAATGAGCACCCTGGAAGTAAGTCATTTGGTGGAAACCGGTTTAGCGCTCTCCAATCGGGTGCCGGTGGTTTTGGAGGTAAGGCCCTGGCTTTGTTCTGTGTGCCCAAGCTTTGCTCCAAGAGACGAATTCACCAGAACTAAATTCGGGCTGCCTTTGTTATTGTCATCTGTCCCTATTCTTACATGATCTCTATCTAATCTGTTTATGTTGTGTGTTTCCATTCCGAAATTCAATGAGCTTTCTGAAGCATTTGGTTTTGCATTGGTGTCTAACCCTCATATTTTCCCTTATATGAAATTGAGCCTTATCATTAACTCTCATGTGGTTAGGTTCCCGTCAAGCCGCTCAAGAAGATCTCCGAAAGAAGTGAGTGCTCCTAGGTTCGCATTATTTGCTTCTATCCTCTAAACGATAGCAATAGGTATTCCTTGACTCCCGACGATATCAAGAATGACCTCACTCCTGGAAAGGGCAGGCCCAACTGGATCTTCTCATCTTATGGACCGGGCAGATATGCGCCAGTTCAACTCTTTGGTGGTCCCGAAAGGGAGCAAAGCTTCGAGGAAATGCGTGTTATACACTATGCCGCTACAGCTGCTGGCAACCCTCAAAAAGCCATTCAAGATGCAAACAATCTTTATGCAGCCACTGAAGCCCAGATTCAAACCATTTTATCTGACGTCGAGGGAGCCATAAGATATATTATCGATGGCGCAAATCAGCACCCAAATCGAATTGATATCACAGCAGGAAATGTAGCGGCGGCCCTTGGGCAACAACCTACGTTTGGTGTCGGTGCAGGTACGGGTCAGCCATCAGCTTTCAGTCAACCGACGCCATTTGGTCAGGCTGCACCAAGTGCTCCGTCGGCTTTCGGTCAGCCATCCGGACTGGGACAACAGCAACAACCCGCGTTCGGAAAGCAAGCATTCGGTCAGCCCTCTACACTCGGCCAAGCAGCTCCGCAGCCACCGTTTGGCCAATCGTCATTCGGTCAACCGTCCGCGCTAGGACAACAGCAACAATCTGCGTTTGGGAAGCCAGCATTTGGCCAGCCTTCTACACTCGGGCAAGCATCTACGCAGTCTGGGTTTGGTCAGGTATCCCCATTCGGCCAGCCTGTACCCCAGGGCCCGACACAGCCCAGTCATTTAAACCAGACCACCGAGGCTTCCCCCTTTACTCAGCTCACTAGTCAAGGCCAGGGTTTCGGACAACCGCAAAGCCAAGCTCAGGGTCCATCCCCATTCGCAAAGCCGGAGACCACGGCTCCATTTGGGCAACCCCAGTCAACGGCTAATCCATTTGGTCAACCTTCTGGGTTCGGAGTCCAACAGCAGACAGCATCTCCTTTCGCTCAACCACCTGGGTTTGCTACGACGGCCCCAACAACACAGCCAGCACCCCAATCAGCCTCATTACCCGCTGCGGTTCCAACAGCGGCTCTTGGGACTAAAAAGGATTCTACAAGATTGAACCCATTACCCAAACTTGTTGGTGAAACTCGGCGAGACCCAGTGACAAATAAGCTTATTTCATGGAAGGGCCAGCAAACTAAATACATCGACAATGAACCTTGCTTCCAACACCCAGACGACCCGGCAACGTTCGTGCACATTTACTTTCCACAAGGCCCTCCAGCCCCGGAGTCATTTAGGAGTTCAGTGGGAAAGGCCGAGGAATATACGCCCCAGGTCCAAGAGGCATATAAATTCTTGAAAGCAAATGGCTCGTTTCAGAACGGGATTATGCCGTCTGTTCCGCCGAGGCCAGAGTGGTGTAGCTTTGAACTTTAAGTGGCCATTGATCGCTTGTTATTTTTATTTTATTTTATTTTTTTTTTTTCCCCAGCACAGTTGTCCTCGAGCGACACGGAGTTTTAGGTAGGAGTTATACGGGGGTCAGGGGCCTAAAATTTTGACAAGCAATATTTTTTTTCGGGCTGATGTGATTCTTATACCGTTATGTTTACAGTATATTAGTTTTTGGATACACACTGCATCCAATTTATTCAAGCTACTTTTGCTTCCCAAGAACAGGGCAGAGTGGATTTGAAGGAGGCTGCGATTCAACACTGCTCAACGTTTTAATTTCGATATTGTAATACAGTTCATAGTATCATAACATCCATTAAGCAGGGCATAATGATCGAGCTCGATTTCCGGGCATCCGATCAAGGTTTATCCTTCGCTAGGTCGCTTATGCGGCGATGGTGACTTCGACCTCAACACCAGCCTCGATGTTGATGATGATCTGCTTAACCGTCTCGGTAGGGGCGTTCAAGCTAGAAAAAAGAAAGACTCCATTAATATCCGATTCAGAGGGAGAGACGAAAACAAATCTGCAGGGCGGAAACTCACTCAATCAAGCGCTTGTGAATCCGCATCTCGAATCGATCCCAGGTCTTGCTACCCTCACCGCAAGGAGTTTTGCGAGTGGAGATGGTGAGAGTCTTGGTGGGAAGTCTGACGGGGCCCTTGACGTGGAGCGACTTGGAGCGGGCACGCTCAATGAGCTCCTGGCAGACTTTCTCGAGGGAAGCAACCTTGCGGGAGGTCAAGGTAATACGGATCTTGTGGATTTTCTGCCAAGACCGTGATGTTAGGGCCGATGCGTTTCTCAAAGGTTTGTGTGTGGCAGAATCCTAGCTGGCAGAATATAGGTATATGTTTTCACATACTGGGCCTTCGCCGAAATCCTTCTCGGGCTTTTGGTAAGACATCTTTGCGGTTTGAGGCTGAGCTAAGGGAGGAACGTTAGTAATTGCGACGGGGTATTGCTTCAGAGGATGGTATCAGGGGGTCCGTACAGGTGTATTGCACAAGACGCAGTGCCGGTCAAGACCTGAACGGTTTGTTCGGTAAGGTGATGACAGGCTGGATAGCAGATTCAGGGTTGTCGAGATGCGCTCGCCGTCGCCTTCGTCGTTTTTGGCCGAAATGGCTTTGTGGAGTGTGAACTCTTGGCATTCGCCTACACTTATCTAGCCGTATTCGGACTAGTTAGATCATATTGCTGACTCATCCCGACTCTATCAAGTTCGTTCGTCTTCATGCAGGCATCGACACTGAGTTCTCCTCATCAACTAGGCGGAGAGGCAGCCTTGATTGATCGACTTACCTGTCTTCTCGGATTTGCCCTAATTGCGAGTTCATTACTTTTTAAGTGATTCCTTCTTTTCCGTTGCAACATTGTCAAGCTTTCCTCATGACGGAGGCTAAATTCCCTCCACTTGCACCCGTTCCGCCTCCAAATGTACAAGAATGTATTCCAAGCGAGGACTGGGCGTCATGTCTCGATGCTTGGATTGTCTCTGTTGAGTTTCGTCTAAGGGTTTCCGAGGGAGATTTCGAAACGCTTGCTTCCAAAGATACCCAAGCTAAATCATTTCTATCCTCATTTTTTAACTTCCCTACGTCATTGCCGGGACCAAATGCCAGCACCTTACGACGCCTATGTTTCCTTCTGGCACGACGGTTATTACTCTATGTGCCAGAGCATGTTCTCGACTGGCAGTTCTTGGGAGCCTTTTGCAGTGCCTACAATTGCAGCTCCGCCCTTAAGACCGTTTTAAGAAATGTATGGCAAAAGGCTTCCAAAAACTTGACTCTCAGCATTGAGAAGGGCAAGACAAATTTGATGCAACAGCTTTCCCAAAGTGCTCCTGGGAAAGATGCAAATGTACTTGGTGATTTACGATCTTTAACGTTGTTGGCATTTTCTCTTCCAGAAGTTGGTTACGTTCTGATGACGGGATCCGATTATATTGACGCGATGTTTGAGGCGTACCAAACCCAGAAAGACAAATCTTTACAGGATGCTATAGTTGCGAATATATACGTGGCGCTATCATCATTAATGATTACGTCTCCTCCAGCAGTATCGCTGCTTTTGGATCAGCTCTTCAATTTGAAGGCCTCCGCTAGGGTGGATGGTGCAGGATCTCCGAAAGATCCAAATCTGTTGTCAGACCTTGTCTGCAGTACTAATTTACTAAAGCGGATGGATCGATTGTGTTCAGAAAGCCCGCAAAAACGTGCTGACAAGCTATTATCCTCCTTGTTTTCATACAGTAAAGTTTGTCGTGGGATGCATCCCATCCGCCGGCGCCGGGTCAAAGAAAACAAAGGAAAGCAGCGCAGAACTGAAGCTGACGACGTAAATGAGTTCCACATTCATAAGATGTCCCTCGTGACGCAAATCCAAGATCTTTTTCCAGACTTGGGTTCTGGATACGTGGTTAAGCTACTTGATTACTACTCCGATAATGTCGAAACCGTCGTCTCACATCTTGTGGAAGATTCTCTGCCTGCTAACCTGAAGGTTCTCGACCATTCGGATCAACTTCACATCCCAGAGGTTATTACAGAACTCGCACCTCAATCAACACCTCCACCCGCGACGTCGTTCACTCGGAGAAACGTCTTTGACAACGATGAATTCGACCGTTTGGCCATAGCTCCATCCAAGCTCCACTTTGGTCGCACAAACGCTGACTTGACTGCGGATGATATCCTGGCAGATAGATCCGGCCACTCAGTCAACAAGGCTGCCATTCTCTCAGCTCTTGCTGCGTTTGACTCTGACGACGACGAACATGATGATACTTATGATGTTGCCGACGTCGGTGGAACCGTTGATTCAATGGCCCCAGGCACTGGAATCGACCCAGACGTTGAAGCAACGCAAAGACTACGTAGCGGGCTTCGAGAAGACACCGAGTCTACTTTATTCAGCCTATACAAATCAAACCCGGAAGCATTCAAGCGTGATGCGGCGACGCGTCGGTCGCAGCAGCGGATATCTTTGCGAAAGGAAACGGGAATGACAGATGAAAGCATTGAGGGCTGGGCAGTCATGCTATCTCGTGATCCAAAGCGTATGGCGAGAATGGAACATGATTACGTGCTTTCGGCCGGTCTTTCTGGACACGATCAGCCCGATCTTCCATCGACTTCTTACCGGAAGCCACGTGCGGAAGATGGAGATGGGGAAGATCATGATGCTGAAAATTCGAGAGTGGAAGGCAGTAAGGCCGGTGACACTGCTGGCTGGCCGCGTGGTGGCGGCAGAGCCCAAGGAAGAAGCAGGGGACGCGCTGGACGTGGTGGGCGCGGTAGTCGAGGTGATGCTGGGGCAGGTGTTGCTGGTCCGTCTGGAGATCACGATACCGCAGTGGCGAGAAGAAGGAAAGATGCCAATAAATCATCACGAGCGAACCATAGTCGTAAAGACCAACGAGCCCGCAAGGTCGCTAGAGGAGGTTTATAGGGTTTGGGATGGGGTTCAAAATTTTTGAGGTCGTATATATTTATGCGGAGTACCACTTGCATTTACGGGAGTATATAAAAGAGCTGCGCAAAAGCTCCACTGAGACCACAGCTGCATATGTCTAAAATCATTTTTCTATCTTTATCATGCGTCGAGGCTAGACAAGCAACACACATCTATGGTTGAATGGGTCCACATGTGTCCAGAATATCCATGAACTTGGTCAAGCGAGAATTTACAAAATTTATAACCATCCGTGACGTAAGAGAAAAGGTGCAGAGGGACGAAACAAAAAGCACCGAGAGTCTAATAACATGTCATTGAATCATGCCACAGAAAGTGACACGTGCCACTAGTGGTGATGATGATGGTCCGAAAATATACCCTGTTGCGCGACGCTCTTCTGACACTCTGCGAATATCCGCGCCTGTTTCGCAATATCGCTCAGCCGTCCAATAACCTCCTTATTCCCATCGTAAAACGTGAATATCGCATACGGGATGTCCACATCCTTGCAAAAATCTTTCACCAAGTTCTGAGCACTGCGGAGATTGTGACGCGGGATACGGGGGTACAGGTGGTGGATAACCTGAAATTGGAGGCCCCCGTGGAAGAAATCCAGCCAGGTAGGGCAGTCCACGTCCATGGTGGTCCGAAGCATCTTTTGAGGGAACGACTCGTGAACACCCAAGTCGGCAGTGGACATTGCGAAATGAGACAGCGTAATCTGAACGTGTAGCGGCCCTTGCACCATGTGGCTCACCAAAATGAACACGAGGCGGTTGCGCCAGTCTGGGATGTTGAGATACACCACTCCATACCCATACCAGGCCCAGAAAAAGACCTGGCCGACGACTTCGAACCAGAGGTGCCACCAGGCTGGGCCTCGTCTGGGAGCTTGGCGAAGTAAGAGGTATTCCCAGCTGAGACGATAAAGATTGAAACGGCCGAATAGTAAAATAGGATAATAAAGGTAGTGCTGATAGCGGATCAGAAACTGTGCGAACAAGTCATACTTCATGATACGTTCGTAATACGTGCTTCGGAGATTGCTAAAAAATCGATGCGAGATGGCGAAAAAGGGCATGTGCTCGATATCAGGATCGTGTTCCGGGGAGTTGGTAACGATATGGTGGACGTTATGATTACGTTTCCACCATCCAAGGCTAAGGCCGCCGATGTAATCCGCAACTATTATCCCTATTACAGTGTCGACATGAAAATTATGGGTAATGCCCATGTGGCCGGCATCATGGGCAGTGAAAACTAGTTGGTGCCACAAGCATCCAAGAAAGAACGCAGAAGTAGCGTACCATCCACGGCGTAGGAAGAAAACAAATAGAGAGAACAGAAGGCTGTATCGGCAAAATTCCACGAAATAGGCGAAATAATTACAATTGTACAATCCCTCGGCTTGAATCCGCTGGTTCAGCTGCCGATATTTCTCCACGATGTTGTTTTGGGTTTCGGAGTTGACAGAGGGGTATTTTGCGACATCAAGGACTATCTCTTCTTGAGTTCGTGCATCGAGGAAGAAAGGCTTTGGCTCAAAATGTGCCTTAGGGCCGGGTGATGGCGGAGTTGAGGCAACAGATGAGATTGAAGTCGCGCTCGATTGTCGACTTCTCAGCGTTTGACGGTCGACTGCTTCGAACAAAGGGGATGGAGGCGACGAGCTTTCTTGAGCCGATGAGTGGGAATCGTCGACGTCGTCGGGGATCATCTCATCTATACCCTCGAGGCGAAATATACCTCCTTGAATCGGTGGGAGGAAATTCTTCCATTGTCCTTCAATTCGACCGATTTGGTACGACTTCATCCGTTGGCGAGCCTCAAGAGAATGTAATCTGATAATCCAACCGTCAGCTCAAGCAAAAAAAAAAAAAGAAAAGAAAAGAAAAGAAAAAAGAAGGGCATCAAGGTCGATCTCACGCATTGATTTCGTCCGTGGCATCTCGACCAACCATGTGTTGGATTGCCTTTTCTCCGCCAGGATGGAATTTCAACCACGCATCAACTTTCAGCACTGTGCCTTCGTAAATAAGGATATGCCTCCCCCTGGCAATCAGACCTTCTATCTCTCGTCGGGACAGTACAGCATCTTCCCGAGATTGTAGCACGCGCGCAGTTGACGGGTGAACCATGGCCCCTCTCAGCTTCTGAACATTGGTCATGAGCTTACTAGTGATCGAACAGCCGTGTGTGAACAGCAAGCAAGCAATCCGGGGTAATTCAAGCGAGTGTCTCCATGAAGATTCTTCAGACGGCCAAGTGATGTCTCCTTCTCCTTTTCCGGTGTTGTTATGGGCTGTTGGTCAGGGTTGCCAGCTGCGAGAGGAGACGCGGAACATCAGATGATCAGCGCATGCAGCATCGAGGACGTTGTGGTGGAACGGCCGGCAATGGACGCACTGAGACCGTTTCTCTTGGCCGCCCTCGACCCACTAAAATCGCGATCACCTCACTCCTGGATGGCTGGCTCCGCCCGGGAAGTCTCCTGGAAATTTTGAAGTCCCGACAGTGGACCGTGGTGCAGGGAATTTGTTAGCGCAGGCACAGGAACCAGCCCCAAGGATCGCGACCATCTGTGGTTCTACAGTGGCGACCCCTTTCACAACGTCCAGCGAACAGATATTGTTCCTCACTACGGAGCATGGAGCCACGACCATTCTTCTTCCCTAAGAATATCTTTCAGTGCTTGAACTTTTACGAAAATGGGTTATCCAAATTCTCAACTTGTCGCCTGCTCCGTTGCGGTCACGCCACAAAGCATCACCAGCCCGAGTTTCGCCTTCAATCGCGAGATATCACCTTATATTTAATGGAAGCGAAGCATTCTCAAAGCGGAAAAATACTCCATAGTTACTTCTCTACATCAGGCCCAAGATAGAGTTGGCCAGCCGTTTGAACCTCTGCTGGAGATAAGTCACCCCCCGAAGGCACACCCTGACAAGTTGGCGCAGAGGAATCTCGCCAAGCCATTCCACATTGTATGACAAACCCAGTAATTTTGGCGAGTCTTTAAATTGGGCAAAACTCGAGCCAAGCTTAAGTTATCCTAAAACTTCCACCGACTCTCCAATTTTAATTTAACTCCTTCTTGCTCTGCCCTCCATAGAGAGTACGGAGTACGGAATACCTGGAACCCCTTAAGGTTCACATGCAGTTGCGGAACGGAATAACTTTCGACCGTAACAAAAAAAACCAGCATGACGTCATGGTGGACCGCGCTAACTCGGGAAAACCATATTCCGAGCCTCTCCGGCGGGCGCTGCGGGAGCAACCATGACGCAGCTTGCTGGAGCGATCCTCAGGATAGACGACGGTCTGAGAGCCTGAGACAAAGCATCATCCCCTCACCTCCAGGAACCAAAGCGTGGCCGTCACAGCTAATAACTAAACCAACTAGTGTAATTCATATATGGATAACACGATGGTCAGTACCAATTTTTGTCTGCCTTTTAAGTCAACTTTTTCGTCAGCAATGGCATACAGCGTGGGCTAACTCCAACCGGAGCACAGGAACCACTAGAGACACTGGTTCAGAGATGGTTAGATTGGGACCAGGTAGGCATCCTAATGCTTTGTAACCTCATTCTTGCTTTGGACTCTTGAGCTCAGAGCCCGTAGGACCCGCAAACTAGGGAGGAAATCAAGAATCTCCACGACTCCCACAATCTCCCGGAACTTGAAAAACGCCTACGAAAACGTATGTAGTAGTTCTCAGAGACCTTAGATCTCGCTCTACTCCATTTTATCTGCACCTCCAGATCAATAATGCTAACCCAGTATACCCAGGTATCCAATTTGGCACTGCAGGCTTGCGTGGCCGCATGCAGGCCGGGTTTTCATATATGAATTGCCTTACAGTCATTCAGGCTTCTCAAGGTCTGGGCAAGTATCTCAAAGCGCTCCCCCAAACCTTGGGTCCTCTATCCGTTGTCATCGGACGAGATGGTCGACACAACTCGGGAAAGTTTGCTATACTAGCCGCCAACGCCTTCAGAGCAGAGGGTATCCACGTGTGGTGTTTCAACAACCCCGTTCCCACCCCTCTGGTCGCTTATGCAGTCCCGTTCAAGAAAGCGATTGCGGGAATAGTGATTACCGCTAGTCATGTAAGTACTTTCCAGACATTGCCGTGCTTTCGTCTGAGCTGATCTGCTGGATAGAATCCTGCCCAAGACAACGGTAAGCACTCCATCCCTCTGATCATCACGGCTAATATATTGATTAATTGTCGTTTACAGGCTACAAAATGTTAGAATGTAGGCTGTCTATCTGCAGAATTACAGGCTAATGTCCTCAAGTTATTCTGCGAACGGTGCTCAAATAAACTCACCCATCGATGCTCATATTCGAGATTTCATATCGCATAACCTTGAACCCTGGACGGGTGCTTGGGATAGCAGTGACAGTCACTATTCATGTACAGACGCCTTTAAAGAACTCCAGAAGGCTTATTGTGACGATGTCTGTGCCTTTGTGGTAGGTATATACCGTCGTTTAACCTTTTGATCCTTGACTAACGATAACGAGGCCTCCACAGCTGACCTGTCGGCTTCACCGGGACGCTTCGTATACACTCCTCTCCATGGCGTTGGCTACTCCATGATGTCGGAACTTTGTGAAGTGCTAAGCATTCAAGGGATGACCGTTGTGAGTGAACAACGGGATCCGGACCCAGACTTCCCAACGGTTCGTTTTCCGAACCCAGAGGAGGCTGGCGCGCTAGATCTTGCCATGAAAACGGCAGATGATCTAAAAATCGATATTGTTATTGCGAATGACCCTGATGCTGACCGATTTGCAGTTGCTGAAAAAGTAGGGTATGTTTACCCAAACCCCCCTTCCCCCTTTTCCCATTTATCTCTCACCATTTCTCTATTTTGCCCATAAGCCTAACGGTAAATAGCGAGACGTGGTTCAAATTTACGGGAGACCAAGTTGGAGTTCTTCTAGCCTCCCACCTATTAGATCAGTGGAAACACCAAGAACAAGAAAAGCCCATAGCAATGCTATGCACCGCTGTTTCTAGTAACATGCTGGCTAAAATGGCAAAGATAGAAGGATTCCACTTTCAGGAAACCCTAACTGGATTTAAGTGGCTCGGCAATGTCGCCAAGGATCTTGAATCAGAGGGATATAATGTTCCATTTGCCTTTGAGGAAGCTTTAGGTTATATGTTTTGTAATGTATCCTACGATAAAGATGGACTAACAGCAGCCATGGTCTTTCTCACTGCCCAGGCACGGTGGAGAAAGCAAGGTTTTACCCCTTTCAGCAGGCTGCAGCATTTATACCAGACCTACGGCTATCATGAGACACTTAATACCTACTTTGTCTCCCCAGATCCTAGTATTAGCGCGACTCTCTTTGATAGTATCCGAAATCTCCCCGAAGACAAACGCAGCTGCATAGGCGGCTTTCCAGTTCTCAGATGGCGAGATGCCACTAAAGGCTTTGACACAGGAACGCCAAACAATGTCTCGAACTTGCCTGTTGACTCGGCCTCGCAAATGATTACGATTTGGTCCGATAAAGGCCTTAGGTTTACGCTCCGGGGTTCCGGCACAGAACCTAAAGTCAAAAGTAAGTGTTTGCTTGGGCCCTGAGTTCTAAGCAAGGCTGATCAATTTATTTGCTCCTAGTTTATATTGAGAGCTGTTGCCCAACACGTGAAGATGCAGTGAACGCTGTCTGTCAGGTATTTTTAGCTGTCTTGGTGAATTGGATCCAGCCTTTTGCATCCATTATGACCTATGCCCCTGCTGTGACCACATCTTCTGGCTATATATTTAATATACCCTGATTGGCAGATCTATATATTATAAGAACCTGGATCACATTTTGAATCAACGTCAGGCTGTGATGACTTGTTACACCTACAAGTTACCCACATCTCAAAACGAGACGGAAAAGAAAGAGAGATACCCAAGATTTCGTATATCTTGAAGACCTAGATATCGTCAACGTATATGGGTTGTATCAAATGCCCTTGAAAGACAAATCAAGAAGCTTCACTGCGGGCACTCGTATTAAAATCGGGTCTAGCTTCTTTGTAGACTTCCTAAGCCTGGCTTCTTATGATAACTACGGAGTATATTGAAGCAAACTTCAGCCATGGTTACTATCAGAGCTACACTACCAGTAGTCCGAGCAAACAAACAAGCATAGAGTAACCCTTTGTATATGTACTGACTCCATGTTTTTTTGCACATTTCTTGCGCAGCAGTGTTAGATGCAGTTGGAAAGGACATACTTCATTCTTCCCCGGAGTAATCTGCCATATTCAACGCTGCCGTCTTTTCCCACAGCCGAGTCATCCTCTATTTTCCCCAAAAACTTGGGAGCTCTCTATCTCTTATCACTACACGAGCAATATCTTGGCTTAAACGCCCGTTTTCGTATATCACTGTCAGATACGTTGATGGAAATACCAAAGTTCGGGGGCTGGGAAGCTTTTACCCAGTCACCCAGTAGGCGACGGACTAAAGTCCTCCTGATGGTTCATCCTCGCTCGAGTTTGCCGGAGAATCTTGACGATGATGCCCTTCTTGCTAATGTGCCCGGAAGGGATATACTGCCAAAGATTGTACCCGTGAAGTTCATCGCGGATCTAAGTTGGCGAGAATCTCCCCTATATGTTCTCACTTGTTGCCATCGAAATACAGGTGCCACGTATTCGTCAAATACGTGAATCTTTTTTTAAAAATGGCTTCATCAATGAATATGCAGTGGAGGACCCAGGTTCGAGCTATGAATTTGATTTTAGCTCTGATAGTGATGAGGGAACTGGGCTTGAGCTTCACCATGGGCAGAGTCGCCAAAGCGCCCGCTCACTTCTAGACAATCTGTACCTTCATTACCACGTCCATGGAACCGACAATGACTTTCATGCCATGATATCATCACCGTCAAAGTCTGGGTTGTACCGATGCCCATTCTTTCTTTCAGAGCCTACTTCTTTGGAAGACCTGTGTTTCTTGAGAAGCCGCTAGTCGATTTCTACCACAGAATTAAAGCACATGTCGGAACATACTGCACTCCAATTAGGAGCCGTGAGAAGTCTCTTTTTAGGCGAAGCCACCAAGGATGGCGACCTCTCCCTAAGATAATAATAGTCTCCTGGAGGTGCATTTCCCCCCTTTCTTCGCCACTGCTGCGAACAGAATGCGAACAAAAAAAAAAAGATATTAAGCATCGGATTACATACATCTAATTCAGAAAGAATTGAGCCCTCATATAAACTTGACTAAGTTAACAATATTTTAAGAAGGCAGATAGCTGGTGGGGAGATAGGGTGATTGAAATGAGTGAGGCAGAGTGAGAATGATGAGGATGGGTGAGGATAGAGCACCACACCCATTGCACTACTTAACTTTGAACGGGACTGGTAACTACAGAGCACTCTGTACTTGGATAAACACAAGGAACATGGGCGGGCTTCTCAACTCCGCACGCAAAATTATCCCTTGTTTACAGAGTACTTTGTTAACTCCTGTCATTCTGCTGCATTAGCTTCATGATGGACGAGCCTATCCAAGCCGGCCCCGTGTACTTACCCCACTATCTTCAGCCTTCTCTTCAATTTCCTTCTTTTTTTTTTTTTTTTTCGCTTTATTTTTGAACCGGACTTCATATGAAATACCAATTTCAGCCAGCTATCCAAAATGGTCTCTATAAGGAAGAGTGGTATGGACTATCATATATCCTATTAGTCTGAGGGTGATGTAGTTAATGTTGCAGTACAGGAGGGGTTCGTTTCCTTCACCTTGTTGGCTATCACCATGTGTTAATGGGGATCACCATATTCCCGATCATCTTCGCATGTAGGTCACTCCACATCTCATACAAGCTTGGGGTTGGAGTTGATGAAGTTGTCATTCTCAGCAATACTGGTTGCCGGCTGTACAAGCACTGACCTCAGTAACGTCTATCTTCTCTCACTCTCGTATAACACTGTGGGGAACAATGGCACATCGTACCTCGATCCAACACAAGTTAATGAGAACATGGCGTCCACAATTTCACATGTGGTGGGCACGAATGCTTCTTACCCATCCCTAGAGGTTCGAACTGGATACCTGGGAATGTGTTTGAAGCAGGCCACCGACCTCTGGATTTGCGCCCGGAGCGCAGAAGCACTCGCCTCCCTTGTCAAAAGCAGAGCGGGCAATTCATCACACAATGATCCATTGAATCTGATATGGACTGCCAAAACATTCAAGGACAAGCTTGTCTTCAATGGATTTATGTATGTCCTGACCAAGCTGGGTGTCGTTCTTTACTCGCTAATTTTATTTGCATAGATTTGCATCGATACCACTTTTACTGGTTTGTATTCTCATTTTGGCGGTGTTTCCCAACTGGCTGGAGGATCCTGATGAGGAAGATCAATACATCAAGCCTTTTCCACCAGCACGTCTTGTGAAAGTTCTTATGGTACTCACGCCCATTACCTCACTCCTTGCTCTGCTATCTGCCTTCTGGCAACATATATCAAGCTCTGCTGGTGTGACAATGGTCGAGATCCTATCATATGGCGCTGTTACTGGAAAAATCGGGGTCGCTGCAATGGTTCTTGGGTGGGGTTCTTTGGTCGCAGTGGGTTTAGCCACTCTTGGAATTATTAGCATGCACTTGAGTATTAAAATTTTGCAAAGGCTTACTGATGAATAACAGATGGGTATGGCTAAGGTCTTCCTGCTACTCTCAATATATTAAAGTATGTTTTGTTGTTTATCACGAAAAAAGAAAAAAGAAAAAGAAAAAGATTAGTGGATATATATTTCCCCCTTAGATATAAACCTGACTAGTTGAAGTACTTACCTTTTGACAATAAACTTCGCGATGACACATCAGAAGAGGATGTAAAATTTAGCATTGAACCAAAGAGCCGATGCCAAGTGTAAACAATGAGAACCACCAAAATGGCGCAAATGATAACAATCGTCACAGCAGCCTTTATACCTGTCGCTAAACTTTGTGTCCAGATGACTGCAAGGATTGCCACCATAGCCGCTAGAAGGAATGCCCAGCCCGCGGCGGCTACGCCTCGAGCATATTTTAACCATTGCGCAATCCTATCCTGGTTGAATGCGATGAGAATGAAGGGTATAGATACAGCACTCGATATGCCGACTAGTCAATCCAGGATTCTGTTAGTCATTTTGCTGGACACAGAAAATCCGTGCCCGCGATAGAATTCTTACACAAGTATTTTAGGATGTAGTCCAGGGGAAGCCGTCCACTGCTGGTCCACGGAAATACGTCAATGTTGATTGCAAAGAAAGCAGAGATGAACGATAACGGAAGCTGTGTTTTGTCAGTCCCTTTCAATGAAGCATGGCAAATGCATGTTTCTTACAAATATAATTGTTACCACTGTGAAGAGTAAAACTGTCCTGCCTTGTCTTGTAGCTTCACGCGATTGATCATGGGTATACTGGGCCAATTTTAGGCTCTCTTCTGTGAGGCTCTGGGTCGCTTCAGCCTGAGCAAAAGTGTTTTCGGCCTGTTTGCGAGACGACAGTGCCTCTAGGGCGTTGGCTTGCTTTTGTTTCAGGTCAAGCAGGTTGTAAAGCTATCGGTATTAGTATAGGTAGTAAAATGGATTCCCAGGTAGTCTTACTGCTTGGTAAGACCTTTCTGCTAGACTTTCCATCAGTTTAATCCTAGATAGATGGCTCCCTAGAACTGTATTCCGTGCCCACGGCGAACCATTGGTTTTATCTTTCACATTTGTGTCTTTCGTCCTGTGCCGAGCAATGGTCTGAGCGAGGATTTCTCTGGGCTCCTGCTGGTCATGGAGAACCATTTTCAATATTCCAAGCTCATCGCTAATATCTTTAATCTCAGCCAATAATGTGGCTTCTTTAGTTATGCTAAATACGGCATCTGTCTCGCGCGGAGATTTATTATTAAGGCTCTTCGCAAAACTTTGAAAACATTGCGTTTCTTGGTCTATCTGCGATCGCTTTTAGTAGGTCCCTTACAGGCGATTACGAGGCATTACCACGCTTACCACATCGCCAATAGATCGCTCAAAGAAGTCGAAGAATTGGAATTCATCTGGAACTCGGTACTCGTCAAATAATTCTATGCAAGTGTCCGCAATCAAGGTTGCAAGTGCATAGACTGATGTAATAGGGTCTCGTGCTCGACTTTGTAGGTGCTTGAGTATCGTTTGATGGACATTTAAAGGATCTTTCCGGAGGAATGCCCGACGTTGTCGATTTTCCTCGGAAGATGAGCGAGGGCTGTAGGGCTCAAAAACAGTCTCTAAATGATCACGACTACTAGTAGGGAAAAACTGGCCCCGTTCCTTGTCTTTCCGCTGAATAGCTGCCTTTCGGGTTAACTTAGACTGCTTACCGGCCATCCACCCTAATACGACGTTGCCTTCGTTTTTGCTTTTGTCCTTGGGTTTGCCCTGAGCAAGCTCGATGGAAGTAGGCACGAGCGACGAGTTTCGATGCGTGGTAACCGTTGGATTTTCAAGTCCTGACTGATCGGGAAACGGCTCGAATAATGTTCCAGTCATGTGAGAAAGGCTGCTGGAGAAGATATCCCACCGTTGCGGGCAGCAGCTAATGATGGTATCTACAACCCGGTGAGCATGTAATCAGCTGTTCAGGATAATCATGTACCATTATTGAGTATCCAAAGCCATAATTGGTCTACCATCCACATCTTAGGCTCAGAGAAGTGCTCCTGCGTATACCTTTGGATCACTTGTCCGCCAGTATTCCTTTCTGACATGTGTGCAAGATGAGTGTAGAAGTATTGATCGAGGGTTCTCCTCAGTTGGAGAGGTGAATCACCAGGATTACTGGGCGAGAAGTATCCTTTGACGAGATGTTCGTCAATATTCATCAAGTCCGCTGTCTGGTCTCCACCATTTCTTGTTCGAAAAGCGGTTTCTTCGGCTCTAAAGTTGAGGTTATCCACGTCGTCAGTGCTCAAACCCCAGAACGACCGGCCGCTTCGCTGACTTGGGTTTTGCTGACTAGCAACAGAACCTTCTGTGTTTTCCTCCACCGCCGGTACCGTCGGAGGTGGGGACCTTCCAAGACTCCCGCTAGTATTATCAACCATTGGCGAAGTTTTCGTACTCTCAATATTCAAGCTCACTGTTTCAGCTCTCTCGCCTTCGGAGCCTGGCTTTTCACTCAGGGAGAGGGAATTCGCAAGTTTTTCACTGTTACTATCAACCATTTGTGAGTTTTTGGAGCTCCTAACATTTGAGATGGCCGTTTTGGCTGTGTTGTTTGCAGCACTTGGCTTTTCGCTCGGAGATACAGAGTTCCCAGTCTTTCCACGGTCATTACCAGCCATCTTTGAGGCTTTAGTGCTCTCAGCATTGGAGATAACCGTCGCAGCCTCATTTTCAGCAGTCAGCTTCTCATTCGAAGACGAGGTTGGCCCAAATAATTGATCCCTTTGTGAAGATGCAATTGCCTCAGCAAAACCTTTCGTGTCGCCTCCAGGGCGATCGCCTTTCTCTATGTCATCCTCATGGCCCGAGGATGATGCCTTTGTTTTTGGACCTCGATGTAACCCTCGTCTCATTACATCGGCTAGATTTTCAAATGCTGAGCGTAACTTTCCCTGTGTGTGTGTAAATGTCCTCTGGGTAGAGTCCGATGCGCTTGAATCGGAGGATGTAATGGCACTCGCGCTGGGATCAGCATTTTGAAGCGGATCCAACAGAGAAGGCACCAGAGTTCTTTCTCTGGGCCGTTTCTTAGGCTGTCTAGAAGGGCGCCACAGGCTTGGTGCGGGCTGACTTTGGTGTATGAATTGCTCGCTTAGAGCCTTTAAAAACCGGGCCATTTTATGATATCCTTCAGATGTTTCAAAATGCAAGAACGGAATATGCAGGTAAATCAGCGGCTGTATCCAAGGGAATTAGATTTTAGACATACAAATAGCACAATGTTATCTATTTCATCGTTTGGATCGGAGTCTGGGCTCGACTGCTCGTTGTCCGTTAACTGACCTTGGCTGTAAATGTCGAATAAAGATTCCCTACCTTGACAACTCGACATTGCGGCCTCATGAAAGAGCAGTGCTTCGTTGAAACACGATATTGTCGAAGAGTGGTGTTTGACAATGCAAGCTTGGACTTAAATTCCTCGTCCAGCATCGTAGCACCAGAACTCCGATTGCTGAAATGTCGATTAACCAAAATCTGCGCACATTTCGGTAGAATCCTTACGTTAGCTACTTTCAATAGGGTTAGGATTACAAAGTATGAGTAGAAAGCCATACATGAACCCACTCTATCTAATAAAGTCAGATCCGATCGTGTGTATAAACTGGGGTGGAGAGCCTACATTGTTGGCGGGTAGATGATACCATCTGAAAATAGGCTGCTGTCCGTCAATCCCCACTCGACTGGCTGGATCCATTATGGAGTCAGGCCCTTTGCCATAGAGCAGCTCGTAGATCGGCACCGTTTTCTCGATCCTCTGCTCCGTTGCGCCCACGAAAAAATCAACAATAGTGCCTTCAAATCCCTGGCAGGCTTTCAACTTGTTGGGCTGATCAGATGAAAGGGGTGGTATCCTGATTTGTCGCTTTGTGGAGGTCTTTGGGCCTGTAATCGCGGGCCCTTGAAGGAGCTGGTCGGATTGTAGCAAGGCTAGCATAGCAGGATTTTCGACTGCAAAGTCTTCAATCCTTCGGCCATCATCGTCACGTAGCTTCTTATTTGCTCCATTCTGCAGCAAGAACTCGACGGCCTGCAAATCGTTACGGATCACAGCATTGAGTAGTGGTGTATGTCCATCGCGAACCAGAGCATCAATGTCCGCTCCCTTTGCCAAAAGAAGCCCAGCCACAGCGGGGTGCCCACAAATAACGGCCTGGTGGAATGCCGTGCTTTGAGCCACCGGATTGAACGACTCGACATCGACATCGAATCGCAGCAAAAGTTCGACCAACTCAAGGTCGCCAGTCTCTGCCGCAATGTACAAGGCCTTGGCTCCCTTTGAATCGGCAACTTCAGCATCCACGCCCCTGTCGAGAAGCAATTGCACCATGGAGAGAGAGCCGTTCCTGACTGCATCGTGGAGAGCCGTTTCGCCATCAATATTTTTGGCTCTGATATTAGCGCCGTCATCCAACAGGCACTGGACCGCATCTTCATCGCCGCGGCGGACTGCGTCAAGAAGACGAAGGCACTGAGAATCGCTAGAGACCCTAGAATTCCAGGAGGCCTGGAAGTTTCGTTCACCCTTGCTCCCTCGATCGCTACTGGAGGGGTCACAGTTCATTATCGCTGATTTCACAAAAGGGGGCTGCCTTATGATGTCTCATTGCGGGGCACGGAGAACTTGTAACGATGTACATAGTTAAGACGCTGATGATGTGTTTCTCTTCGGCATAGGTACTCCTTGTTGCAGTTCGCGGATTAGTCATCCTGGACTTGGGATGGGGTTTTGCAAAATCAATTCCACATACTCGCGCTTGTGGCCGGGGCGCTAAATGCTGATAGGGGAAGGTTAGCCGTTGTTGGCAGGCTAGTTAACTAACTAGCAGAGGTCATGCCTTCAAGGGCAGCCCATCACGGTTGTCTAGGTAGCGATCCGGTCAAATTAAGGCTTCCCAGACAAGCAGGCTTCCTCCCCAGGACTAGGGCAATTATTGTGCAGCTTGGTCAGCTTCGTCGAGATATGGCTTCTTGTCCAGCATTCACCTGCGAACAGATTATTACGCCGTAGTACGGAGTAGTACATAAGGCTGTAAGTACTCGCTGGCTAGCTCCTGATCTGCATGGCCGTTAATGGTCCGCGAACTCTGCTGCGACAATCATCCAATCCGGCGCTCAACCAAGCCCAGCACCAGGCAGCTGGAATTTTTATCCATTGTGCCTGAAGACTTTTCCCCTTCTTTGTGGACGTTGTCGTCGCTCAAACTGAAATTTTCCGTCCCGTATTTTCACCCTCTCTTCCACCAATCCTGAGCGGAACCGGCTTGATTTAGACGACTTAATACCCTTCTTTAACATGGCCTCGTTTGCTTTGAAAGGTTGGAATTTGCAAATGCCACCGAGCAGCGTCCAGCAAAGACCATGGCACTATCGGATTCCGAAGAAATCCCGGAACGGCTGCCAACAGTGCAAGCGGAGGAAAGTGAAGGTTGCTTTAAGTTATGCCTCTCCGTGCTTTTTGATCGCCCTCGCTGACCGACAACCGGCACGACTTCAAGTGTGACGAACAAGGCCCCCGTTGCCGCAACTGCCGCCATCGCAAGACGCAGTGCAGTTTTGAATCCCAGTGCGCGCCCAAGTCACACTCCGCTCCATCGCCTGCTCCTGAAACACACGCTTCAACCAGCATTGTACAGGGTTTGGGGCAGCAGCCCGTGCGATCTTTGGATGATCAGGTTCCGGTTGACTTACGCCTTCTATACCCTAGCAATCCGGATCCTGTAGAAGACCTTGAATTGATGTACCACTACACCACAGTCACATTCCTCTCGTTCATCGACTACGACATATACAAGCCTGTCTGGGAGGTTGACATTCCTCGGGAAGCCCGGTCTCAGCAATTCCTGATGCATCTTATCCTTGCCGTATCGGCTCTGCATATCAACCACCTATGGACCTCCAAAAATCTTCCCGCACTTTCTTACAAGGAGGCTGCACAAAGGCACTATAACGCTGCAGTGACAATATTCCGATCCACCGTTCCTACGATGACGAAATCGAATACCAGTGCCGTGTTCGCCTTCTCGAATTTGAGCATATTCTTCGCCTTTGGGTCGGCCCAATTTTCCAGTCGACGCAAGAGGCTTGAAAATCCGGTCGATGAGCTTTTGGATATTTTCATTCTCCTTAGAAAGGCCATGGCAACCATACGCCGATCATGGCATATACTCGAGAAAAGCCCACTCGGAATCCTGTTACAACGCGGACCGCAAATTACGGATCGCCGGTATCTTCCCGTAGAAACTTCCATGGCCCTTGAGCTTATGGAGCAACACTGTCTACATGTTCTAGCTTTGAATTCTACCGAATCTACCTTAAACCCAGTCTATCAAAAAGCCATCGATCAGCTGTGGGACTCATTTGTCATGGCCCAGACCAAACGCAAGGATTGGTCGATGGCACTGAGATTCCCCATGATATTTTCAGACCCTTTCTTATCGTACTTGAGATGCAGAGATTCGGTCTCCTTAATCATATTAGCTCACTTCTGTGTGATTCTCTACAATGCGCCTGCTCGTTGGTGGGCGGAAGGGTGGAGCGTTCAAGTTATCAACGCAATATTCGAGAATCTGCCCCAGAACTGGAGATACACAATATCGTGGCCGATGGAAGTGGTTGGGCTAGCCCCCACCCCTTCCAGATTTCGAATCTGCTGAGCATGTCACTACGAAACCCAGAGATATATATTGCTTGGATTCACAGTTGATTACATGTCACCGGTTGCAAAAGCCTGTTCGAATATATGCTTGCATATTTCTTAAAAGCTCAGTACGTGGTGACTTTGCACGCGATACAGAGACTACATGCTGACTTGCTTAGATAGGTGATGGCATGCAGGCAAAAAGCTTCATGACAAAGGCAAAACACCTCTCGACATTTATCTTAAGTACAGAGAAATCCGCTAAATATTTCATCATATGCATATCTTCAAATCTCACCCATAGTGCTATCTAATCGAAACGTCATGAGGCGGCCAGCCAAATTCGCATGCCAAGGAATCTATCATATGTGCTGTCTCGTGCTTTAGGCAAAACCCCTGGTAGCAATGGCATGCCTCGCGTATGCTGTGTCGACGACAGAGACGCTACCATTGGCCTCGTTCTGCTCGGAGCCAGTCCCGCCGAGCCTGTTTTGCCTGCTTCCACCGCGTCGCATTTCTAAATCACCGAAGTTTAGCCCTTTATCACCGTTAAGAACCTCTGCGATTTCTCGTGGATGTACAACATTTAACAAAACCATGAGTATCAGCATCAGGGCAGCGTCGAAAACATATAAGTACACCTCATTGCTCAAGAGCTCTCCATCAGCTCCCTGTATATATTCAATTACCCTGAATATAGATCGCGTCATGATGAGAGCGGAGGCGATATAAAGCGCGAAGAGATGTTTGTGCCATGAGAAGCACAATGACATAGACTCCGTCGTTGGATTTGCGGTCATTCGACGATGGAATATGATGGAAGCGAAAATAAAGAAGCCGAAGAAAAGCAGCTGGATTACCAAGCCGCCAATAATGATTTTTTGGCCGAGAGAGAGATTGGAAGGAGTTCCGCTGGCCATGATACCGCCACCTAGTTGCAACTTAGCCAAAGTTACCTCTCACTTTGGCGTTTACTCACCCATTCCTTGGACCACAAAAGACAAAATATCGCCCGTCACAAAGATCTTGGTCATCCATGTTCGCCTTACGATAGCAAAATGGTCGGCGTGAAGAGCCGCTATCAAGCGGCCCAGAAGCATGTATACCGAAGCAGCAAAAAGAGCTGGAGCGAGGAGCAGAAACAACGTCTGGATAATGTATGGAGTGTCCTTGAACAGTGGGGCTTCGGTGCTTGAGACAATGCGAGCGGTATATCCCACTATCTCAACTAGAAACAGAGTGTTAAAAGTCAATCGAATGCTAGGTCGATGAAGTACTTACAAACGCCGCCAACCACGATCGGGATAAAGAACCACACTCGTGGCTTCGCAAGTTGAAAAACATGAAAGGTCGATGTCAGCAGAAACAGAACGATAAATACCGATGCGGCTGCCTTGGATGGAGTATATTTGTAGAAGTCATGGAACTCTCCGTCGTCTGCCATGGCGAGAGAAATGCGTTCAATGGTGCAGCGGACAGATTGAGGTTGGAGCTGAAAGTGATATGGAGAATCAGGATGAATGAACGTCCTCGCGAAGCAGAGACTTTATATAACGACGGATAAGAAGAAAACGCTGGAGAAACACTGCAGCCTTTCGAAGATCATCGTCGAAAATAAATCCTCGACGCAGCCAGCGCCTTGATTGCGTGTTCACCCCCATAGATTTCTAACACCCTCAATCTCAGCCTTCCAGCGCTTACGTTTTTCTCTTCCCATAGTGGCAGCGCGTTGTGTTGTTGAAGCACCATTGGCATGGTCGCTGCATGGCTCATATCTCCTTTGGCCTCCCGGCCTTTCGGGTTCTCGTGGCAGCCCGGATTAGAGTTTCGGGACCAGGTCGTGTTCGGACACTAAGCCTGAATCGTCCTAGCCTCGGAACCTTGTCCGGATGACAGACACTGATCGATTTCGGCCAACCAAACTCAGCTTTCAACGACCAGCGCCAAACCGCCGTGATCTAGACACCGGGGTGGCAAGTGGCTGGTTGAATCGACTCGACCCTGCTTCGAGATAGTCTCGAGATGCGCCTTGAGCCAGTGAGATCTACGTGCCGATGGCGTAAATTCTTATCCTTGAGCCCGTCTTTGTCGCCAATAAGTTCCCCACTTGCCCAAAATAAGATCGATCATGTTGGGGATCACCAGAGTTGATTAAAACTGCAGCTTTGTCATGATTTCTCATCCAAGAAATGATATCTGAAAAGGGGCGGCTAGGAGAAAGATTTTCGGTGTGGTAAGACATCTCATCTAGTTCATCTGATGGATGACCGCTTCGGGAAACAAGACTTCAATTCTATCCTCCGTTTTCCTGCCGTAAGGTCCTCATGGCCTCTCCTACAATCCAATGCTCTCGATTTACCAAGGGTTGACCTGTACTTGTTCCTGCTTTCACTAAAATCAATTCTGAGTCAATATGAATTTCGCAAATAGAAAGGATTCGGCGATGGCTCATTGAGAGGCCCTGTGGCATTTCCCTAGCTTGTCCCGGCCTGTAAAATCAACTGTGTTGAAATTGCTGGGGATCTGCACGTTCCACAACTTATTTAGATAGTGATTGATATACGGAGTACTCCGTACTCCGTGGAGCAAGATTTCCCACCTCCCGACTCGTTGACGTCACATATCAATCCGCAGCGGTATCTGTTAACAAAGTTGGTCCCTGTGAAAAAAGAAAAATGGAGTAGCCACCTTAGCTAACTACATTGGAAGTACGGAGTAAGTATGTATCCAATATTGAGAAGTAGAACAACAGCAGTGGGCGGGAATATATAGAGACATGTTAATTTTGGTAATGGGGGGTGCGATTTGGTAGGAAGTTCAGAGTACTCCGTATAAAGGCTTCGAGGAGTGATGGGCGCCCGTGGTTTGCCGTTCCCCATTAAGTTTCAGCTAAAGAGCTTGCTGATATCGAGGCTGGAGGGAATGCAATCTGTCGATTGTTTCCTTAGCTCCGGGCTCATTATTCAATATTACATGCAAGGAATAAATACTATCCGCAAGAGCCGGGAAACAGACATAATTATTCTATCAGGAGCCATCACTCTGCTCCAATTGCTCTTTGCAACTTTTTAGGTACTCTTCCAGTGCTTTGGTTCGTGGAAAAAGAATTGAGTTTCAGCGCATGTCTACCACTAGACAATCCAAACGCGCCTCAACCGCACGAACTTCGCTGCGCGCCTCCCCAATGCTCTGCTAAATTGGATCCCAATGGAAAAGTACTCTCAGTTTCGCGATCGAGGTATGGTATTGTTTATAGGAATGTGCTTCTATAGCTAAATTGTCCTTGCAGCCTCTGGTATCGCACCATTCCTCCCGGTCGTTGGCCAGGTGCAGCCATTGACCTTCGCCCTAAAGCTCGTTCTCTTTTGTATTCGACTTCCTCTCTTCGCCTTCGCCTTGTTCGTATACTTTGGGGTTTTACAATGGCTCCCAATTGGATCGCTAGGAAATAAAGCTTGTCTGTGGGCCATCGCGGGCGTTGCTGGTTTGTGGTGGGCCGACTTGCACATTGACGGGGTTAAGAAAGGGTACGAATGCCGCTACCTCTAGTGAAAGAGTGAGGATGGAGATACACACAGCTATGTCACTGACTCCGTTGTTTCTGCCTGGATGGTTAGATCTCTCGCCCGACAACATGCCAACCGCCTCCCCCAGCCAGGGTCGGTTATTGCATCCTCGTTTACCTCGCCCGTCGATTCTCTCTATCTCGCTGCGGTATTTGACCCGATATTCACGGTTTCGTATCCCTCTACACAGAAGTTACGACGCGTTTCGCTGTTTCAAGCCATTCTGCATGCATTTTCCATTCCAGAAACGCATCCTTCATCTTCAGATCTCACAGAACTCCCTTCTCTTTTGAAACAGTACCCGCACCACTGTATTGTTGTGTATCCGGAATGCACCCCTACAAATGGAAAGGGAATCTTGGAACTCAGTCCCTCAATCACTTCTGCGCCCGCTGGCGCTAAAGTATTTCCCGTCAATCTCCGGTATACACCCGGAGATATCACCACCCCTATCCCCAAATCCTACTTTGGTTTTCTTTGGAACTTGTTGAACCACGCGACTCATTCCATTCGGGTCAGGATTGGGGAACCCGTCATTGTTGGACAAAATGACCCAAACAATTTCATCTTTGATGAACAGCAGACGTTGCTCACCCAAGTTGGTGACGCTCTCGCAAGGCTGGGCCGCGTCAAACGGGTTGGCCTCGGTGTAAGGGAAAAGCAACAGTTTATTAAAATGTGGTCCAAAAACAAGAAAGGTCTGCTGAGCTGAATGGAAGAGGAGGAAGTGCCTATGCTTGATCAGTTCTACGTACAACCTGCTCAATCCGCTCCGTCCTTGGAAGGCAACTGGCGCCTAGTCCCTGGCCAAAATTCTACCGTTTTTAAAAAAAGAATATGCGTTCCATGATGCTTGTAATTGTTGATATCACTTCGGAAATGATTACGCAATATTATATTCACATATGATCTTAAACGCCACTTCATGTTGCGCTTCCTGCACTCTCGATCTGTACGTCCCCACTATACAGGCCTCCAATGTTCCTATCAAGCTAACGTTGTCCAGACGGGTGTTACTCTACAACCTGGATAAATCTCTTTGTTCTTCGTCCTTTTCTCTTGGAGGGTTTGTATAAGTCATGCGGCATTCAAAACAGGATATCACATAGAAAGCCATATTCCCTTTGAAGAACACCAAGCAGAAACTATATGATGTGAAATTGCAGGCGCTGAAGGCCCTTTAGGCATTTAGCTCCAGCCCTGGTTATCATTTCTATCTGTTCGATCCACAAAGTCTCCTGAAAGATAGCGACCACACCAAAAGAAGATACCATTAGCATTGGGTTGGATGTTTGACCAAATGTGAGTGCTCTTCACTGCAATTTCACCTAGGCCTGCATCCGCTGGAGTAACATAGTGCTTCATATCAGACGTGCAAACTGCCTTTCACGAAGTTCACAGAGCCCTTAGAGATTTTCTCGCGAGCTGCACAGTTCGCTCCAAATCCATATTCATCGAACCCACAGAATTATTTCAGTCGGTGTACGGGAGTTTCGGCTACAGATCGACAGGCTGATCACTCTCTGCCACCGTGGCTTTTTCTGTGTCTCGTGTTTCACTTGTGTCTCCCTGGGTAGTCGCCGTCAAGGCAGCTCCTTTCCTCCCAATCACATACCAAGGCAAGCTAAACAGTCCATCCACAGCCTTCAATGACTTTCCGGCCGTCTCAGGAAGGAAAAACCACATCCATAGGAACCCAAGAAGGGTCACAGCAGCGAAGAAAAAGAAAGTTCCCTGAGGTTTCATCACTGTTTCGAGAAGCATGGTTGGTACAGCTTTATTCAAACCACTGCACAAAAGAATTTCGGATTTTAGTCAATATATGAACTCCAAGTTATTTAGAAGGGCCACAGAAAGGTACGTACTATTGATTAGCAAAGTGGAAACACATGACCATTGACGTCCCTAGGGCTCTAACTCGGAGTGGGAAAATCTCTGCGTTGATGAGATATTGCACACTATTCCATCCAAGCGCCCACCCCACACCGGAGATGTATATCGACACAATAGCTGCGGTTCCGGCCTTTTTCGCACTCCCCTGGGGCTCTTCACCTCCTTCAATCGATGGAGCCACCGCTAAATATATTGCCACGTATAACATGCTCATAAACTGCAAGATAATGCCATATTCTAGTGCCCTCTTCCGGCCTAAGATGTCGACAAGGAAGAGAGCGCAGACAATAGAAGCAACAAGCTTTACCACACCAAAGATCGCAGTTGCAAAGAGCTTCTCTGACTGACCGGTTGTTCCCAGCATAGCGAAGAATTGAGGCGCATATATGGTAATGCTGGTTGCGCCTGACCACTGGCTGAGCAGCTGTGACATTAACCCTACCATAATGCGATATCGATTTGAGGGCATCAGGAACAGCTCTTTAAGAGGACCAAGCCAATGGAGCCCCAGTGTTGCCTCTCGTTCTCGTTCAAGCTGTTCGTAAATACCATTCATTTCTGTCTGAATGTATGGATGGTCCGGGGATAGGTCTCGAATATCTGCCATCGTGGCAATAGCTTCTTCATTCTTGCCTATTTTCGCAAGGTATCGAGGGGACTCCTTGACTCCAAATGACAAAATTAGGATAATACCAGCAAACACTATATGGACAGAAGTTGGCACAAGCTGTGATGTTGAGGAACGTTAGCGATCAGCATTTCGGGCCAGGCGGGAACCAGGAGCCATAAATACTTACCCACTCCTTCTGCGTCTGATCACTGATATGCAATGAGCTCCCCCAGTTGGCAAAGTATGCTACCACGATCGCCACGTACACCGAGCCTGAAAATGCACAAGTGCAAAGTCCTCGAATCGCCCTAGGTGCAACCTCTGCGAGATAAGTTGGCCCGACCACAGTTGTCTGGCCAACCCCAATTCCAGCAATAAAGCGCCCGGCATAGACCTGGCCCAATCTGCCATTCGCGGACATATAAATGGCTATTCCAATGGCCCATACCAGGCATAGTTGCCGGGTGGCCCAGACGCGGCCGATACGGTCAGTTATAAGAAAGGCACTGCATTTGTATGAGCGCCGAGGCCTGGATACGAAGCATAGTAGGAAACCTACATCAATGCACCGCCAATGCTTCCTATCTGAACCATGGCGGTGATATTGCCTAGTTTGTCTGCCTCTTGCGACGGGCTCAAGTTTTGGTCCTCCAAGCTATACTTCGAAGTGAAGGATTTCTGCTGAACTGTTCCACCGATCAGGCCCTCATCGATTCCTATGGAATGTTAGTATACATATCCGTAACCGCGACGGAGAAATGCAAAGGCAACCCGACCTCGGCTTGCTCCCATCAATCCAAAGCAGAGAACAGCCATGCCCAGTTTCCAATTCAGCGCTTCGCGGGGGGTGTCCCCCAAGTTCTGCTTGAATATGTTTGGCATTTTGGCCTGCTGAATGTGTTTGTTTCCGGCAAATATACGTCGGTACAATCGAGTCGATAAATTAATCGCATTGAACGTCGAGAACAGGCGTTGCCCGCCATATTACAATTTGAAGCACACCACAAGCTCCAAAAATGTGGTGACACAAAAACATGATCTTCAGTCACTCATTGACAATCAGACCAGCGAATGTTAAGTCGTGGTGGTCGCATTATAGACAAAGCGACAAGGTTAAAAGCCAACGCCCACCTTCGCGCTTTTGGATTCCAGTTCGCAAGCCTCTAGCCTTTGTAATGGCCTCAAGCCTTTGAATTAATTGGTGCTATAATGGTAGATTTCAATGGATAAACTGGGAGAAAAGCCGGCTGAGGTTTCTTTCTAATCACCATGTCTATCGCATCTTAACCTAGGCATGTATCCAGTCTTCATTTTGTTTAAAAATGCTTGCGAAGTCCAATTCCATTCCCATGGGCGCATTGTACAAGATATACTCTGTACTCCGTACATAACAATCAATCTGGAAAGGAATTTTTGGTAGTTTTGTTAACTAGTTACTCCACGAGTCCATTGCGAACGGTTTTCTCTTCTCCACCGGAATCGACAATGCTCACCACACAAAACTTCAAAATAATCCATGGCAGACAGGAGTGAAGATGGAAGTAAGTCATGATGCTGCAATTTAGCTGTTGAACTGAATCTCCGTGTCATATTAACCAGGTCCCTCTCAAGGAGCCCAAGCGCTTTGACGCTCGAACCCAAGGAGCGAAGATTTGTGGAGCACCCTAGCCAACTTACCAGAACTCATATTCTTAGGAGTCCATTCTTGCACAAAGAGAGGGTCATTGTTAAATAAATACTCCGTACATGCTGCAGGATGAGATGAGGTCTAGAAAATTGGAGCAGGCATAACTACAGAGTAGGAAATACAAGGCAGCACGGCCAGTTGTGTCGACCGCGTCCATTTAATCAAACACAAGAGTGGGGTTGGGGTAGGTTTGTTAACCTCCTAGATCATGGTTAGCAGTGATTTCACGGGTATGTCAAGGCAGGCCTACAGTGGCAAGGGTGATTGAATTCTTTAGTTCTGTCACCATGGCGGACCTCATCGCCGGCGAGCATCATTTCGCAGCACCAAATGGCCTAGACTTCACCTACACAGTTCGATATTCAGAGCAAAGTGTGAACTCTTTGCCGGTGCTTGTTCAGTGTCCAGGCTGGGGTATCGGTTCGCGATACCTCGAAGTGGGCTTGTCGCCTCTGGAGAAGCACTTTAAATTTATCTATTTTCATCCACGTGGTACAGCTGGGTCATCTCGTCCTGATGATCCCACAGAGATGAGCTGCTTTGATATGGCCAGGGATCTCGAACTCTTCCGTATTTACCTAAGATTTGACCGATATCCTGCCCTACTAGGCCATTCGCACGGCGGTGCCATCGCTTTGGCATACGCTCAGTTATTCCCGGAGAATGTGACCAAAATTATCCTGATAGACCATAGGTTGATTGGGTTCGACGACTCTAGTGCTTCTAGGGGGTTTAAGAGAGATAGGAAAGGTGACAGTAGATACGACAAGGCTTACAAGGTGCAAGATACCGCTTCTCCCACGAGTGACTCTGAATTCACGGAGCTTTTCCACGAAATGGCCCCGATCTATTTCTATGACCCAGAAGCCCATATTCCCGCCTTCTTCGCTGCTCTCGGCCAGGATCAAATATCGTTATGGTGCGTTCAGAAGGTAAACGCGGCAGAAAAAAAGGTGAAAAGAGAGGCAACGATGATTAAAGGCTTAAAACGAGTCACTGCCCAAACTCTCATCATATTCGGCAATCAGGATGCACAATGCACCATCGAAAATTTGGAACAGACGAAATCTGGTATCCACAGCGCGACTGGGATTGTGCTGGATGAGTGTGGTCATTTCCCTTGGATTGAGAAACGAGAAGAAACGTTTACAGCAGTAAGGGCGTTCCTAGAGGCCGAATAAGGTATGACAGTGTTTTGCCACCGCGCTCTACGCAATTCCTATTAAGCCAGGCATAACAGTAATTTCAGGCAGAGAGAGCTGCGCAAGGGGAAAACCCGCAAGAGTTCTGAGAACTCCTGAATTCAATGAATCACCCCTTACCGGCGATCTGGATCGTTGGTCTCATATACAATCGAGAACATGCAAGGAAACAGGTCAGCTTACTATCAAAAGCGTCCGGCAGAGTTAAGTGGTTCCAACGACTTGCATTCCATGCCTGACATATGAAAGTAAACGGCTTCGACCAGCTCGATTCAAAGAGAGTCAAGAAGGGAAATAGATACAAAACCATCTTCGGGTATCTGATTCAAAATGTGCCATTCCTCGTTGAGGTCGTAAAGGCTGGGACGCCGCATCAATAAACTGGGCGCTGGAAACGGGGAAAAAAAAAAGAAAAAAAAGGGAAAGGAAAAAGGAAAAAGTTATTCACAATCCTTTGTCAGAGTTTGGTGTTCAATCGAAATGATACACCACGATAAGAAATGCCTGGCGATATAAAGGCAAAAGGGAATCAATCCTAAGAAATCCTGCTCCACCAAACACACGATGAAAGCGGTGTGGCGAGCCAACAGGCCCTGCGACTACCTACCCCGTGCTTTACGAGTCCTTAATCCGGGTTTGTCTCTTTGCAGTGCCGATATGCGTATTGTGTACTTTGGTTGCAAATCGAAGACTAGTCAATGTTTCACTAAGATGTTCCTGTCGCGGACTGACCATCACAAACATAAGCGTTTTTGAATTGCCACCGAGCGAAAATTGGAGTAGGTATGTGAGCTATTGAAGTGAAACGTCAGCTCAAATTCTAAAGAGGATTGAGTGTACCTCTGAGGATATACCTTGCTATTACGGTAGGGGATATGGCCACCCTCCTTTCCTTGACCAAGGGCACTAATCACATCACCAAGGCAGCTTAAGCTGCGATTGATATTCTGCGTTTCCCTCAACCTATCTCCTGTAGCCCCGCTGTGGCTAAGACGTTCACTCCCAGCAAGGTCCACAAGATTTAGGATGCCTTCACTTCGCTCTCCAGTGACAGAATTCTCTCCTGTTAGCTTCAAAATAAACACTGAGTGGGATCGAGATGATCGCCAGTTAGCCTTTGTGGCCGCCACAGATCTGTTTGCTGCAGCTTGGCGAAGCATAGATTCAACCGTTGCTGGTGAGTCCAGGGTAACGGTGGTGATGTTCGTGATGGTTGTCTGACACTTTTGCATATCGTGCCGTATTTCGTGCTTCTTTTTGTCGAATTCTTCTGCTTTCCCGAGCAAGTCATTTAGATTTTCATTGTAGACTTCCACAAAACTCCCTTCCATGGTGTATTTCCATCCTTTCTCTTCGAGTTCCGCTGCCGTTTCATATATTTGGGCCACAGCTCGTGGGATCATACCGTCCTCAGAAGACATCGTATGCGTTTTCCCACTGCCGGTCTGTCCATAGCAAAAGATGCAAACGTTGTAACCATCCAATGCGCTTTGAACAAGTTGGCTAATTTCCTCGAACACGTCGGGATTTCGGGATGACGGACCAAAGACATGATCATACGAGAATGAGAAATTTTTGGCCGTCACGTTTCCCAGGCTACTCTTTTCTTCTGGACCTTGAATGGAAATTTCCTTTGAGTCAACGTCGGAATCCGGGAACCGAATCCGCGCGGCAGCATCCATGGGTTCGTTGTCCAGCAAAGGTCTCACTCGACAGAAGACCCGAATATTCCCTTTGAGTTCCTGGACTTGGTTATGCAACCTCCGTCGTAACGTTTCCTCCTTCCTCAACTTTTCCTTTGTGGCTTTCGTTTCCGCAAGGGCATCGCTGAGTTGTTGATCGAGCCGTGCAAAAGCATCGGATTGTTCCTTGTTTCCTGACTCCAGAAACTCGATTCGAGCTTTCAAAGCACGGATCGACGATTCCAAAGTTACGCCACTACTGTTTGCAGTCACCAAGTTTCGCTGTAATTCATCGTTCGTCATCCGCTCTCTTTCTAGGTCTATCCGGAGCCTCTCTATCTCCTCCCTAAAATTTCTGATTTCTCGCTCTTTATTCTCAACATCCATCTGTCCGCGTTGTCGCTCCATGGCTGATTCAGCATTAAGCTGCCTCAATTCGCGCAAACTGGATTCTCGTTCTTCTTCAAATTGCATTTCCAAGCGTCGTTGTAAGCTGAAGAGCTCCTCCTGATGCTTTTGGTTGATATGGTCAATTTGGGTTTTCATTTCGTGTCGCACTGTTTCGATTTCTATCCGATGTCGCCGGCCAGCGTCATCAAGCGTTATTTCGTTTTCGCGGACCGCATCCTTCCATTTCTCTTCTGCGTTCTGGAGTCGTAATTTGGCACTATCGATGTCGACGCGAAGGTTTACATTCTGCTCTGTAAGCTGTATCTTTTGCTGCTCGAGGTCCCGGACTATGATTCTGCACGTCAGTGTACTGCTACTAGCAGAATAAGGAACCCAAGTTGGACATACTCTGTGACTTGTAAAGTTCCATTGCATCTTGAAGCCCGGTGCTGAGGGAGGTCGAGTCTTTGATCTGGTGCATCAACCGCCCACACATCGCTTCTAAGGCCTCTTCTCTTTCGGCTTGGTCCCAACCTTGAACATGAGAATAACGTGTCAGATACCGGTTAACCTTTGAAGGAGTGCGGCGCGAGGATCTTAAAGAGGATGCAATAGATGGACAAGGAGAAACAGCAGTAGAAGATGGCAGAGTTTTGGGAGGGGATGTGCGACAGGGTAGCCTCGACGCCGGTGGCCGTTTTGGTCGGTCTGCTGACGGCGGCGCACCGGGGGGCCTTTGGGAACTGATAGACAGATCGTTGACGGCAGCGCATAACAAATCAACGTTGGGCATCCTCGTAGGGGTTCTGTACGACCTTGCGGCCGGAGAGCTCGACCAGTCTGATGTAAAGTTCAACTGGTTGTCATGGCTCCCTCGTAATGGTGTGATGGGCATTGGAGAGGTGGATGAAGGTACGGGGGGACTAGGATTCGCACCCTTTAGTTTCCCTGAAGTATCACCAGCTCTCTTTGCCTGATGCGTATCCATCGAGGTGACCGGTCGAGCATACGGGTTTCTCCCTGTGGATGCATATCCAAACGAGGTTTTGGGACGGGTGGTACCCCGCGCGGAGGGAACTGCTGCCGAAGAGGTCACACTTCGCGTCGCATAATGTGAAGTCGCCGGCGGGTTGCGCGCGGATGGAATGGTTGAGGTAGACCTGGATGGTGCGCCGACCGATTTGGAGGTGGAATGACCCGGTTTTTGTTTGGAGGAGGAAACGGGCTTTTTCTTGAAAGTCGCGTCGATGGCTGCGAATGCACTGGGTTATTGATAACTCCGGCAAAAGGAATCCAAGAAAAAAGAATGACATACACGAGCAGTCGGCCTGTTTTCTTTTCAAAACACCGTTCGGTGGGATTGATAGAGACGCATTGTTCGTAGCAGTCGTTATATCTTTGAAAGTTCCCCTCGTCTGACTTCTCGTGAGACGGGGAATGGCAGATGACTGGCGAAGTTAGTCGCTGATCACTTTTCATATACAATGATATTAGAACCAAAATGATCGTTCATACTCGACACGCGTTTTCCTCTCCGTCCATGGCTGGGAGCTTCTTTAGGCCGTTCGAAGTTCCTGATCGCGGCCGACCATCGAGGAAGGGGTGGTATCCTTTTCAGAAAGACCGTTTGAGGTGGGTTTTATTGCAATGCATATGAGGATGGTTGTGTTGAGTTAATAGCTGTCACACAGTGTTATCTGTGTCCATTGGTCTGTTGGCGGCAAGACGTTGAGATGCAATGACCGACGTTATGCAACGTTCACAGCCAGGCGGATTTGTTGTTGTTTGGTTGTCGGGCCAAAACAAACAATGTAAACAAAACTTATTAACGCTAGTCCGTATATAGATTAGTCAAAATTTCAACGTTTCTTGGCATCAAATTAGTCAGTAGTCGGCAAATAGTTAATCCACATGTGCCCCACCAATGACCTCAAGTCGAGTGGAACCCCATCCTCTCTAATCAGCCTTCTCCAGAGTACTAACTAGCGCTGTTCGAACACCAAGATTATTCAACAGCCCTCCGACGGAAGCGCAACATAGGCCCGTCACCAACCGCGATGATATATTCCTTCATAGGGAACTCGGTCCACCCGGGACTTGGATGCAAAACGGACCCTTCGATTGTGACGCGATTACCATCGGGCCCCAGAGCCTCAAAGTCAAGGGACCAAAATATATGGGCTAAAGAGAGCATCAGCTCCTGCATTGCGATTCCTTTCCCGACACAGCTGCGTGGACCTATCGAGAACGGCCCATAAGCTCGGGTTTCATGGTTAACAAGATCTGCAGGACGAGCTTCTGACAACCAACGCTCGGGGCGGAACGTGAAAGGGTCGAAAAAGTGGTTTGGCTTATGGTGAATACTATAGATGCCAACTCCGACGTGAGTGCCTTTGGGAATAACAGTACCGTCGATGGTAGCTCCATTTTCGGGCTCGACTTCGCGCCATAGTGCTGTGCCAACTGGGGGCGAGATTCGGAGAGTTTCCTGAATGCAAGATTTTAGGTAGCTGCAGGAATATAGGGTTTTTCCGAGGCGTATGTCCGAGGCATCGTTGAACTTTTCGCGTATTTCTTGCGCAAGTCGGTCATATGCTGATCGATACCGGCTTAGGTAGAAGAGAGCTCCGGCAAGACCCATGGTAGAAGTATCAGACCCTACAGGAAGTTTGACAGTTTGACCGCAGCGGTTAGAGTTGCTAACTAGATCTTCCCAACAATAACAGCAAGGAATTACAAAGGGCCACATACCGGCGATGATCAAGGTAGCGCATTCGGCGCTGAGCTCGTTTGGAGAAAGCTGTGCAAGGTCTGCTGAACTTAGATTATTACGAAGATATGCAAAAACGTCATGACAGGGATCTGAATCCGCAGTATAACTGGCGGAATTTTTCAATCAAATACCTAGCACGGTTCGAATGAAATGAACGAACTTGACACGCTCTCGCATGGCTGTCTTGAAAAGGTACTTATGCAAACCAAGTATCGCCAGAGTTTTGTCCTGAACTAGCACACCCTGCAACACTGAAGATTGATGAATCGCGTTCGGAATATGACGATACTTGGGATGAGTAAGTAGCTTCGAGTCGCTACTAAACACCATAGACATCATAATGTCGAAGAGCAGATAATTGCCTATTCCTGGTGTCAAATTGCGACGTTCAGAGATATCTGCCAGAAAAAGAACGAGATAGCCCATCTGCACTTACACCATGGCGCCATATTCCGGAGCGCAGACCAGCCATCTACGTTCTTTACACCTTCCACCATCTTGGCACAAAAGGTCCGGATATGGTTTAACATCTGCGGTTCGTAAAACCGAACATTATCCTCTCCGAGTGCCAAAGCAACACGGTGCCGGCGGCGTCTATGTTCCTTTGCGTCTCGAAGCGTAAGGATGCTCGGCGCCCTCTGAGCAAGAATACTATAATTTGCAGCCTTCACCACCTTTCCTCCGAAGCCATAGATATCTATTCAGACAATTAGCCCGCCTTTGATTCCTATGATCAGAGAAGTGAAATCAATTCTGCATAACATGCCCTGATGAGCCTGTGCTGTGTTGATGAGAAGTGCATTAGGGGCGTAGCGAACATAATCCCCATATTTCTGGTGGCATCGCCAAATATCGTGTGCTATATCGCCTTTCCACCCATGATAGCCTGCGTGAGCATGTGTGAATTTGGCAATTAATGGCCCTGGATATTTAGCAAGAGGATGTAACCAGAGCTCATAGATGATGACGGCTGTGATCTTTCGCCTGCTGTTAGTGATATATTTACTTTTTCAAGGTGTTAATTCCGACTCACACATAACACCACCGCACACACCCCGATTTCTACCACTGAGCATGGCATATAGGCCGGTACGCAGTCTTGAATGAATGTTTTGAAGAGATCCATTTGCAGTACTGCTAGTCAAGTGAATTGTATTGGAGGAAATATGCACTATCTCATCATCCTCCCCAATGGGATAAACCACTGTTTTTCCTACATTTTCTGGAAACCAGAAGGACGGGTAACTGCCTCCCACGCGGTCCCACTCTTCCATAACTCATCGAGAATTCGATGCGAAGTGGTATGATGACGATGTAACTTTGTCAGCGAAAATTTAATCCCTTGCATTGGCATTGAGTCAAGGGTTGGACCCTTGTTTCACGCCAGAATTGCTGTACGACAAGGCGGGATTGGAGCGATATTATTTTCTTGAGGGATCATGCCGCATCCGGGCCATTGGATTACCCAATTAAAACAAGCGATGTGCCCTCAGAAGCGCTGCATCAAGCCTTTCGCTTTGAAGCTTCAGGATTCGGGGTAATACCTTGTGGGTTGTATCCAGGATCCTGCCTAGGTTTGTTGAGCTCAGCTTCCCGGAGCGGGACTCTGCACTCAGGTTCTATGGACGAGACTATGCATCATGAAAGAATCCTAAACGGTGGAGCTGAATGCGATCTGGTCGAGCCCCGCAAACAATGAGTTTCTTTGTACATGATGCGCGGCCTATAATAATGCTTCAATATATGAAGTACATATGAACTCCGCCCGTTGTTTGATATTGTTTCAAAGATTCACCGAATTATGGGAATCGCCGCCTTCAATCACCCTGAGGTAAAGCTTTGAGGTCAATTACGGGAAAATTCATTGTATCTTCCGTCTAACATCTCGGCTAGACCATTGATCGAATAATAATATTCCATCACGGTAAGATAGAACAGACGTTTCCGTCAGAACCCACCAACTGACCGACTCCACAACGGGGACAGTTCCACATGCTCAGTTACCCAGTCCATGCCTGCTACGAGCGGAGCTCGGGGGGATCCCCTCTCTATCACCGCATTTGCTGGGCCAGATGTATGAAGGGGCAATCACAAAGCCCTTCTAGGTTCGTAACCCCGTATCCAATTCACTTTGCATGATATCCGCAGCGTTTGTCCTAAAAAACAGTCGCTGAATAGTCTCGACCCCAGACCGTGGCGTGAACGGACGGGCGTCATTAGCTTCGAAGTGCGGCGGCGGCGCCGGTGGGGACTGGGCTGGGCTGGTAAGTTAGTACCTAGTTATGTACGGAGTACGGAGTACTCCTTAGTTAACTAACTCTCCAGCAGTGGATTGCCGTGACTGGTTAACTAGTTAACAAAGAACCTTAAACCGGTGTCTCCAGGCACCAAGCCTTGCTTGCGTGCTCAAACTGCGCAGTACAAAGTCATTAACACAGTAGCACCTCGACCAGAGGAACCCACTCTCATCCCAAACTGCTCACAACCATGGCTTCAGGACCCCCGACCTGCGCGTTCTCAACATATCTGCCAGTTCCACCGAAAATTCAAGTTACCTGCAACTGCTGAGCACGAAGAACTGTCAGTGACATACGCAGATGTCGGTGCAGCTACTCGCGATGGTCATACCCTGACTCTGGTGTATTTCTGGGCAGTTTGCTACACGATATCTTGCCGTCTATCTCCATGACATAGCAGCGAAGATTGGGTCCGCGTTCTGGTTATAGATCTGTGGGTTGATCAAGATCCTCTTCTTCACCCGACGCTGCCAGTCGCCTCTAACGTGCATCGATTCGCAGTTCTGGAATGGGCGGCTCGACTTCTATCACACCCGCACAAGGGTTTCTATTTGGATAGAAACTGTTCGTGGCATTTTAAAGCATTTGTCTATACCCCATGTTGCGCTTGCATCGCATAGCGCGGGAACAATTTACCTGCTCAATACCGTGTTACTGGTATTATCCATCCACAACGACCCTTTGCTGCATTTTTGGGTATGTGTTTTGAGAAATCGACCTACTCTTAGATTTCACGTTCAAATCTATTTGGTTCAGAGTAATATGATTCGTCTCTAACCCTGAAAACACACCTAGCTCCATGGATTGAACCAAGCACTCTCGAGTGCCTTTAATGCAGCTTGCTCAAATGCTTTCCAAGCAATCATTCGGTCCCTAGAGCGAAATATTCCGCTTTTTCATTGTTAAAGGTGCCCTTCTATTGTTATCCAGCAGTGTTCTATAGATAAACTTCGCTCTCTTTGGCCTGGTACCAACAACGCACCTTCATTTCTTTGCGGGAACGGCAAAAGAAAAACGGTGTCTCAACCAATATCCAAATTGAAATTGAAGAATGCATACTCCGAGTCAACTTCAAAGAAAGCGTTATAGCGGCGAATGCCGAAGCATTGATCTGCATCAAAAAGCGGCCCCCGGGCGCTTGGGGGAAATGTGAGGATTACGATGAATTTGTTAGTGAATTTGCCGCAAATGAGCGCCAAAGGATAGCTGAATAAATGGATGGTCAGTCACTGAATGGACCCAAAAAAATTGGACTATGAGAAGTTCAAAGTACACGCATATGTCGCAGAGAGCGATGTTATGGTTGGAAACCAAGGCCATGCTTACTTTGAAGAGTGCTGGGTAAGAAAGAAAGGGGTTTCGGTGACGTGGTGGAATTTGAATCAGCCATTGTCCAAGATACAGATCATGAGAGCGTATTATCGTCGGTTGATGCTCTCGAGCGAATTCTCTGTGAGGTCGGGTACTCACTCATTCCAAAAGGACATCGGCCGAAGAAGATAGCATTTATAAAATAAACTTGACTGACTGCGGCCTGCTCTTCGACCTCGAGCAGTAGCCCAATTGACTGGTATCCAGTGGTCCATTCCCGCAATACTTCGCACTCTTACTCTATTTGTCTCTTAATACAGGAGGTGCTCGCGACACCGTTCTCGTATTGTTTGTGTGCGAAGGGGGTGATTCAGTGCCGCAACCCATCACCTCTACCCCTCCTACACCGGTAGAAGCAACGTTTCTAAGTAAGCGGCTGACCCTCTACCTAAGGTCGCTCTTCACGAGAATAATGGTAGTGGAATAATCCGAGAGTGGCCGGTGAATCACGTCCCGGTGATGGAGATGTTCTTGCAACTACGCTTGACATTCTGGTCGCCGGTCTTTTTCATTTTCATTTTTGCCTCGCCGATAGCGTGTACCAGCCGGGGTTGAAGTCCTGTCACAAGACTGTCATATCAGTTTCGAATATAGACCGGTTCGGATAATTTAAAGGGCCAAAATATTCAAATAACTCGTACTTCATGTCAGAAACTGCTTTCTACAGAGTAATCTCGGACTGACTATCAACATGACATTAAGTATCCCGTAGCGATAGTTGTAGATAAGTTCGTTGTAATCTGGCTTGGATTTGAACAACTGCTCGCCTTGGGGCGATGCGCAACAGGGGGTCTATGAAACATTCTTGTCTCAGCCATGACTGCAAATTGCACAACAGTAACTTGGTCTCTCATTCAGTGCACTACTCTGGGACGTAGGACTCAATAGCATCCGTTTCAAGTGACTCTGATCTTGAAGAACGCCTATGCAGAGTCTTGTTTCGTGGTAGTATGGAGTGCTCTGGACAGATAGGTGATAACTGAGAATATTCTTAATATCCCGATCGGCATTGTTGGATTAGCCCAAAGAGACCCGAAGAACTCCCAGCATAGACATAGATGAATAGAGGATTGCGTCGAGGAATGTGCTAATGACAGAATCATACTTCCTAGAGTCGTGGTGGTCAAATTTGATGCGTCCAGGCTCGGGGTGGAGCCGGTCGTCTAGTTGATGTTGCGAACGTTGCCAAGACCGCCCTCCTGAGCGTCAGCTGTCTCTCCCGTCTTCCCCTCGACGAGCGCAGCGAGCATCCCCCTCCGCCTCAAGTCAGCTCAAGGAGCTTTTTTGGTACAGCAGATCTGCTTTACACTCACTCGCCCTGCTCAATTGGCATCAGGTCTTCCTTGATCATCGATTTTTCTTCCTCTTCTCCCTGAAACTGCTCGCAAACTTCCGGATAAGCCACTGTGTCGTGTGCTTCCTCCTATCTCTCCTCTACAAAGCTCACTTTGGCTGCATCGCCGCTGTACACTTATAAACGCTTCCCGCAGAGCTTATTTTCTTGAACTATAGCGCCATGGCCGGTCGATTTGTCCGCTCTTCAAAATACCGTAAGTACCGTTGTTTGGAGGCAGCCCTTCCCACTTCTCTCCAACACGATATGCTCTCTCAATTCTGACTCTCGCTGCTCTGTGCTAGGACACGTTTTTGGACGTTCTACGCGCAAAGTACGCCCACCTTTTGTCTGCTCCTCCCCTTCCCTTCGCCGTTTACTCACTACTCCAGGAACAATGCTATGATAACCTCCGTATCTCCACAAATGCCTGGGATACCAATCTCGTCAAGGTTGGTCACCCCTTGGAAGCTCTCGAACGTAGACTCTCCGTACTCACGGCTTGTTCAACCCGTAGGTAAATCCACAATACCTTTCAGTGAACTGGGAAACAGGTGGTGGTGGCGCCTTTGCCGTCGTCCCCATCAACGAAACCGGGAAACTCCCCGAGCGATTTCCCCTCTTTCGCGGACATACTGCCGTAGTGCTGGATACAGATTGGTTAGATATCCATGTGACCCCGCAGTGTGATCTCTAATGCCTAATACTTTCTGCAGGAATCCTTTCAATGACTCCTTGATCGCATCGAGCTCCGAAGACGGGAAGGTATGGGAATCCATACAACGACAGCATGATCGGATAGTTTCAACTGATAACGCGCTAGGTTTTCCTTTGGAGGGTGCCGGAGGGCTTCACACTCCACACCGATGCCGACCAAGTTAACGACATCGCGCCCATTGGAAAGCTTAGTGGCCATCCCCGGTACAGCAGGAATTCACTATGATCAAATCAGCGCAGCTACACAGCTAATATATTGCTATGTAGAAAAGTTGGGCATGTCCTATTTAACCCCGCAGCCGAAAATGTCCTCGCGTCCGCCGCCGGCGACTTTACCATCAAAATCTGGGATATCGAAGCTGGATCTTCGAAACTCACTCTTAAACTTGGAGACGTTGTCCAGTCGCTGTCATGGAGTGCAAATGGCTCACTGCTAGTCACTACTTCTCGAGATAAAAAGTTGAGAATATGGGACGTTCGTCAAGAGAAACCTATTCACGAAACCCAGGGACACTCAGGCGCAAAGAATAGCCGAGCCGTGTGGATGGGAGAACACGATCGCATTGCAACCACTGGTTTCTCCAAGATGAGCGATAGACAGATGGCTTTGTGGGATGTTCGCGCTCCCAGAGAGCCAATCAATGGGTTCAGAGTGCTCGACTCTATCTCTGGAGTTTGTGTACCTTACTGGGACGATGGCACTCAATGTTTATACCTGGCTGGGAAGGGGTAAGTTGAACTAACACTATTTTCTCCTGCCTCAGACCCTAATCTGTCCATTCTTTCTTCATAGTGATGGCAACATTCGTTATTTTGAGTATGAGAACGATAAGTTTGAATACCTATCAGAATACAAATCGAGCGATCCTCAACGTGGTATTGGATTTATGCCCAAGCGTGGCGTCAATATGCACGAAAATGAGGTTGTTCGCGTTTTTAAAACGGTGAACGACACCTATATTGAGCCCGTATCGTTCATCGTACCCCGTCGAGCAGAAGTCTTCCAGGACGATATTTATCCGCCAACCACCGGGCTTAAACCGGCAGTGTCTTCGGGCGAATGGTTCGAAGGAAAAGAAGGCGTTCCTCCTAAAATTGATATGGCGAGTTTATATGAAGGAGAGGGCCTCAAAGAACTACCATCAGATGTTGTTCCAGCACCAAAGAAAGCCGCCGCGACTCCCTCAGCGCCAGCGGAACCTGCCAAGGAACCCGCGAGGAAGCCCCAAGAAGAACCAGAAGTTAAAACAGCCCGCCCAGCGGCCACCGTCGCCCCTGGTAACACCATGAAAGAACAAGGGGCTTCGATGGCTGCGATGGTCTCCAAATTTGCTGACGAAGAGGAGAAAGCGGATGAAGGCGACGATAGTTCCAGCTTTGAAGAGGTCTCCAAGCCACCCGCCATTTCTGTCGCCTCTGCTGAACCTGAGTCGGTTGTGTCACCGCCTGGATTATGGAAAGCAAGGAAGCCCGAAGCACCGAAGCCGGCCCCTTCTATCGTAAAGGTAAGCCCCATCAGTTTAGCCGCGAGTCTTCATTACTTTATGCATACTATCATTTTATTTGGCCATGTGCGAGCGGGACTCATTTGACTAACAAGTTCTTAGCCAACCGAAAATGTTCCAAACCTCCCCGTCGTCACTCCTGGCGTCTCAACTCCAACCCTAGATGACTTCTCAACGGCCCCACAATCACTCCTGAAAGAGATGGAACAGATAAAGGCCATGATCACTGAGCAGACCAAGACCATCGCCGCCCAAGCTAAACAGATGGCCGTTCTAACCAACGAGATTGATAGCCTCAAGGCAAAATTAGGCTAGAGTGAACTTTTCTGTGTATACTGTACGCGTCTTTTGGAATAGGCAGTCATCATTATATTCATTTACCATCCCCTCTTCCTTTTTTTTTTCCCGGTTATTTTCCCCCAGTTCTTATCATCCCCAGCAACCATATATTGCCCACTGGAGTTAAAGCAAGCTGCTATGGGTTTTGCAGCGTCCTAAACGTAGCCTTTACGATTTTCCAAGAGGTGTCTATAGACCATGTTGTGTATATTTCCTTTGCACTCTGTACTTAACTGTTTGTTTCTATGTTTATAGCTATATGCTTTAAGAGAGGACCTTTCTGTTGATTTTGCTCAAACAGCAAGAGTGCAAATGTTGGTGTAACGCCGCAAGCTATAATAAAAGGATTTGGGATTGAAGGCATGGGATCACTTCCATCATACTGGCTTTTTATTATTTAGTTATACAGCACATGCAGTTTTAAGTGCCTATACATAGAATTAGTGCACAGCGCAAAGAAAACGCGAAGCGAGAATTGCCTGTGACCACCCAAAGCACATCATTATACAACACCAAAAGAATGATGAGAGCCTTGAGCAAGCCATACATCACAAGTGGTATCTACGATTCATAATTTTCTCGTCGTCCGATATCCGAATGTCCAAAGTACCGTCAGTCCCAGAAGAGCAAAAACGAGTATCTAGAGATCAATTTTCCAGCTCGAGAAAAAATATTCGAGAAGCAACCGCGCGCCAAGTCAGATATCCAAACTTTTAATTCCATTACTTAGGGCTCCATTAACGAGGAATTCGTTGCTTTGCAGGTTTTTGGTGACTTCATCCAATACACCTGCGCTCGCGGCAACGAATCCAAGATATGGCTTGCTGGGAGAAAGGACACGAGAAAGATATTCCGGATGGAATTGGACACCCACAAACCAAGGGTGATCCTTAAGTTCCAGGATTTCCATTCTCTCGCCCTTATCATCTTTCCCAATGAAGTTGAGCCCGGTTTCGGAGAGACGCTCGACATACTCTGGGTTCACTTCATAGCGATGACGGTGGCGTTCGTCAATCGATTCATTGGGCACCCCATAGAGAGCTCTGAGTTTAGACCATTCCGTACCCTCCTGGAAAATGGTCGGGCGTAGGCCGAGGCGCATGGTTCCTCCTAAATTGACTTTGTCAATTTCGGGCATGTAGATGACAACGGGATCGTCGACGCCCTCGCCTCCCAATTCAACAGAGCCAGCGTTGGGAAGTTTGCAGACGTTGCGCGCGTACTCAATCACGGCAATCTGCATACCAAGGCAAACGCCGAGGTAAGGTTTTGGTTTGGTTCTCGCCCAATTAGCAGCAGCAATCATGCCCTCCGTACCTCGAGTTCCAAATCCTCCGGGTACAAGGATGCCATCAGCCGTACAAACCTCATGCCAGGCCTTGTGGTATAATTCGGGAGATTCGGATGCTGTGGATTTCTCCAGATGAGAAGCATCAACCCAAACTAAGTTAAGTTTCCTTCCACAGGCCATTGCAGAGTGTTCGAGGGACTTGATGACCGATAGATATGAATCATGCAGGCTGGTGTACTTGCCAACCAGTGCAATGGTAACTGTTTCAAATAGGCGTTCTTGCGACGTTGTAAGCGTCTTCCATCTTTGCCAAGTTGTTTGCCCTTGAGAAACGAGCTTTTGTTGGACTGAAAGATCATCAATCTTTAGCGTATCACGTAGAACAGAGATCAAGCCTTGTTTTTCAAGGAGGAGAGGGACATGATACGTGCTAGACACGTCATGTACACCGAACACTTGTTCAGGTTCAACTTGACAGAACATTGCAATCTTATCGATTGTTGATCTTTCGAGAGCCATGGAGCAACGACACGCGATCTATGTTGAGGATAGTGAAGGTCAGCAAGATCATTTCTTAGTTTTCAGGGGTTGGCGCATTTTCTTACCAAGTCTGGACTTAATCCGGCGGATCGGACATCGCGTATAGCTTGCTGTGTTGGCTTGGTCTTTTGTTCTCCATGTATAACCGGAACCAGCGAAACATGGATATTGACAAAGTTGTCCTTGCCAGCTCGTCGGCGAAGCTGGCGCATAGCCTCAATAAAAGGAGCGCTCTCGATATCTCCGACGGTACCACCAAGTTCAATGATGCAGACGTCGGGTGTCTCGTTCGTATCATCAACAGGGATCCTTGCAACGCGCTGAATCCAATCCTGAATCGCGTCTGTCAAGTGCGGAACCACCTGGACGGTGCGGCCAAGATAGTCACCCCTGCGCTCTTTCTCAATGACATGCTTATAGATCTTGCCGGTGGTGATATTATTCTCCCGAGTCAAGGTAATATTGAGGTATCGTTCGTAATTTCCGAGGTCAAGGTCAACTTCACCACCGTCATCCAAGACGAATACCTCGCCGTGTCTGACATCCGATATCGATGTCAGCGACATTCACGAAAGCGCTTGGGAGGCAAGACGGAAAATTACGAAACATACTCGGTAGGCGCCATTGTCCCAGCATCGACATTCATATAAGGATCTACCTTTATGGACGTAACGTGCAAAGACGGTCAGATTTTGAGCTCTCAGCACTCGTGCTCGGGTTCACATATCTTAAGTCCAATGGTCTTCAACAGCAAGCCGGTCGAAGAGGCTGCCGCCAACGATCCACGGTCAGCAAGGACAATTTCCAGTCAAAGCTCGAGCAACTCTTGAGCTGCACGCAAACCATACCTATCACGCCCTTTCCGATGCCGCTGATGACACCTGCAAAATTTTTGTCAGCCAAGCCTCGAACCTGGTCGAGGGCAGCATAGGGAAGACATACCTCCAGAGACTAGAACGTACTTCATCCTGACGATTCCAACAAAACCTTTCTGCAAACGTATGGGTGCCTTTCCTGGCCACTGCCAGGGGGGGAGGAGAGAAGAAGAGAACAAAAGGAGAGCCGGTGAGAAACTGCAAGATTCTGGCTGAAACTTTGCACGGTCACGGGATCCGCGCAAGCCCTTGCCCTAGAAAACGCGTCGCGGAGCCCGGAACCGGTAAAGTGCTGGCGGGGCTTGCCAAATAGAGTTGAGGAATGAGAGTCTTGGCTCTATTAGGTAAGATAGCTTATTTACACACTAGTCCTATTCTGGGCTAGTTAACGCAATCGTGCTGGGAAAGCCGCAAAAGAGATTTGGGGCTCCATCGTTGATGAATGCAAAGAGTATGGAGGAAGCATGGGACGGAAGATACAGTATGACATGCAAGGTGACATTTCTATCCTGAGCTGCTCTTATTACACAGGCACTCCCCAATATACAGTTATGTTTTTACAGCTATTTTGAAAATTTCACGCGCAGTGGAAGCAAAAACCTCAAACTTTGTCGCAACCATAGAAGAAGAAAAGCAAGCGTCCATAACACAACAGAGTAAAAGAAAATGACATGGAATACAACACCAGTGAGCCTGTTCACCGTTGCAAAGTCGTACTTTCGAAGTCAATGAAATAGATTTTTCATCATATAGTGGGCACATGTCGAGCTGATTCATAGCATTTCAGCATTTAAATGATCTTCCTGTCTTCTACTAGAGAGAGCACTAATGACACGACATTCTATCCCCATCGTGCTGCCTCCCTCTCTTGCTCCACACGCGCTGCCCTCGCCTGATCATCGGCTTCATCTTCGTACTTGTAACTCAAGCGCCTTCCCCCTAATAGACTTCTTTCCAGCTTGCTTTCGAGCCGACGGCTGCTCCGGCTGTCGCGATCAGCATTCATGGCCTGTCTCCGCTGCTGTTCTTTCAACATTCGCTCCCTGTTTCTCGCTTCACGCTCTAGGGTATGCGGATCTTTGTCTTCCGTTGCCGATTTGGTAGATGTTCCATTAGCTTGGACGCGTTCCGCCAACTTCTTGTCTCTGCTTCCGTTGACAGGTTCGTCGGCTTCATCACGTCGAGCTCGTCGTGCATGTCGCCGTGAATGTTCGCTATCTGCCCGAGACTCTGATCTCTCGCGACGACGTTTACGATCGCGGTCCTTGTCACGGCCTCGATCTTTATCTTTGCCCTTATCCCTGTCCCGGTCTCTCTCCCTGTCTCTATCCCTTTCTCTATCCCTGTCCCTATCCCTGTCTGTGTCCCGTTCCCGCTCCCGCTCGCGGTCTCGGTCTCGGTACTTCTCCCTGTCGCGATCCTTTTCCTGCTCCCGATCTTTGTGCCTTCGATGATGATCTCGATCCCTCTCCCTCTCCCTTTCCCTTTCCTTTTCACGACGCCGATGCCTATCTTCTTTCTCCTTCGCACGCGCGAGCCGGCGGCTCTCACCATCTTCTCCAGCCAGCAGCGCCTTCGACGAGGATCTTTCCTTAGAGCCTTCTTGCGCGTCTCTACGCGTCGGGCTCCGATACCGGCGAGAGGATGACCCCTTTTCATCGCTTCGCCGAACCCTATCACGATCGCGGCGGCTGCGGTGAGACGGCCGATGCGTGGTGTCAGCAGAAGCCGATCTCGACCTGACACTCGCCTCCCCATCATGGTCAGGATCCTTGCGGGATTTTCGGCCGTGGCGGTGTCTGTCCGACCTTTCATCGTCATGGGAAGATCCAGGGGAGCGTGAGCGCGAGTAACTTCTATAGCGCGAACGGCTTCGATTTCTATGTGCACGGGACCTTCGTGACGGTGAGCGTGAGCGAGATCTAGACCTTGATCGTGACCTTTGTCTTGAATGGGACCTATTCTCATCGCCTGTCTTGGCGGGCGAGGTACTTTTGTAAAGAAACAAAAAAAAAAAAGTCAGACACATGTTGCTAAAGAAAAACAATGTTACGTAGGTTGTAGGTAAATCACAAACCTTTGGCCGTCTACATGTTGCTGCTGCGTAGGTTGTACGTTTGCGCGACCTAAAATCGAAAATCCTCTAGCATTACGAATACTAGTGTTTGGCAGACCTTCTCTCATTGCCCGCGGCGCAGCTGGCGCACCGGCCACACCCATGCCCCTCGGTTCATTGTTGAAACCATAGCCAGCAGATACCGGTGGCTGCGACGGTTGAAAGCCAGCTGGTCCGCTGGGGAAATAGTTATGGCCGTAGTTCGGCTGGTAGTTCTCTCCAACCACTGGAATACTGTTGCCCACTGAGTGAGGGCCGGACTTTACTTCCCCGGTACCGGAAGGATTCCCACTCTCAGATCCGGCCCCAGCCGTGCTCGGGATAGCAGAGAGTGTCTCCTGCGCGGCATCTCCGGGTGCTGATTTGGTTTCGGCGGGTGGTTCTTCGGCGGCCGCCGCATTGTCGGTGGTCTTTGTTGCTTCGTCTGTCGGCTGATTCTCGCGCATATTTTCCTCTCCGCCCGGCGCGGTCTCGTCGTTTAATTTGTGCTGAGGATTTTCTGGGGCGTCGGTAGTTCCTGCGGGAGTGGGGCCACCGTTACTCTGGAGGTGCGGTGGGATCTGGTGCTGGAAAGGTCCTAGGTTAGTAGAGTGGTAATTATCATGCATACCCGACATGTAACCGCCGCGACCACGACCGCCGAAACCGCGACCACGGCCAGGACCACGACCATACGGGCCGTAGGGTCCATGGAAATCATTGCTAGGATGGTGCATGTGAGGATAATTTCCCTGTGGTTGTGACATATTATATCCAGGATATCCAGAATAAGGGCCGAAGCCGGAACCCATGCGATTTGCGAATGCATTTGCATTGAATTTATCTGGACCTCCATTCCACATATTGTTCTGAACATCCCAGCCTCCATACATTCCCTGACCGTTATTGAAATTCATTCCCATGCTCATATCACCACTCATGCCATTCATGTTCATTCCGTAGTCCGTAAACATTCCCTGCGATGCAGCCATCGGATCCATTCCCATCCCAGGCATGCCAGGGAGGCCTAAAGGGAAAGACTTGTCAGAACAATGTCGCAAAGACAGTGTGAATCGTAAGGTGGACATGGCGCTTTTACTCACCCATTTGGTTCGGAAACGGCATCATGCCGGTTGGTTGCATGCCATTAGCCATAAAAGGTGGCATCATCTGGTTGAAATCAGCAGGCCCTTGCCAACCCATTGGCTGGAATCCGTTTGGATTACTCGTGCCCATCACCATCGAATTGTCTACAGGCTGGCTGGCCTGAGATGGATCTTGCATGGCACCGCCGTCGTCTTCCGCGGCGGAGCTTTGATCGGCAGGTGCTTGCGAAGGCACTTCGAGCGAGGTGGACTCTTCATTCACAATGCCATTCGTAGGTTCAACATGAGTCTCGGTGGGCTCCTGTTGCAAGGAGTTAGACCCTAAACTGTCGGTATTTTCTGATGCTCTGAGACTCACCTGTTCCGTAGGTGAAGGTTCATTATCGGCAATGGTAGCATTGATAGTAGGAGACGTGGCTGGAGCAGGTTCAGGTTTCTCGTTCTGTGAGGTCGTATCGGCAGGCAACGGGTTCGCTGACTGATCGGGAGCCCCTTCGTCACCAACGCCGTTTGGTTCGAGAGGCTCTACCGCGGGAGCTGGTGTCTCAGCGGGAGTTCCTGTTTCCGTCGTGGGCGCAGCGGGCTCCGCGGCAGGCTTCGTTACTGGCCGCTCCCTTTCTCTTTTCTTCTCCTCTGTTCGAAGAAAGGCCTTTAAGGTTGTTCTTAGTGCTTTGTTTGGTTTGCATAGATCTGCATCCAGCGGTGTGTGAGCGCACACGGGACAATTTTCTGGAAGAGAGCCCTGGCCTGAAAATTATCAGAGTTAGAATTTCAACAAAGATATTTTTAGGCAACAGGGGGTGTTCATACAGCTTTCGCAGATAGCTTGATCGCAACAGGGAAGCCGAAATGCGTTCAAGGCCAGCTTGTTGCAGATGGCGCATCGGAGTTTGAAAGGGATCTCATCTTGGGTAAGTGAACTGGGAACGGTCAGCACAAGGGTGTATCTTTCACACCAAACCGGGGACAGGGGCTCACCTAGCAATGTCCAGCAGACCCGATGAAGGTTCCAAAGCAGCCATTATTGCTTCGGAGCGTGGCGAGGTGTGCTAGCTATCCACGGCAGTGAGGAAGACTGAGGATGCAGGATTAAAATCGGGGTGGCATGGTCGGGTTACAGGTCAGCCAAGGGAGGGATTTATATGGTGACAGCAACACAAAGCATTTTTTTTCCAGCTGCACAGTAGAGACGAAAAAAAAAGGAAGTGAAAACGGGTCTTGTGCGTATGTGTGTGAAGTGGCTGGAGCTGGGGTAGAGTGATGTGAATTAAGCTGAACGTCGTCTGAAATCCTTTGAGAGCTTTGACTGGGAAGATTTTGAGGGCGCACGCATCGGAATAATGTTGATCCGGAGGTGAGGGGATTTTTTGACGTTCAGGCCTTTTTTCCAAGATGGCAAACAAGAGTCAGCTAGCGGAATAGCAGTGGTCGACGGATCCTGGACTGGAAGGGAAAAACAGGACAAGGGACGAAACAAAGTCGGTATCATTCAGATTAGATCAAGTAATTTGCAACCTTCATCGATGCTCCCCCGGCTGCCCGTTTCACAACCGACCCCCAAGGCTCCCAAGATCGCGGCCGTTGGGTGATACCTTTTTGAGAGAAGAGCCTCAGGTTTCGCCCCGACGGCCGCGGAGAGACGGGATGGTCGGGTGTTGGAAAAGGCGAAGGGGGGAAATATTTGTTCTTTTGCATCTCCGGTTTTGCTCTATCATCATCGGACCCGACAGGCTGTCTGCAAAGGTAGGATCAGGGTAAAAGGAACAAGACAGGACCCCATGATCACTGTCCTTTTTAATTTGAAAAGATAGAACTATCAGCTGTTTACCTTTTGCGACTAGCTAGCTACTCTAGAGGGGATATCATGGATGGAAGTGAAAGGATAATAGAGAATACGCCTGTGCGGGCCTCCATCGGGGGTTCGTGATGGGTTCGAAGGGATGGCACTGCGTGATGATGGAATGAGTTTGGATGTCAAAGAAGAAGAGGGAAGGTTGAGTTGTGGTGAATGCCGGGTGATGATAGGCTGATCTGCTTGGTGGTGATGCGTTGTGGGGTGGGCGGATGGACCGGGGGGCGAACGCTGGCTGGCCGGGGGATAAAAGGGCCTTTAATGACAGCCGCCCGCCGGCCCTCGCTCGCTTTCCTTCTCTTCTTCTCGCCCTTTTCCAAGACCTTCCTGCTGCTCCCTTGCTCGGCGCTGGGCTGTGGCGCTAGCCAGTACACCCACCTCCCATCCCCCATCTATTGCCACCCACTAGACACTTGGCTCTGCACAGAGTTTATGCGGAGCTTGGCCTGCCAACTCTGTCAACTGCCACGCACACCTGCCACCCTTAGGCGCACCTATCTTCACGTGCGATCTTATCTGCGGAGCTTGGGCCAAGAAAAAAAAAAAAGATATCCGTGAGATTGTGCTGTGCTGATCGGCCGGTCAAGGAAGCCCAGCAACGCATCCCATCCCATCACGTCGCGAAGCTCACCAGAAAACCAACCACGACTATCTCTCAACTTTGTCTCTCTCTCTTCTCTCTCTCTCTCACACTTTCTCTCTCTCACTCTTTTTCCCTCCCCCGTGGAACACCTTCTGGCCTCTGATATTAATTGCTATTTATGTTGAAACTGTGGAAAAGGGCAGAATTATACCTGCAGTTTGGCCCTGCCTAGCACCATTCTTGATCCACACCCTTGCTTGACTCTTTTGCTGCTGGGACTTTGCCTTGGTATGTTGTCACCACCGTGCGCCTTCTTTTTTTTTTTTTTTTTTTTTTTTTTGGTTCGAACTGGCTGTCGTGCCGGCACGATACATCCTATGGAACGTCGCATGTGCTCATCGTAGCTCCTGGAGTGCGATTTAAAACTCAGCTAACACGAGCGTTTGCTAGCAATGACAGATCAGGACAATTCCTATAGACCACGGTCCCCTGATTTTTCCAGTTTTACTGGAACCCTACAACAGCAGCCTGTTGCTGATCCATACAGCCATACACCCTATGCATTTCCGCCCCAGTTGACCCCGCAAGCCTCCTACGACGCCTCTCCCTTCTTCAACCCTCACGTCCCCCGCCCTTCCGTCTCCTACCATCCACAACCTCCTTTTACCTCCAACTTTGCCGAGATGGCCCCGCAGACCCGATCGAGGACATTGCTACAGCAGCAACAGAGTCAGCTCCAGCAACCCACACCCCAAGAGCCACCACAGTATCAACCTCGGCACCAGAAGGTTGCACAACAGTATCCACAAGCAGGACCTCAGCCTCCTGTCCAACCTCCGCTGGAACAAGCATATCCCCATCACGACACGTCTCCTGATTCCCACTCTTCAAGTGTAGCCAAGCCCGAGCCGGAATCGTCTGCGGGCCCGTCGATGGGCATTGAGATCAAGACGAAGTTTCCCGTCGCGAGGATCAAGCGGATCATGCAAGCCGATGAAGACGTCGGCAAGGTGGCCCAGGTCACTCCTATTGCTGTTTGTGAGTTTCCATTTTCGCTTCCTATCACCCTCACCACCATGCAGCTGGGCTAACGACTCCTTCCGTTCTCTCAGCCAAGGCACTCGAGCTATTCATGATCTCCCTCGTTACAAAAGCGGCGCAGCAGGCGAAAGAGCGCTCTTCCAAACGCGTCACTGCCATGCATCTCAAGGAGGCGATTGCGAAAGATGAAGTCCTAGATTTCCTCGCCGACATCATATCTAAGGTACCAGACCAGCATACAAGCAAAAAGGACGAGGATGGGAGTGACCAAGACGAACATCGGAAAAGAAAATCCAGTAGCCGGCGCAAGAAAGATGACCCCGATGACTTTTAGTATGAAACTCTGCCTTATATATTTAGTTGTTACCCTAGATTATGGGAGGTGCCTACTCTCGGCATGAACATATGGCGTTGGTGGGGATTCTTTTTTTTTGGGTTACTTAGCATTGCCCTGTATGTGTCATGCGGCATGGTTTTAACGATTTTTTTTTTTAATTCTGGATGGCATGGGGTTTATTGTTCTGGAATCTGGTACCAAGCGTTCTTCTCTGTGTATGTGTAGCCGCAATTTTTTAAATCCTTGCACCGGAGAAGGCAGGATATCCATTCCACAATGCAAAACAACACACAACAAAATGGATATCCATCATTCTTTTGTACATTCCAAGTATCCACGCCTTCAGGATGGTCATTTGATTGTTGGAAGTGCGGGGGTGGTGGTTCACATCATCTACAAGGGTAGTTAGTTACCGGGAGCTTTGAGGTTAAGTAACTCAAGGGGAGGGAGATGCAAAAAGCTGTGACATCCTCGTCATGAATTAAGTATCAGGATGATTTCCACGACATTCCTACTCACCGAGACTTGACAGAGACCTTCCAGCGTACAGTATGAATAATGGACTTTGTATGGCCCAATATTTTTTCTCGATTTTAACTCGTTACTGACAAGCGAGTAGTGGTCTCGTCTCATCGGAGGTGCTCCCTCCTCCACTGGGTCCCTTCGCCGCAACGCTACTACCGAGCGTCATACCACGTTTAAACACATCTACAATGCCCTCTATGTATGAATCAGGAGTTCCGCTCATTCAGCAACCATTTTTCGATCTTCGTACTCACATGTTGCTCAGCAAATATGGCGCAATTCCGCTTCCCTCACTCCAGACTCCTCGTCCATCCCTCGCATACGAACCTGTATCGACCGCCTCAATGCCATCCTCAGCGATGAATCCCGAGGGCCATCGCCGCATCCATGCCTCGCCTTCGCTGCTACCTCGCAGGTCTATCTGACCATCGCCAAGCTTGCCTTGACGACGTACGATCCCCGCATCGTATCCGCGACTGCCGTCTTCTTTAACATGTTGATCGATGCAGAGGTCGACGGCATCGTCGATAACCGGACATTTTCGAGGGCACTGGTGGACTTGGCGCGACGAGCAAGCTGTGCGGGCGAAGAATGCGAAGGAAAACTGGTAGAATTGATATTCGGAGTTGCCAACAATATCCGACTACGACCAAACATCCTACCAGCGTGGTTCTTCCCAAAGGGTTCTCAAGAAGAAGAGCTGGAGATAAAAGAGGCCGGCGAAACTTTTGCAGGGGCAACTAGGAAGGAGGAGTTCCCTCTGTTCTATTTACTTCTGGATTATGTCCACTGTGCCGGAAGAAAAGGCGATTTCGCCCGCACCGGCCTTCTATATATAATTGAAACCGCTTCCAAGTCAAAGGATCTCGAGCGTTGGCTTATTGAGAGCGATATGGCTACACTGATGGCGACTGGGCTTGGAGGCTTGTACAGTCAGCTGGGAAGGTATGCCTATAGACACTCATATACCTGTCTTTTACATGCATCCAATTAACCGAGAGATGCAGAATATTGCCCCAGGCTCACGATTTAGACATCCCACCTATTATCGCTCTATCCGACGATACTCGCCTGGAGGCTTTCATTCGATACGATCTAGGCGGTAATATGGATTCTTTCCTTTCATACCTTTTGTTTTGGCAGGATGCCGTTGACCACTGCAAGTCCGTCGAATTGAATGATACCCTTCTAGACCATTTCCAAGTTCTATTTCTTGAGCAACTCTTGTAGGCGCCCCCCCCCCCCCCCCCCAACACCCGATTTAGAGCACAGGGAATTGATGACTGACGTAGATACCCATCGCTACTCGAGTCTTCCGACGTTGACGGAGGCTCGACGCCAGCTGTCATCACGTACTTGTCCCGAATCTTGGAGTCTATCGATCAACCCGAACTCATCCACCGAATTCTGCATTTCTTGTTAGCATCTCCGTCTGAGGGTGAAGCCATAACAACCAAGCCTGTGGAGCAACCGAAGATGTCAGTTAGCCGTCGCAAGTCACTCGACATCCTATCATCCTTCGCAGAAGCTGCGGCAATACCGTCACCCACTCTGTTCAACCTGGTGGACCTGGTATCGATGAGCATTAAATCACGAAACAACCAAACCCTTGTGGCCACGCTAAGACTTATCACAGTCATCATGCAACGTCATCACCACTTCGCCAGCTCGCTCATAAAGACGTCGCCAAGGTTGGAAGCGACTCCAAATCTGAGGACTCTTGGGGCTTTGAATGCTGAATTGCAGCAGCATTTCAGTTTCGCAACCACGATTTATGATAGCCCTTCACTTGATCAATCCTACGGGAGTTACCTCGCCAGCGCATCCGGGGCGCTCTCTTCTCGAGCATCAATGATGCTTTGGAGCAACTTATCCGATTCTAACCAGGAGAGCCCATCGATTCTCCAGGTTGACGACACCATTTTCAGGGGAATGCTGGATCTTCTGAGGAGTTTTTTCACCAACAACGTTATCACGAACCTTGCTTTAACAAGTTCGGTGACGGCTTTGGCATCTTCGAACCTAGTCTCTTTAGATGGCTGGCTCCTGGTCCCCGCAGAGAAATATCGACATTTACAAGACTTGAGAAAGACTCGGGATTCGGCTGAGCCGTTCAACCGACCTCTCAGCCCAGAGTGCCGAGATCCTGACAGCCAGCTGAATGGTGCATACGCACATCCTTCTTGGCCCCACGATGATTCCCCAGCTTTGACATTAGTGTTGTCTGCGCTGGTTGAGCAAGTTCAAAGTTGGCGTGAATCAATACCCGATTTTGATGCATTATTAGCAGGCCGACGAGAGTTGCTCCACATCAGTGATCCAGAGACAGTCGCAGCGGACCCAGCGATGGAAATGGGAGCGCATTTATCAGATGAGTCGAGTGGTCTTGCAGGGATGAAAGGGGATCCCAGTATGGAATTTTCCAGAGGGCGACGATCATCGCAGAGGCAAAGGGTGGGGGAGAATTCCTCGTCGCTCTTCGCGCGCTCTCAGTCAAAGCGGGCCATTTCCCCGACCCGCAACCTATCATCTCACCGTCCATTGTCACAGTCACCTTCCCAATCCCGCCTGCGTTCGCACCCCGTTGATCTCCATAGACGCCTTGCAAGCCCTATATCAACCGAGTCTACCCGTTCCTTGAGTCGAAGATCTGAGCATCTGGACGTCGCTCCTGCGCCCACCGCTTCTGGAAATGTAGAGACTCCAAACGACGATGTGGCAGGCGAAACGAATGAGGACTGTGTGACGCTCGGGCATGTGTTAACGAACATCGTTATATTGTACGAATTTATCCTTGAGCTTACAGCACTGGTCCAGATGAGGGCAAGCATGTTCCAGGAGGTGAACTTCCACGCAATCAGTAGACCGCTGTGAGAAAGCCGTCGTACTCCCAGCTCTCACATGACACGGTGGAATCGTTCCGACAATGTGGAAATGTTATGCGCTCCTATCTAGCAAATGTATGTACATACAATTCTGTAAGGGTTTGGTCTGGCTAATTGACCGCCGTTATATGATCGCTCTGTTTTCCTATCCTTCAGCGCCACAACACTTGAGACATGCTTCCATTTATCAATTTTCTATCAACCCCCAAACCGAGACAAGGCCCTGGGCCCGAATTCTTGCGACACCCTTGGGGCGTTATGCCGAGAGAAAAGGCCTGGTTGCAGCAGTCCAGCCGCAAATTATGTCCTTTTGAGACAGGTTTTATGACTGGAGCTGGGGTGTTATTGTAGGGATATAAATTCACGCAGGCAATTTCTTTTTTTCCGGATAACCAGTCTAGATCAATTTTAGTTGACTGACCTTTTGTTTGCTTGAGGTTATTTGACTTTTCAATATTCGACAAACTATGATATCTTATTTGATCATCCAACTTACTAAGGCTGCATGTTTTTCAGGATTCTTGACCGCGAAAACAAAAAAGAAAAAAAAAAAAAGCAAAGAAATGATCGACTTCCACCATTACTCCGTTGGGCGCTGGCGGATGTGCCAACTCGTCACTCTTACTCCAGCGCAGCCAAATCATGCTTAGGACGGAGTACGTAGGACCTCTCACCTTCTCCGGGATCGTCTTTCCACGTTTTTCCACGAAAGCAGTGGTGCACAAACGAGGACAATGCATCGAATCACCTGCGCCAAATATGTTGACCCCCTGACAATATTGGCTCGATGGTCCCTGTCATGCTGATTACAGTATCCTTGCAAGTGACTCCGAACGTTGGCCATCAATTAGAAAGGGCCACGGCTCTGCGGTGTTCGAGCCGATATTAAAATCGAAGGCAGGCCGGGCATTCGTGTTTGTGTCTGTCACTTGCATCCTGCTGCTGGGCAAGTCAAGCTGTCCCGTCTTCAGTAACGCGGAGCTGAAGTGGACGGGTTGAGTTCTGCATTCAGCCGCCAAGTCGTTGATGTCACTGAGTTCTGAAATCCTTCCTCCTTCCCATCACTCTGAGAAAGTGTAACATATTCCTAGTTTCGCTTTCATTTCAGCGAGATTTTTGAGCCCAAGATCGGAAACCAGCCGCAGATCTGGCTCCAACGACTGGGAAGCGCCAAGTTTATTAACATGTCCGCGGCTAAACGGGTACGTATCTGACGAACTGCTGTGTGCAACAATCTTCGGCCCATTGGCCTCGCTAACCCACTTTTTACAGGTACCTGTGGCAATGTGATACGCGGCGTCGCATATATCTGATGTCAGACATCAAGCGATAACACACGACGAAGCCATCAAACCAAATCTTCCATCTTCCATGAAGTCTCTAGCCGCTCGTTAAACATACGGTCGTCAAGTCACTTGTTCTTGCGACCTCGAGACATCCAGATGACTAGCGCCATGAAGCACGGAGGTTCCCCTACAAGGGCCGCACAGGTCAACCAGGAGCGTAGCACAAGCCCGCTCTTTGCGCCTGAGCCATCGTACTTCTACCCATATGCTCGTCCGGAATCCGCACATTTGCGCTCATCAAAAGAATCCGAATCCAAAGCCTCTCTATCACTTTCTTCGAATGACCGGCCGCTCTCCTTCCATGGAGCAGTTCGCGACCTCAAGGAGCTTCGCGCTCTCTACGTCCCATTTATTTCCTCCGAGGAGGATTTGACTCCGTCTTCGAGTAATACCGCGAATTATATTCAATCTTCCTCAATCGTTTCTGTCCCATCTTCACAGTGCCGTCTTCCGCAAGGTTCCGCTGTTTCAGTCACTTCACGCCCTGGATCAAGCAGGCAGTCCTTCCATATGGGCAAATTCACACCTCCGGCACGAATCAATGCCCGTTCGGGCAGATTGTCTAAATCCAGTCTACCGATTGTAACGCCAGCCTCACCAGCTTCGAAGACAAGCGAAACTGAGAGGGAGTCAGTGCCAGATATTCTCCCCGATGCTTCAACCCGCATACTCGAGCAATTTGTGAAGTTGATCAATTCAATAGACATGCAATCGTTCAGCGGGGAAGAAAAAGATCTGGGTGAGTCATGCTCATGTTAATATATGTGTTTTTTCCCTGCTGACGTTGGTGTGTTTGCGCAGTAATGAACGTGGATCCGCTCGGACCGTTGCACGTTAGATCACAATCTTCCCTGGGAACGAAGTCTAAAGCATCAAAACGTGATTCTTTGGTCCCTTCGGCCCGACAGATAAACTTCTCTTCGACGGTGTATAACTATGGGAATTCCCAATTGCCTTCGAACCTGCCACATCTCCGAGTGTATGTCATCAATCGGGTCGGGCGGATTTCAGGCCTATCCGTGATTCGAAGCTAACGTTTGTTTTGATAGCACCCTTCCCATATGGCCTATCCTCTGTCTCGCTGCACAATTCTCACAGCGTGCCTATAGCATGCCTTCAGACTCGGAAAGGGAAACCTTTGTTGAGGCCGACGTTAAAGGCGGGACCAATGCTATGGTGATCAAGTCCGTTGCTCTAGACCACATTGATCTCGTCGTGCTTTCGATTAGAGGAACAATGTACACTTCTTTCAAAGATTGGGCTAGCAATATGACGATAGAGCCCCAGTCACCAGCTGGGTTCCTCGACAATTCTGATAACCTGTGCCACGCGGGCTTCTTGGGCGTCGCTCGACAACTGATTAAGCCCGTAGCCTCGCGTCTCCGACAAATTCTGAGAGACAACCCGTCTCGTTCTGCCGGTTCGCTGGTTATAACCGGACATTCCACTGGCGGGGCCATTGCAAGTCTCCTCTACGCACACATGCTCTCTCAGAACGTCAAGTCCGATCTCATCAACCTCCGGCGCTCCTTCAATCGAATCCATTGCGTTAGTTTCGGTGCACCACCCGTTTCGGCCCAGCCTCTTAACAAGCCAACCGAGAAAGATTTCCAAAACTGGTTGTTTTTCAGCATCATCAATGAAGGCGATCCCGTAACCCTCGCCGAACGGCCATACGTCCGTTCTCTCATCGACTTATACAACACTCCTCCTCCTCCCGTTCAACCAGCGGGCTTCCTCTCCCGTAAATTTGCCTTCCTGATCTCGAGGGATCGGAAGAAATTCGATAAGCGCAAGGCAACGTCAGCGGTATGGTCCAGACCGGCGCCGAAGCTGACATTGCCAGGAGGGTTGATAATCCTACGAGGCAATGAAGGAAAAGAGGGGAAACAGTGTGCCCGAGCGTATTTAACGCGAAACGAAGAGCTGGCCAGAGTTGTATTTGGCGATGTCAGTATGCATTCCATGGCGCTGTACCAGAAACGAGTGGAGAGTTTAGCAACCGAGGCGGCCTGGGCGAAATTACACGAAGCGTCTTAGCATCTCATCCCCGCTATGAAACCAGATGAAACAAACTCCACAGGGTTCTTCGGGAAAAGATCTGGGCTTGTCCAAACAAACTTCCTTTCTGCTTCCTTTCAATTAAAATCTGTCCTGCGATCCTGGAAGCCCATTCGATCTCAGTTACCTTTTTCCAAACCCGGCTTCGAATGTAACAACCCACATTCTATTTCTCCAGACTGCACACATCTCTACCCTAATATTTTGAAACCCACCCCTTTGTTTTTTCCCCTTTTCGTCTTTATGCTGTACTCATGAACGCGAATCCTTAAAGGGCGTCCCAGCGTCCATCGGAATTTGCGAATAGTCAATCACCTGCGGTTGCGGAGTACAGGACATGTATATATCTACAGAGGTTCAGTCTTCGTTTGTACCTCCTATGATAGCTCACGGACATTGAAGCAATACGATCTTGACAAGTACATCACCACGGAAAAATAATCAAGTCAATGAATATTTTCAAAGTTTTTTTGTATTCAAAATCGCTAATTTTAATTCCCAGAATCCTTGGTACATCCAAATGCATACAATCATACACCGTCGGTGATACATCCATGACTAGCATCCGTCACAGCTCTGTACAGGGGTTATCAGTAAGCATCCAGTAAAGAAGGGGGGAAAAGAAAAGGAGGATGTAAAAAGGACTCCAGTTAATCGACATACCTGGCATATTTACCCAGAGTTCCCCTCATCGTCAATCCAGTTGGACGACCGAGGCCTGCCTCCTGTTTCTCCTGCCACTTCTTCCTTCTCTGCGCGAGAACGTCTTCACCGACTTCAAGATCGAGAACTCGCTTCTCGGCGTCGATGGTGATGATGTCGCCGTCTTCAACGAGGGCGATTGGTCCGCCAACCGCGGCTTCAGGGACGATGTGTCCGATCAAGAAGCCATGAGAACCACCACTGAAACGCCCGTCCGTGATGAGGGCAACAGAAGAGCCCAATCCGGCGCCCATCAGGGCAGAAGAAGGCTTAAGCATCTCTATAGGGAAGCATTAGCCATATAGCTTCTAATCACATCAAAAGAAGGTTCAACAAACATACCTGGCATTCCTGGTCCTCCCTTCGGTCCAGTATATCGGATAACAACGACAGTTTTCTCTTCCTTTTTAATTTCGTTTCGTTCCAAAGAGGCAATAAAATCATCTTCATCGTCATACACTCTAGCTTTGCCTGTGAAACTTGTTCCTTCTTTGCCTGTGATCTTGCCTACACTTCCCTCAGGAGCGAGGCTGCCACGGAGGATTTGAAGATGGCCGGTCTTCTTGATTGGGTTGCTGAAAGGTCGGATGATCTTTTGGTCAGATGGGAAGTCAGGGACATTCTCTACGTTCTTGGCCAAGGTCTGACCGGTAACAGTCATTCCCGAACCGTCGAGGACACCCTCCTTCAGTAGGAATTTAATCAGGGATGGGGTGCCGCCAATATTGTGCAGATCAGCCATGACGTACTTTCCGGATGGCTTAAGGTCTGCGAGGAACGGGGTGCGATCGCTGACGGCCTGGAAGTCATCAATGGTGAGTTTGATGCCGACGGAGTCGGCCATGGCAATGAGGTGGAGGACCGCGTTGGTGGAGCCTCCAGTGATGTTCACCAAGATCATGGCGTTTTCAAATGCGGTCCTGGTGAGGATGTCGGATGGTCGAATATCCTCGATGAGAAGGTTCTTGATGGCTTCGCCGGCAGCCAGACATTCGGCCTTCTTTGCCTTAGATTCTGCTGGGTTGGAGGAAGAGCCTGGAAGGGTCATTCCCATGACCTCGATAGCCGAAGCCATGGTGTTTGCGGTGTACATTCCACCACATGCACCACCACCAGGGCAGGCATGGCGGATAATATCAAATCGCTGCTCCTCGGAGATCTCCCCGGTCAAAAATTGGCCGTATGCCTGGAAGGCGGACACGATATCGATATCAGCATTGTTTTGTGTTGCAGCACAGCCCGGTCTGATCGTTCCCCCATATACCATCAAACTCGGCCGGTTCACACGACCCATAGCCATGATAACTCCCGGCATGTTTTTATCGCATCCCGGCAGACTGATATTTGCGTCGTACCACTGACCACCCATGACGGTCTCTATCGAATCGGCGATTAGGTCTCTGCTCTGCAAGCTGTATCTCATTCCTTTTGTTCCCATGCTAATTCCGTCACTGACACCAATGGTGTTGAATTGATATCCGATCAATCCTGCCTTTTGCACGCCTTCCCGCACGATGTTGCTTAGGTCCAGGAGGTGCATGTTGCAGGGATTCCCATTGTACCAGACACTGGAGATCCCGACCTGAGGCTTGGACATGTCGTCCGTCGAAAGCCCGGTAGCGTAAAGCATAGCCTGGGAAGCGCCCTGGGAGATTGGCTGCGTGATATGGCTGGATACTTCATTTAATGGCTTTCCTGACTTTGACGGGGGATTCGACGAAGACTTCTGCTGGAAAGTCGATCTGGAAGAAAAGGCACGGCTGTAAATTTTAAAAAAAAAATAGAGAGTTAGCTATGATAGTATACCAGCTTTAAGCCAAAGCCTAGTTTTCTGCATACTGAGAGAGAGAAGTGAGCAATTGCCTGTAGGGCATATGCCCGCGAGGCCTTAGCTGAAGCATTTCGGCGAGGGTGCCAACAGGGGTCGTTGCAGGTCCGCCAATCCGTCAATTGGGCACTCAGTTGAAAGTCAGACTTTAGTATTCAATCGATCCAGGCACGCAGCTAATCAATGGACAGCTTAAAAGGGCCGTGGATGCTCCCGGTGCGCGTGGGCTGCTGTCGGTGGATGGCCCGGGTTCAGCTTTTTATTTCTTGGAGAGCTCGAGTGGAGAAACGCGCTGTGGGGAAAATCAAGCTTCCCCTCCGATGTCGCTGGTGAGTCAGTGGCCGGCCAATCACAGCCAACGCATTTGTGGCTCGGTCGCGCTGGCGGCGTTTGGGGGAAGGGGAAAATGGATAAAAAGGACAAATCGTTCAGCTGTGCATTAACAAGGGATCTTTTGGCCTGTAAGAGCAGCTCACTGGGACAGGAGTCTGCATTGATGGCTGGGTCGACTCTTCTTTCGGAGGGGGCTGCTTGAGGGTTAGGCAACTAGTTAACTTTCAACTCCAATTGCTTGAATCTGAATGACCAACTGGACAGCTCGTTCATAGAAACATGCATCTCTGAATTCCATATCTACGAAACTAGACAACTGCTCCGTACGGAGTACAGCTAAAACCTAGCTCTCAAGGATGGTAAGCAAATATTTACAAGAAGGTTAACACTCCTCCTGCTCGTCTTAGAGCCGTTATCCATGCATCACGGCCATGCGTCTCAGTGGTACTTTCTTCCTGGCCCAGTGTACTTCACGGAGTAGACTCCTCTCTCAATGCTGTTGATGAGGGTGTATCCGCTCTTGAAGTATGGGTACACACTCCAACTACCAAAGAAGTCAACCACACCACCTTGCTCATCGTCTTCAGGGTGGCAGTCGAAGAAACCGACTTCCTTGAACGACTTGCCAGTGGGATCCCTTTCGACGGAGCTGATGTCGACAATACGGAGGCCACTGCCGTAGTTGGCCTGGTACGTGAGGCCGTTGACAACATACTGGTTGTGGTCGATCGACTTGACGGGTGATTGGTAGGTTCCAGTGTGCTTGGGCTTCTTCAACGACTTGATGTCGAAGATGTAGGTGGTGGTGTGGCCGTTCTTGGCTTCACCTGTCTTGTCACTCTCATCGAGCTCGTCATCCAGCAGGAGGTATTCCATCTTGACGGGGTCGGTCAGCCAGCCTTGGTGTGTGTACGCAGCACCGACGTATGGGGTCTTCGAGATGATCTTTGGGTTGCGCTTGTTCGTGACATCCATGATGGTGAGGGTATCTTCATTGTAGTTGAAGCAAATCTCGCGGCCCCTGAATTGCCTATCCGGCCCAGTGTAGATAACACATTGGGCTTGACTGCATGTCAGTGCCGATTTCCACAACATTGATGTAGGTTATATTATGCTTACCGTCATGCACGTATCCATCCTGGTGAGCACAGCCTGGCGACGTTGGCTTGGCGGGATTGGAAACATCGAGCATATAGAGACCTCCCTTGCAGGGAGAATTGCGGGGTGTGCCCACAACGTAAATCATCTTTTTCTCCTCATGGGAGATAACGTTGTGTGAGCTTCCAAAGCCACGGTACCACGCAGTTAGGTCCTTGGTCTTGTCGAAGGTGACGGGCCTTGTGACATTGAGCAACTACGCAAAAAGCTGTTTAGTGAAGATGAAGAAGAGAGATATAGCTGCATGCACTAATGCTTACCTTTCTCATGTCAAAGACCTGGAGACCGTGGTTTGGTGACTCGGCGCCGATGTACACGTATCCATCGACAACCTTCATATCACGCCATATGATGTTTGAGGTCTGGGTTGGCAATCTGCCCCTATACTCGAGGCTGCCGTCCTTCATAATTTCCACGAATGCGGTTCCGTCAGTTTGTCCAACAGCGCCGAATTCCCGGCCATCCCGCGAGGTCCAGCCTAAATGAATGTTTTAGCTTCCAGGGCATGAATTAATGGACAGCCGACAGAATCCACCTACCCCAAATGTCGTTACCCCTTCTGGTTTGGCTGCCGAGATCCTCGTGCGGCAAGAATCCGTGCAAGTCAACATTGTTGCAGGAGTATTCACCCGCCTTCCCGTCCACACATTTGACCAGGCGGGAAGCACGGTATCTACCGGCTTCGAAGAGACCGTCCCTTTCCATGTTGTCCTGGGCCTCCAGCTTCATGGACATCAATCGGTCCATGGCGGCTCTGTTGGCGGCGCTGGCCAAGCCGGCCGAGGCCAATAGCATAAGTGATGTAATGGTCTTCATGATGAAGGGGTATCCCTGAACTGGAAATGGATATGAATTTTCCCAAGTTGAGAGGAAAATACCAGTTGCGTTCCTCAATGACTTGGGGATACCAAATGGTTCTTATACCTGCCCCCTCGACAACTCCACCATGATCAGCAAACCCAAAAAGTGCTTGTCATGGCCAGGGTGTGCCACGATGCCCAGGAAGTGGATGTCTAATCCCTTGTGGAGTACGGAGTATTGCAGGAAATGAATAAGAAAGCGAATGCTAAGACCACAACCAATAGCTGGCCCGGGGAATAGGCGGAAAAATGTGGATTCGGCATTTTTGCAGTCGGATATATGATGCAAGAAACGAAAAGAGGAAAGGGTATATTTCCAGCCTTCGCGCATGCCGTAGCGCAGGGCACCCCGAAAGGATCGAAGGCAACGATGCCGTTGACCTCCTGAGAAAGTGAATTCCGGCCATAACGAATTCCCGTCTTCCGCCCAAGGTCCTCAATCCCGTTCGCGGGAAGTTGATGAATTTCGACCCAAAGACACAGATGGTTGATATCCTCAAACCTACTTTCCACAGGCGTTACATTGTGGGTGGAGGCGGCGGAGGATATCCACCGAACTGAATCTGGGGATGACGGGGGAACACGAATTGAGAGACATGCTGGCCAAACAGGTTTTCCAGAAATAAGTCAACTAGTTAACTAAGGCTAGGAAGGCCTCCGTTCTCAGAAGAGGCGCTCCTGGTGGATGTTTGGCTGGTTGAGGCCGGGCTGCCACCCCCGAGGGCGGCGCTCCACAATCCCGTAGAATGCTTGCCATGTGAATCCAGCGATCGGTTTGTATTGCAACATCACTATCTTGCCATTGCGTGCGTCTATTGCGGTTGTGGTTTAGTTTCATCCAGTTCTCCGTAGTTGAAGGTTAAAGAAACTCTTGCGATGATCAATGCCATGGTCAATAGCTAACCCAAATTTGGTATCGCGCAAGGAATAATCCTAGTCAATGATCTGAGTTAAGTGTCAACAATAAGATGCACGCAGGCCCGACCCCCGGCCACCATTAAGAGGAGACAGGGACCAGGGGTGTTGGGAATCGAATCTTCGATCCTGCAACCCCAGCCTACCGAGGCTACAGTCGGGGAGCAAAAGAAGCATTCTGTCCAGGGGCTCCCCAGGTGGTCGGGAGATGAACATCATTCTGACAGCTGGAAGATCTCGTGAGCTGGGCTGCTGGCACTGTCGATCTGGTCGATAAAACCCGAGCGAGCTGGATGTTGACGCTTGGTGAAGGCCGGACTGGAAGAAGGTTGCAATGTCGCGTGGTGTTTGAGATGTTTGCGTGCAGTTCTCCCCTCCTCTCTCGCCAACACGACATCGCGCCCGGCCATCTGTCACCTCAAACCCTCCGCCGTCTCGGCACGGGCGACACCGGGTATCTCCACCATCCTTTCGTCCTCGAAGGCAATTCCCCCACTACCTACTGCAAAAAAAGTCTACCGCCTACCCAAGAGATTGCCGGTTAGCTAAAACATCCCCTGCACTAGACTCGGCAAGTCTCAACCCTTGTTATCTGCCATGCCGTCTAGCAGGGAATCTCTGGCAAGCCAACTACCTTGATGCCGCCTCTCGTCAGCAGATTCCCTCAGCCGTCTCTCGACACGAGGGGAGTTCATCGTCTCCACTACTGCTTTGAAATACTTTCTCTTAGGGTCCGAAGCCTGCGGCGTTCTGGATTACCACCCCCTCGTGTGAGCCCAATAGCTAATGTCGAAAGTTGGGATGCTGGGAGAAACATTCGTGCCCGAAAAGGCACCACTCCATCTTGACTAAGGAGGAGAGGTGGGAGATGACGAGTTCTGTGTATCGTAGCGGAGGTTATCACGATGTCGAACCAAATTTCATCAGATGGAGGCGGTGATGAAGACCAGGAATCAGTAACCCAAATCTGCATGGATATCCCCCGTCCCGGCTGTCTCCCTTAACTATTTTATCTCCAAGGGAGAGAGCTTCGGCTCCTGCTGCTCTGGAGGGCTTCAGACAAACTTCACGTCCCAAACACGGTTCAGCTCTGTTCGTGAAACCTTTCCTTTTCACCGTTCGACACATGACTCTGCCGACACCAAGAGAAGGCGAAGGGTTACCAAAAGTGTTGAAAGGCCGGAATGCCGTCAAGGATAGTACCAAAAGGTATTATCGTAGCCATCATTCCCTGCGGACCCCAACGGGCAAAAATACTCTTGTTCCCTGTACTGAAGCTTTAACACTCCCTAAGTGCTCGTTAATGAATCGCTACTTACATGGTCTCGGCCGGAATTGGGGTGTTCATCTCACCGAATCCGACACAAAAGTTCCCGAGCCAAGATTTGAACTGGAGTAACTCCGGGCAACTCCGAAAACTAATCGAACACCGCGTTGTCAGTTGCATATTATATAGAGTGATATCTTGAATTCTTGAAGTCTCTTAGTTTATCCGTCTCCAAACAGAGTGTACTGTTCTCCGTACTATTTCTCGCTTAGCATACCCTGGATGAGAACGGAGAGGAATAGTTGACGTACACACCCTATCTTCTCCATTGACTCTGGAGCGCTTCCGAGGCCTTGACACTCTTTTCACGGCGTCTTCCTGGTCACTACGCCTCCTTTCTACGTGGCGAGCCGTTTCTCTCTTAGGTACCAGGTACAATTGCTGTCGCTGTTCTGTGGAGGTGACGGGGATTGGAAATGCAGGGCATCCGGAAGATGACCCCGCTCTCTTTTAATTAGCCACATCTTAGCGAATGGCGTTTGATATGTAGCTGTTGGATCGAGCTCTCCCCCAACTTCCTGCAGCCTTATCAACGCCATTTTCCAACTGAATGGGTCTGCGAGCGCGTTTCTCGAAGTATTTGCCATGAATGTCTTTTCAATCGACATTGAAATACAGCGCAACCGGACAGTCACCATCTTTTGGATACTGAGAC